AAGCTGGATGAAGCGGAGGACTTGGAGGTGGGTTGTGTTGTCTGAGTTGACTACTGCGCCGACGCGGTTCGAGACGTAGCGAGATACGGTTGTCACGCCCAGACCGGCTTCCACTTGGGATTTCCAATCGTCCACGCCGTTGAGTTGGCTGAGGGTTGTGTGGCTGCCGGGCACGAGGGTCTCGATTGTGTAGACGTCGGAGGGGTGTGAGACGGCGAGGTTGGGTGTCGGGAGGGGCTTCGCGGCTTGCACTTCGGCTTGCATGGCGAGAGCCTTGGCGAGACCGGAGGCTGTGTCGGTGGGCATCGAGGAGATGAGGGGCTGCGCCGGCTGTGGGGACGGCGCCGGCGGGGGCGTTAGAGAGCTGGGCGTTCTCGGCCATAGATTGCACGGCCTTGCGGGATTGTTTGGTTCCGAAGGTGTTGGTGAGGGCTGTGCGTTGGGCGCGCATGGTGTTCTGGTGATTGTTAATTGGATGTTTATGTATGGGATTGCGGGTGGGAGGGTGTACCATCTCTTCATCTGAGTCCTCCTCGTACTTGCGGCTTCTCACTGCTCCTCGCAGTGTCGCTCGTCGGACCTCCACGACCTTCCATGTCTTGCGCTCTGGGTCGATGACTGCGACGTAGTGCTTCACTTGCGAGTCGGTATCGTCTCCTGTGCCTTCACGGCCCACAAAGTCCAGCTTGGGGTGTTCCGAGGACTGGAGGAGCATCTCCGAAGAGACAATGCCCGGGTTCCGAGTCAATGCCGCAGACTTGAAGACATTAGGGCGGCTTTTGATATATGGGTCCCAGTGGAGGGATTTCGAGCTTTGAAGACCGGGTGTATCGGCTATAACGTAAAAATTCGATTAGACATGTTTTACAGCCGGGATAAAAAGCCTTCAACTCACCAATTACCGGTGCCAACTCGCTCTTATCTTCAATAACGCTGGCGGCCAGTGGGGGCAGCTGGTGCAGCGCAGGCTTTTTGCTTGGACGGTCATTGTCCGCTGAGCGCTTGCGCTTCTGATCTGTTTTATTGGACGGCATTATGGCGTTAAGGAGGAGAGACAAATATTGTAGCTCTCGAGAATCGGCTTTGGCGCGGTGAAATAAAATGTCTGGACTTGTCGGGCAGAAAATTTTACGAGCGGAGACCAGGCAGGCGGTGAGTCCACGGGCTTTCCGCACAAAGGAATATTGACGTATATCAAACGTCAAGCTGATCTCGAAAGGCGATATACAGAAGAAGCTACGAATATAGCGATTCAGGCGATAGTTGCGCTCCGGGTTTACAGATTTACATTTACAACGAAAAAAAAAGAATGTTGCACTCATCAAGTCATCGATTCATCTGCAGTAGCTAAACGAAGACCTCCGAGTTATTCCATGGATTTTTGATAAACTCCCGGAAGGAACCTCTCCACAACTTTTGACTAGCCCGAAGGAAAGCCGTAAAGATAATGAGATTGACCAGTCACCCCAATGCCGTGCTCAAAGACAGATGGTTTGCACCAGTCCTCCAACATCCACCTAAACACAGGAGCCCCCCCGAGTAATAACCATGCATGACATCAGATCGTGGACGTGAATGAATCCGAGGTGTTGGAATGTGGGTAGACTGTTGTTGTAAACAGCGGATTCCGTCATTAGATCTGCGATATCTTCTGATGATGGGTCGGAAATCTTGTCCGTGCAGGTAACTCGTTTGAATGAGGGGCGTGTCACGAAGAAACGAAAGTCGCAACGTCGCGTCGTCAATTGTCGTGTTCAGCGTTTAAACATGAGCTCGGGCAAGGAGAGCTGAGATGGAGGGGGCGAGTAGTTTATTTGCTGATTTGAAAATTAGTATTTCCGTTGCGCGATTGGAAGCTCAATGGCCTTTCGCAAGACCATTGGCGCACAATGGGATTACTTACGATCTGGCACGCATCTTTCTGCGCTTGCGCTTGAGACGGCGAGTGCGCTTCTTTCTCCACTTAGCTCTCATCTTCAAACTGTTGACTGGTTAGTGCATTGCTCTCTCGTTGGTATTTTGAGCTTCTGGAGAGCTACTCACGATTTCGAGGATGAAACAGAGATAGTAGAAAGAAAGATGAAGTGGGCGGGTCCGAGACGCATTTAGGTACGGTGCGGCTGACTCAGCCGCCCTCGCTTAGGCCCCACACGTGACAGCCCAAGCTTCCATCCGTGACGACACACGACTATTCCAGATTAGGAAATTCGATAGGGTTTCACTCGATAGAGCTGTTGCAAACCATTTGACAATAATTTATGTAACATATAAACTACGAGTGGAGACAGGATAATGGGTTTTTAATAATCGAGTATCCAGAAGAGCAATGCCATTACTATTTATTGCAATGCAACTCCAAAATATAGCCAGTGAGCTTTTGATGCCATTGTTTCCGCTTGGGTATAGCCAGCTATGTTCAATATTAAACCAATATACCAAAAGCTTCATCACTCATAGAGTTTCGCAAAATCTGCAAGAACGAGATCCACAAAAGTAAAATGAGAAAAGGTCCCTTATCCAAAAGTATCTTGAGATTTTCTTAGTACGTGTACCGATACGTGGGCGCCAAATCACCGAGATATTCCTCCTCATCCTCTGGAACCGTAGCAGGGTCAACAGCGGCGCGGTCACGCTGCTTGTTCTGAACCCACAGGGCTACCATATATACCGAGCATGCCAGAGCGGCGATGCAAATGAACGAGAGGCAGATGACATACCCGGTTCGGAAATCGGTGACACCATCCTTTGTGACAAAAGAGTAAGTCGCGATGATTCCACCGATATTGCCGAAACCAATCTGCCATGCGGTTCCCACGCTGCGTCGATGATGGCCACCCAAATTCATGGAGAACCAGCATACAATGACAGGCATGGCGCTATAAGCGCCACTGGTGACCAGGAAAAGAGCGCCATATTGGGCACTATTATTGCCATGGATTGTCATAAGCATAATAAAGCCGACCAGGGCGATTGCCATTGGAATTAGGGTGAAAACGAATCGGTGTCGCATTCGGTCAGAGCAGAAGGCGACTACCATTGAGAAGCCGAATGCCGCAGCCCAGGGAGGAATGGAGTACAGCTGGGTCTTGATTGCGCTATAGCCGTATGTCTGGATAATGGACGGCGCGAAGTATGCATAGCCTGTATCAGAGTTAGCGATAACTCGGAGGGTAATGGAAGAAGGAAGTGATGTGGTTTACGTACTGTAAGCCGGGACAATCAAGCCGAAGTACATGAAGCCTCCGATAAAGACCTTGTCTGAGGAAAGTCAGCACGCTGTAATTAAATGAGGGATTGACCGGGCTATACTTACAGTCCTTGAACACACCAAGAACCTCGCGCTTGCCCATGTGAAGGTGGCGAGCAGCCTTGCCGGCATCCTTGGCCAACTTGGCACGCATGTATGTGCGCTCTTCCTCGTTCAACCACTTGACATCCTCGGGGAAATCAGCAATGAAGAAGAACAGAATGATCGCGACCACACTGGTCAAAACGCCCTCAAGAATGAACACCCAGCGCCAGCCACTGTAGCCACACATGCCATCCATCTTTGCGATTCCACTGGCAAGCAGACCACCGAAGGCGCCGGCCAGGGAAGTGGAGCTGAAGAAGAAACTGAAACGCTTTTGAGCCTCGGAGCGTGTGTACCACATGCCCAACAGATAGAAGCCTGACGATCGCAATTAGCACCTGGGTCAGGAGTTCTTGTTGGTATTTGCACTTACATCCAGGGAACATGCCGGTCTCAAAAACACCCAAAAAGAACCGAGTGGCCATCAGTCCACCCCAGTTCTGTACCAGACCCTGGAAGAGTAAGACCAAGCCAAACATGAACATGCATCCCGTAACTAAATTCGTATTAGCAAGCTGCCCTCACCAAAATCACGCTTGGTCACACGGCGCGCAAAGGGATCAAAACACTTACGCCAGACATGGGGCTTCAACTTCTTAAGCAGAATGTTTGATGGGATCTCGAAGATAATATACGGAACGAAGAAAATCGTGAGCGCGGTGTTGTATTTTGTTCCTTCGACGATGTTCAAATCCTCCTTTAATCCGAGAATAGCGGCATTGCTAATATTAACACTGAAGGATGATGATGTTAGATACAAGCAATGCTTGGTTACGCAACAGAATGCTTACCGATCTAAAAAGGCAAGCAAATACAAAATACACAGACAGGGCAGGATGTGCCAGTCGACCTTGGCCTGCAACTTGCGCGCGGTGGTAGTTGTGAGAGGAGGCAAATCAAAATCCGTAGAGCTGACCTGACTTTCGCCGTGGTCAATGGGTTCTTTGGTATCGAGTGCTTCTACCCGGGAAGAGTACGGTCAGCATGGGATTGTAGCAAGGATACGTTGACGCGAGCTCGGTAAACTCTAAAAAGGAATAAACTCGGGGTAGGTCTATGGGGTCAAACATACCTGGGACCCCCATGATGAGATATATATTGTGCCAGGACACTGCGCACTTTGAGAAGAGAAGAAGACTATGATAGAAGGAAAGAGAAGGAAGGGAAAAAAAGGCCTTTTAGGGTCAAATTCTTACAGTCCGCCGATGCAGGGGTGTTACCCCAGGATGTCGAGGCCCGATCTCGGCCTATTGGCCGATATGCATTCCGCATCTGAAATTTCTTTTTATTTAAATTTCCACTATTTATTGTTTATTTATGATCGACAGGAAGATATGCATTCCTATTTTCAATCTTATTTTCAATCTTCTCTTCCTTTTACTATCTAGAATTCAACGGAGTCCTCCGAGTCAAAATCGTTTACTAGTCCCCACAAAACAAATGACTCAGGGGGTTTCGGGCCGACTAAATATCCACCCCCATAGAGAACCCTGGAATCCTTGGCGATAGTGCGGGGGGTGTGTATCCGAGGCTATCAAATACTTCATGTATTGGCCTGGATTTAGTTTATGCTTGATTTATATTCCATTTCGTAAGTATCAGCTGAGCGGTTATATATCTATATATATATATTAATCCTTCCACATACTCACGACTCCTTAGTCCACTGACTACCGCTCCACAAACCTCCGGTGGTCCATAGCCAATAGTCCCGACCTTTGATCAGCCACACCAAGAGACTGGGTAACTGGAAGCCCATGGCGGCGCCTACCCCCTTACTCTTTCCAATTGGCACAAGTTGAGTCTCACGAGTGTCCTCCTTAAACATACGGTCGACTCCGACATCGCTTTCATCTTTCCCCTCGGCAATGAGCAAATCCCGTTTAATATTGGCACATAGAGTGGGTACTACATTCAAGATATTGTGCACCGCCGGACGCGCATGCGATCCCGCATCACCAACCGCATAGACCCGCGCACCAGCATTATCCACCCGTAGCGTAGATGCGTTAGTCTCTACACTGCCACTAGCCGTCAATAGGGACTCGTGGATAAAGCCAGTATTGGGCGTTGCACCGGTAGCCGGAATGTAAAGGTCGGCTTCGAGGGTTTTGCCGTCTTCCAAGGTCACCGTCGCATTGCTTGTCAATGCACTCTCAGTCCCTGCACCTGCTGGCGAGACAGTTACAACGCGTGAGCCCTTGACCACCGTCACGCCAACGTGTGCGAGGAATTCCTCCGCTTTCTTCGCGATCGCGGGTCGTAAGACCGGGAGGATCTTCGAGCTTGTCACTAGCGTGATAGGGACCTTGGGGTTCTCTAGTTTAGAGGTGAACCAGCCAGCCCGACCGTTGAGGTATTCGCCCAGCTCACCGGCTGTCTCGATACCGGTTGGGCCTCCGCCTGCGATGACGATGTGTTTGGCGTTGGGGAGAGCTGCGCGGAAGGTATTCCAGGTAACGCGCAGGGACTCAGAGTCGCCGTTAAGTCCTAGTAGGGGCGACACGGTTGATGTACCGGTGGCGATGATAAGCGCATGGTATGCGATGTTCTCGGTATCGCTGTGTTTAAGGCTCACAGTGACATGGCGATCGGTATGGTCGAGTTCTGTCGCAGTGCCTTGGATGAAACGGAAGGTGCCGTCCGGGTACTGCTCGAACTGTTGTGGTACACTGACGAAGAGCTTCCCTTGAGGGAACATGTCATCCGAGATCAATGCGCGAGGACAGGCTGGGCGACATATGGCCTGCGACGAGGTGCTGACGAGGATGACTTGATAGCTTGCTTTATTGGGCAGTTGAGGGACGACATGTTTGAGAAGATAGTGCGCGGTGGATATGCCCCCATAGGAACCGCCCAAGATGACAAGATTCTTCTTGCTAGAATCTTGAGCCATCATTCTTAGGCAATGCACGCACGAATTCTAGGAGACTGATGGTCTTAGATCTAGGAGATTTAAAACTAGAGGATTAGAGCGGAGGACAACACGCATTATCTGTCCATATTACCAATCCAAATCACTCCAGGCTCCAGGGCTCTCACTTCTTCCATGGAGGTCTTTTAGGTACTTTTGGTAGAAGGTTTCGAGCTACACCATATCATGACCCTGATTGGCTCAACTTATCATTTATACCATCAGCTTACTATGCTATCTATCATCACTTCCGATACAAAAAATTGCGAATGACGAAAGAGAGTGTGCAAGAGCCGGTAATAATTCGAAATTTCTTCGATCTGGAAATCAAAACTGGGGCATATAGGTAGGAACTGTCATGAATCGACGCAGGCCTTTCGGAAAGAGAAAGCTGCCCCTGAGTATGTAGGAGCTGAGCTGCTCAGTTTTCTCGCATAATGTGTCTCGAATACTCTGCTTCTAATGCACGTGTCATCTACGCACTATTCACCTCATCCAGCTAATATAGCGGCATACTTGACCTGCGACTTTGAGAGGCGGCTACAACTATGTGGGATGGTTACCATGTACACAACGCTTACAAGACCCAGGGAGAGAGCCGGCCAAAGTATCTCTTCCTTCTTCATCAGTCATTTCTCTTAGTAAATGCTATCTGGAATTTCTCTCCGAGCATCCTAAGTTGAATTCCATAGAATTATGAGGCTCTCTAGCTGGACTAGCAGCCTTCCACTTTGCTCGCCCACTTGCAAGACAGTATCAGCCAACCACGAAACAATTTCTTTACAACCCGACTATGCAGAGACAAGCATAATGGATCACAAAATTGCAGACTGCAGCATTCCGATGATCATCTAAGGAGTACTCCGTAAAATAATTCTTACTGACACCTAGACTTCCCCCCTCAAACTCTCACGTTCAACGTTTTCTTCTCCTCCTTTCCAGTCTTGGTCGGCATGGTCTTTGTATGAAGATACTGTCATTCGAGACCACAACCCTGATACGAACATTTGACGAGCTCGCATTCATTCGACATAACAGACTGCACCGGTAAGCCAGGGCACAATCTCCCGGAAATGGTACAAAGATCCAGAAGGGAATATCTTGGATTATAACTCCATCCCATGGATCGACTTTGCTGTTCAAGGTCTCCGCTACTGTGGACTGTTGAACCTCAACAGGGCTATCCTGGTCTAGCGTTAGAGGATCGACCCGAAATGGGCTGCTGTCAAACAAAGAACCAGACCGCAAAGTAAATTTGTAGATATTCAAAGATAATTGAGGGAATCCCCAGGCTTTGATCCTAAAATTATGTCAAAGGCTGCATGAAACCTAGGGGCTCTGGTCCTATACTCAATCCTTGGTTTTGTTTGCTATTCTGAGTCCTTTCGCTCTTTACTTTCTCTCCTTTGCCATGTTTCCTGTCTGTCACCTCAAGCATACAAACTTTAACCTTTGTCTACATGTCATTTTCCAATGAGTTGACAGTGATTTGTTCCAATCTTCCTCGAATAAGTCTTCGCCGTTTCTTCTCTGCGGCTTCCCCTTTAACTCCCACCATGATCCCTAGAGGAATCATTGCTCAGACATCTAGGCGCTTATTTACTCGCCGTGGACTTTTGATAACATTTATTATCTTCATATGGTTCCTCTTCTATCATCTTCCAACTCCTCCTCCCACCCAGAACAATACCCGCGCAGACCGACCACCTCCAGTGCACCAAGTAGAGGACAAAGCACGATTCCTCTACCGTTCTCCCTTTCGAAACAATCCGGCTATTCAATATGAAAAACGACTATCACGGGCCCTGGAGAGAATTGAAAAGACTGTGATGGCACAAAATCAGCAAAAGAGCGTAGCCGAAAATAGAATCTGGCAGATAGCGAAAGATGAAAAGCACAGGGGAGACGACTCGATAATATTTCAACATAAAAATAAGGAATGGGCATACACTGTAAGTACCTCCGGATACCACGAAACTCACTCGACTTCCACTGAACACCACAAAGTTAGTCAATGATAACAAGGCTCTCGAGTTCGTGACCAACGAGCTATCCGCCATGTCCGAAATTGCAACAATATACAAGTCCTACCCTCACAATGTCCTCCGAGCAGATTTCCTCAGATACCTCCTTCTCTGGTACTACGGAGGCTTCTACGCAGACATCGATGTCTTCCCCGCTCGAACCATCAACACCTGTCCAGCACTAGAACCATTTTTCGCATCCCCACCCGACAAATACACCGAAGACATCCATCCCAATGTATCGCTCGTTGTTGGAATCGAAGTCGACGAGCCATATGCTTCACCACAATTCATGCGCGACTGGCATTGGACAAGGAGTTACGGACTAATTCAGTATACCATGTATGCACCGCGACGTTTCAGCCCGCTTCTCCGCGAGACCATTGTGCGGGTCATAACACATACCATGCAATACAATGATGGACGCACGGGCTTCTTCCCCAGTCTGGCATATGACGAGAAGGCTATATTAGGAATTACGGGGCCGGATGTTTTCACGGATGCTGTTCTTGAGACGCTTTCCTCTTCGCTTCCTGAGACACATCCGTTCGTTGAACAATCTGTCCATGCAGATGCAGAGATAGGAGATCTCATCGATGCTGAAACTGGGGAAGTGCGGAAGCGGGTGACGTGGGCTCCGTTTCATAGACTCCGTGACCCTGTCTGTATCGAGGCTGGCGAGGCTGTCCCGGGTGAATCCATGGGTGGACTGTGCGTGTTGCCAGTTAGTGTTTGGGGGAATGGACAGAGACATAGCGAGGCGGGAGGGTTTAATAATCCTAATGCGTGTGTCAATCATAGGTTTGGGAGGACTTGGAAGAAGGGGTGGGTGGAGTATATATTTGGGTGAAGATTTCATTATATTTTATCTGACTTTGATAGTTGAATATAGGCCTTTGATATAGATTGGATAAAATACCCCCCAACCCTTTACCCTTGCAATGAATTTGTTTGCATTTGAGCAATTGTACTGCTGGATGATAATAACTGAGATCAGGAAGTATGATCGAAATAATCCAGAATGAGTGCCTTGGAAAGCAGAAACTACGGAGAAGGAATGAAACGAAAGGACCATAAGAGTCCTTTGCTACTAGAATGAATTCAAACAGCATCGCGCTTAGCAAGAGCGAAAATCTTGAATCTTTCCAATCCGTGCTTGACCTCCAAGAAATCATTTATAGCACTGGCAACCCTCCTTATCGGGGTTCTGGCAACGGGCCTGGTTGACAGAACAACCTCCACAGAATCCACACATATCAGGGGCATAGCAGTTCCCCTCTCCTACAACGCAACTTCCATGGTGGCCCACACACTTGGTGCACGCGTTGGTGTCTCGGCCCTCAAGATCTCTGGCCTAAAATGAACATGTTAAAAACTACCGTTCCCGACAATGGAGTTAAGGGGTTAATTGAAGATTTACCTGCACCATGCTTTGCTGTATGAAGTCAGTTACGGTACACGGGAGGATTGAAAGGATCAAGGACTCACTGGCTCTCCGATGATGGTATCCTCGCCAAATTGGTAAACCTCGAGCTCGACGCCATTTGCAGCGAAAAAACCACTCTGTGCGGCTGAAGCCTTGGCAATGAGAAGGGCGAGGACTGCGGTGCCTTGGAGAAATAATTTCATGTTGGAAAAGGTTTGATGGTCTTGGATTGAAAGTGAAAGGGGGTATTGGTCTTCGATGAAGTATAAAATTAGGATTGGACTTGTACGACTGATACTGATGACAATCTGGGTGTTCTTATACCCTGAAGTTACAGTATGTTTGCTACCCTCTGGCGGCAAAGCGAATATGCAATCGTTCAGCTAGGGACCAGGAATGCAATACTGGGGGTCGAATTTCCATTTGTAGATATCAGTAGATACAAGAGCTTCGGATTCTGAAGTGGACGGACGGGTATCTTGAGATCATCAACTAGTAAGCCTAACTCAGTACTCGGTGGGCTTCTTGCTTTTTCTGAATAGAGCACTTCGTACTTCATTGGCCATGCTTTACTTGGCATTCTAGGTGTTTCATGTGTTTGACTAAAGGATTTTGGTTTATCCCAAGTCTCCGTCCGGATTGTAATTGGCCCAGGTCTTGTGATGTAAGTTCCCTTCAAACCTCCTTTTTGGCATCTGACCACTAGTTATATATTTGGAACCCTCAGAAATAGGGGCTCCTTATAAAGAGTTGATAGCATCATGATTACTCCTTACTGGCAGGCTACTATATAGAATTTGAAAGAAGGGCCCGTCAATTCAATTCGGGGCTGGCAAAGCTATCTATAGCCGTTCTGATGATTGACGGTTGCTGGACCTAGATATTGGAAGAAAAGGCTGCTTACGAGTGATCTGCAAAAAGAAAAGCAACTGACTCAAGCTCTAGAGCTGAGGATCTGACCCGATACCCCGAATTGTATGTAATGACAGCGCTTGGACATGGTCTGGCTCCAGACTGGCCATGTGGAGACAGTAACAAGAACAATGGATACCTACATATGTCGTTGTATGTACCAGATTTACGCCGCGGATACGAATTTCCCGATCGGGGTGCGGCCGCTTTATGAGGGCGCTCAGGGTCCTGCTCACTGAGTATTTCAGAGTACAGGGTGATTACCACTAAGAAAAAGATCGCTTTTAAACTTAATATTTAACCACCTTCCCCGGTAGCTATCGGTCCTAAACTTTGATAGCACCTTTATATATGGATAGAATAGAACTCTATAAGTAGACCTCTCAATAGCCCGCAAAGCCCATTCGAGCCCATGATGGGCCCTAAACAATACAAACAAGCCAATTTATCGTAGCTATATAATTAATGCATTTTTCTCTAGCTTTTGTGGGTATTCAAATTACCATCTAGGCGATATATAAATCTATACAGAAGCCTTCTTCTCATAAGCGTATAAACTAACTTATAAGACTAATTAGTTAATATGATTGACAAGATATCTAAGATATAAAGTTGATTTTTATAATACTTTACTTTTTATAAAGGGTGCTTGTTTTTATTAGGGAATTATACAGTAAATAGAGGTACTATTAGTGCTACTACAATTGACACCTAAGTAGACCCAATATATATATCTCTTTATACTAATACTCAGTAATCCTCCTAGGTACGAATTCGTGGTCAAGTTAGATTTTTCTAGGGTGACTTTGTATAAAATTTTGTATGAAATCTGGCATTATAATGCTAAAATCAATATAATTTGTTGAGAGTCAATCACCTGTTTCCTTTTATAGAAGGCAGTAGTGTAGAGTAGGTTTTAGCTTCGAGGCTGTTTAATGTTCTGGCCAAACAGTTGGCATCTCAAGGACATTCCCTTCCTTCTCACTCACACAAACACAGTCCCCCGTATGCCCATTCTGCAAGAATACCTGAAGAGTCTTTAGCCTCCCACCCCATCCATCCCTCCCAAAGAAGTCATTACTACAAGGGACTTTCTTCCTTTCTGTCACAGCCCTGCCAAACACTTTCTCGGAAACAGGCTGCAAACCCCACACAGCAGCCACCACTCTGATATCTGATGTGACCTCTATGCTCTTCGAAAACAAGAAATTCCGTCTCATTCGATCCCCCGGGTCGATCATGGCATAGCCAGAGTCTTCACCTGTAACCAGCATTTGCAGCGGTTCCAAAGAACCATACTGATACAGTATCGAAATTGTCTTTTGCCATCCAGGTAGCGGATCGGGAGACGCAAAAGCCCAGACATTCTTCGTGTCAAAGTGTAATGTCTGCTGAGGTGTGATCTTCGCTCGAACAAGATTCGTAATGTCCAGCCCACCCCAGTTCGCACAAATAATATCCAGGAATGGAGGGATTTGGATCGAAGAATTCTCAGTTATAGTCCTCACCTCGCAATGTGATAGTGCCGCCGCGGTATCCGAGTACGTCCATGTCACGGAAATGACCTTCTTGTGCCCGTAGCACGGATCTATTGCGAAGAACTCATGAGTCGATGCCATGATATCCGGTCGAGGATCATTCGCCGTTATCGATGCGACATGTTCCGTGACGTCTAAGTTGTGCCAGCTTGCATTCAAAATATAGATCGAACCCCGTTTATTCGTTTCCGAACTCTCGTGGGAAGTCAGTGGAACTGAGAGATCGATGGTAAGCAGTTCACCTTCCTCGGCGAACAGTTTCTGAGGAGCTGAATAAAGGTTTCCATAACCGAGACGAATCACTTTTCGCCAGACCATTGAGAAAGCCTTAATGCAGTTCGGCCAAGGATCTCCGCCGAATGTCTCGTTCGTGGCCGAGAAAGGCACTCTGGTCATCTTTAGACCTAAGTGCGCATTGATAATGTGTCTCATAATGTTTGTGACAATTTTGGGTCCGTATACGGCTGAGATGACTTCAATTTCTTCTTTGTGCGCTCCTAAACCTAAGTCGGCACCTATACTTCCCATAAGAGAGTTGGTAGTTGGTGATTGCTTGAGAGGAGGTGAACCCGCGGGTTTAGATGCACGAGCTGTCCATTTCAGAATGAGGTCTCGATTCTGGTTTGCTTCTGCTTCGGATATACTGTACTCGGTCATTCGGCGGACTAGCTTGGGCCATTCTAGGTTCACCTCGTTTTCGGTTTCAGGAAGGGTTGGGACGCTCGAATCAGCCATGGAGATAGTAGATGAGATACTATTCTTGTTGAGACTCAGAAGGAAGTTATCTAACTTATCCAAGATTTCTTGTTGTTTGTCGACCCTACTTTCAGTCAATAATTCATCGTCAAAAGGGAAATGCTTTCAGCACACTGCAGTTGATATGACTATGGTGGGACTCACACGGGAACTCTTGACGCAATATTAGGAAGCGCTAAACCACTATTAAATGCTCCAATGATCGCACAAAGAGACGTAATTCTCGACCTCACAGAGTCCACTTCCCCCTGCGACCACCTAAATCGACTCAATCCTCTTGGAGCTGATGCATATCCTTGTTTCTGCTGCAACTCTTCTAACATCTTTCCAGCTTCTTTGACAAGCTGTTCCAAGCCCGCAGCTTCATCAGACGATAATAAAGTCCCGTGAGAATTTTTTTGGCCGGTAGTATCCACTTGTTGGAGGGCAAGTCTGTTCCCAAGTTTCCGGAGGAGAATCTCAAGTCCTTTGATGTCACCTCTGAGATCTTTGAATCTCTTTGGAGCGCCTTTGTAGGTGTCGTAGACTTGGTAGGCGAATGTTGCCAGGGTTAACACATCTGGGGAGCCTGGTGGAGCGAACATTTTTCAGTCATTCGACGTGAACCTTTTGTTCTGTACACGATGGTCGCTTATTCTGCCGCTGCGGACCAAGTAGTAGATCTAATTATACTTATATTGGCGACCGCGATAAGATCAATTTGGATAAATACGAAGTCGAAACTTGTTCATATGCTTGCGGGGTTCACGGTCAGGTGACTCTGTCTCCATATTATAAGGATCTTTGTCCGTTACAATCGGAAGACTTTATTAGACCGACTCATCTCGACTGTAGGGAGGCGATTAACCATTAATACCCTCGTCCAAGATACAATATTCCTAGAGGGCCCAGTAAAGGTTGTACATCATCTATGTTACCAGCCAGTTCTTTGAGCAAAAAAGAGTGCATTCAACTAAAATTGTAAGTGTAGGGAGAGAAAGGTGGGGCCAGAAAATCCCTCTGAGAGTGGAGGATGCATCAATTTCGGGACGTACTGTGAGGGGATGTAAGAGGAAGTCCAGCTGGATTTTCAATGAGCTCGTTTCTTCCTATATATAGTGCAGAATTAATTTCGACGATGCGGCTTGGGTCCTGATCTGCACGAGCTTTAATTCAAAACAGTCTAAACCTGTCATGTGTAATCCAACAGCATCGACCTGCCAAACATAGGCAATATAACAAGATAACTAGCGGGTATCTTGACAGTTCTAGAGACTTTTATCCAGGTCTGCAATATGAAGCTGGAACGCCAATGGGCAGCGGGTAGAATACAGCAATTTGGTTATCTCGTCAAGTCTAAACAGGTTAACAAACCAGGATGCCACGTCTTTGCTCCAATGGATGAGCTCTTCTTATTTTCTCGAATATCATGACTCGATTGAAAGCTTTCAAGTCCTATAACAGGAAGAAGCATGGTCAGACAAGCTAAGGCCAGGGGGCGAAATGATACCTGTAAGTCAGAGTGGAATAATAGAGACTGAAGAGTGGCATAACCGATAATATATAGTCATACTAGACACGTGCTCAATAGTGATAGAAGGGACGAGGACTCATTTTTAAGCGTATTCGTGGCATCTTCAAATTATCTCTTTCAGGTACAGTACTCTACCTAGGACCTTCTAGGTTTCTAAAAGAGTACTATTATACCATATAAATCTCGTCTAAATAAGTAACATTTAGACCAAGTTCGTAAAAGGCTTAAATATCTCTCAGGCATCAGTCTATATCAATATCTAGCAATTAGTGGAGAAGAACGGGCGTCGCGGATTAAGCTCACTTACGTAGAAGCGGCTATCGTGTCATGTCCTATACTCCCAGAGAGAGGATCGCAGGACTCGAAGTGGATCCATTGAGTGGACCCGTGAAAAGTTCAGCGGGACCTGTGAACATATGACTAATCACGGGTCCCACTGAGCTGGGTGCCCTAAGTTAGAACGCGTCAAGTCACGCTCAGTGAGTCCATGGGTCTAGCGATTACGTAATAAACAAGGGCGTGCTCAGCTTGACTCAGCGAGCAAAAAGCGGCAAGGGGTGAGCACTAAAACGGAAAGGAAAACCCATCTCGCGCGGCCTAAAATCCGGTGTATATGCGGCTTAGTGAGGGAATTATGTAGACAACTGTGTCATTTACCGCCATGGAATTGATGAAGAGCCCTAAAGTAGTAGATTGACCCGTTGTTGCAGAGCCTAACCAAACCAAGTCTGCTTTGCATCCAAATTTCTCAGTACTTCCAATACAACTTCCATTGCGATCTTGGCCAGGCATGATTACATCGATTAGTGTTTACATCACTGACATGCGACTTTGTAGTTAGTAGAGAGATGCGGGGATAGAGTTATGCAAGTAGTTTGATTAAAGAGTGAGACAGGGCAGTAAAATAAGTAACAACGAAATCAACAGCAAAAATATGTCACTCCACTGCTATAACCTCCATTTGTACATCCGTGGTACCCTTACATTCAACCCGTGAAACCACAACAGTAGTTCGCGGTGGTGCAAACGGAAGCATCCGTTTATAGAGAGCCTCGAATTTGTATTTTCCATGAACGTATTCTGTAAAATAAACCTGAAGAGATATTCACACTTAGCTTGAAAGGAATCAAAGGCTATAGTCAGATCCTACCGTAGTTTTGATAATCCTGTCCAAACCAGAACCCGCCGTCTTCAGAATCGCCTCTATATTACGGAAAAGCTGTTCGAAACATGCAGTTTGTCCGACAGCAAGGTTGCCACGAGGCAAAGCCCCTATTTGGGCTGCTACATAGATTAGTCCGTTGACTTTGAATGCCTGGGACTATAACGAGTAGTTAGACGGGCGAAATAAGGGTTGGCTGGGAGATTCATCATACGGAGTCGCTTGGTGCTGAGTTGCATTAGTGATATACGCAAGCTAGCCTTGGAGACTGTAAAAGGGTCTTACGTAGAGGGGCAGCTGCAGTCCGTATGCATTCAATCACTGCCTTCGGAGGCTGGAGGGTGTGATATTCCGGAGGATCCTCGGCTTGTTCTGACATCGTGGATTGCGTGCGCTCTTCAGATGTGGACTGAGTGGCCATCTTGGGACAAATGTAAAGCAAAGAGAAATCGCGTATGGGGTGTAAATAGTTATCGTACCTTGCGGCTGATAAGAGAATGCCCACATCATCGGGCATAGCCGTTTGTCGGGCCATGTGAGGGCGGTGGGCGGGCCTATCACAGTGTTATCTAGCAGCACGGGGGTGGCTTAGGGATTGGTCCTAGCTCCTTGGCCCCCCGCAATACACACAGGGGTCCAAGTCGCACTAAAAATAGACCTACATTGGGAACAAGTCCATGATATTGGGTATAACGTTAAGAGGATAATTTATGTCAAATATGCCAGGAGAGGGTCAAACTTTGTATATTCGATGAGAAATCGAGCTCCATTCTCAGTTAAACATCACTCATCTCACTCATGCTACAGGAAGCACCCAAGTTGTCACAGACTGACTCGGAATGTTACCACTCCACTGCTGGCCACCATTAGTAGACAAAGTAACGTAAATATCATTACTGAACGTGTTCTCAATAACAACTGAGCGAGTTCCATCTGGATTCAGTGAAGCAACAGACTGCACACCTCCTCCATTGGAATACGTGTAACTTCCGGTTCCACTTAGCACAATCGCGCCCGGCGGCATAAACTTACTAAACTGAGCCATCATATAGTATGCCGGGTTGAAAGTATACCCGCCGTTGGAAATAGTCACCAGACCTCGACAGTTTCCACAACCGCCAGTTGAAAGGTGAGGACCATCTTGGTCATCTGTGCCGAGTGTCCAGGCCGTAACGCCCGACGCCCAATTTTGCAAAGGCCCGATCGTGAAATCGGCGGCTTGGTTCCATGATGCCGATGCGGGTGTCCAACATTCTGTCATGTATTGCTTGATGCTGGGATTTGTCTCGTGGAATTTGGTGAGGACTGTCCAGTCTACATTGGTGGCATAACAGTGCCACGCTACCGAGTGAACATACTGGCCAGCTACGTTGATGACGTTCTGAGGGTAGGATGGCACATCTGATATCTACCCGTTAGCAAATGCAATGTTCTCTCAAAGCTACTGGGTTCTCGGGTGCATACCAGTGTTGTGATCATATGCCCAGATATCGGTGTTCAGGCTGGCCTGAGCGAGAGCCGGACCGACATAGTTCTGGATCAACTGCGCAGACTCATAATCAAACATATACATTGTAGGATACCCAGCTTGGCTGTTCAAAGGTTCGTTTTGAAGGGTAATAGCATCGATGTGGGCACCGAGCTTCTGGTAGGCCTGAATGTACTTGACAAAATACTGCGCAAAGGCACTAGCATACCCAGTACTCCCAGTGCCTTCACTAGTCAAGTAGCCATCGTTGAGGTTATTATCTTTCGTAGCGCCATCAATCACATGGTTTAGCTTCATCCATCCGGGGGCACTCCAAGGTGAACCAAGAATCTTCAAGGTCGGCTGAAGGGATTTCATCTTAGCCAGCATCGTAGCCATGGCATTTCCACGGTCGCCCAAGTTAAAACCAGACATGGATGGATCGGCATTATTCCCATTCTCGTCATAGGTATACGACGGGTCACCAGACAGATCGGAAGCGCCAATCGTATGGCGCATCAAAGAAAATCCAGCGCCGGCGCCGGTCATCAGCTCATTGAGGAGTTGTTGCAGCGTGGAACCGGACAGCGTATTAAATGATGTGACTGTGGAATCGGTGACAGCGGCTCCAAAGCCCACAATTGTTTGTTTGTGCCCGCTGGATGTATCATCGATGCTCAGCTTCCAGGTCGACTCGGAGCCTGGACTGCCGCTGCCCTGGACTGGTGCTGCAATCTCTGAGAGCTTGTAATTGCCATTTGAGTTTGAGCAGTAGGCTGATGCACTGGCTGCTCGCTTTCCTGGTGATGCCTCTGCTAGCACTGAAAGCAGGAGCACAGGAAGAAGAGACGGAAGCATGTTGTATATTTCTTCCTAAGATACAATTCTAGAAGTTCAGTCTTTCTTTGAGGGGCCGGGGGACATTGAAGATAGTCAGTCATGGGAATGCATTGTCTTTATGCCTCCCACCAAGGATAGTATTGTCGCATATAGGGGAAAAGAAGCCGAGACGCTTGAAACCCCCAAATCTCAGCTATAAGCTGACGGAAAATACTACAGTATCACCGACTAATGCACGCCACATTTTGCTGACAGATCCCCGGACGGATCTCCGATGGCTTGTATTGTCTTGCTGTTCTTGCACGGAGAAATCTGCCATTCGAGAATAATTAGAGTTGAAGATACTCTTCCCGGCATCCTGGACGGCCAGATGATAGTATGCCATTTAATGATTTGACTTGACGGTCTAGTTGCTCGAGGTGGATTTTCCCGGAAACGGCGTGTGAAACACCTTCGCTTTGCAAAAGCGGCGATTCACCGGAATGGGAGAGATAATGCCACCCCAAACCGACCTGAGTAGTTTAGATTAACGCAGAAGCAAGAACAAGTTTTGCAAAAGATACCCCTTGCTGTCTAATACCCAACAAAAGACAGGGAGGGTGCCTCGGGGTCAGGAGGACAGTTTTGTAATAAAGGACTAGATTGTTTAAGTACTAGTTCTTCAGGTTTGTGTTATTGTAGGACTCGTAGTTAAACTGATGAGCTTCAGTGAGCTTTGTAGGTAGAGGTTTGGGAAGATCGGTTCTCCCCGTCAAAAGCTGCCACATGCTGATGGGTCGGGCCGAAGGTTTTAAAACATTTAAGGCAATCTGCATGGAATAAGAATCTCGATGAGATCATCTGCGATCATAAAAATGGGGATTGAGTGGGAATGTCAAAAAGGTCGAAAACAGGTCAGCTCTAGATACTATGACGTCAACATGCTGAGAACAGATGCTACCTTTATAACCCCGTCGTACGTCGGTGGACTCATTTTGTTTCTTCTAACTTGTAGAAAAAGTGTGAAAATTTATTTACACAATGAGCGGCCACACATTCCCCGTCGATCTCAAGCAGTTCAAGCAGCTTAAGCTTGACCCGAAGACCCCACAGCTATCAGCCCAGCAGAAGAGCGATTTGCAACACAACATCAACATTTTCAGAGATGCCATCATTGCATTCACAGCAACGGGGTCCGCGCGTGGTGTTGCAGGCCACACTGGAGGACCCTTCGATACAGCCCCCGAAGTCTGTATCCTGCTTGCTTTCATCAACGCCAACCCCAGCAAATGGGTCGATGCTCTGTACGACGAGGCTGGCCACCGTGTCGCCACACAATACCTTCTAGCCGCAATGGACGGCAAGATCGAGCCTGATCACCTACTGAACTATCGTGCCGCCGATTCCCACCTCCCCGGCCACCCGGAGCTTGGTTTCACCCCCGGCGTCAAGTTCAGCTCTGGTCGTCTGGGTCACATGTGGGGTATGGTCAACGGCATTGCCATGGCCAACCGGGATAAGAACGTGATTCTGTTGGGATCTGATGGATCCCAGCAAGAAGGAAACGACGCCGAGGCTGCGCGCATTGCTGTCGCCAGAAAGTTGAACGTTAAGCTCTTTATCGATAACAACGATGTCACAATTGCCGGACACCCCTCGGAATACCTCCACGGCTACGAGGTTTCTCGCACCCTTGACGGACATGGCGTGAAGGTCCTCCGCGCCCAGGGCGAGAATCTCGACTCCCTATACGGTGCCATGTGCGAAGTCATCAACCACGACGGCCCTGCCGCTGTCGTTATTGACCGCAAGATGGCCTCTGGCATTGAGGGTATTGAGGGACAATGTAACGCGCACGATGTCATTCCCGTGGAAATCGCTCGTAAATACCTTACCAAGCGCGGATACACTAAGCAGCAGCTTGCGTTCTATGACGACATCAAGCCTGGCACAAATCCCCACAAGTACAAGGGCTCAACCACGGACAAGGGTTCGAACCGTAACATTTTCGGCGAGGCCGTGAATGAGGTTCTTGACAAACTGAGCAAGGAGGAGGCGTCGCGTCGCGTCATGGTCATCGACTCCGACTTGGCAGGCTCTACCGGCCTGAAGGCCATCGGCGCCAAGCACCCCGAGGCCTTTGTCCCATCTGGTGTCATGGAGCGCGGCAATTTCTCAGCTGCCGCTGGTTTCGGATTTGGCAGCAATGGAGAGCGCCAAGGTGTCTTCTCTACCTTCTCTGCCTTCCTGGAGATGTGTATCTCTGAGATCACCATGGCCCGTCTGAACAACTGCACCGTTCTGTCGCACTTCTCTCACAGTGGTGTCGATGAGATGGCCGACAACACCTGCCACTTCGGTCTGAACCACTTCTTCGCCGACAATGGTCTGATGGATGCTGAGAGCACCGCGCTTTACTTCCCCGCCGATGGCGAGCAGATGAAGGCCGTAGTCAACGAGGTGTTCTGGAACAAGGGCATGCGCTTCATTTTCTCCACTCGTTCCAAGGTCCCTTACATCCTGAAGGAGGGCACCGACCAGAAGCTCTTCGGTGAGGGCTACAAGTTCGTTCCTGGCAAGGAAGAAATCATCCGCAAGGGCTCTGCTGGTTATATCGTCTCGTACGGCGATATGCTCTACCGCTCGCTTGATGCTGTCGAGAACCTGCGCGCAGAGGGTCTCGATATCGGTCTGATTAACAAGCCAACACTCAACATTGTCGACGAGGAGACCATCAAGGTGTATGGATCCTCGCCATTTGTCCTGGTTGTTGAGTCCATTGCGCAGAAGACTGGTCTTGGTTCCCGTCTGGGTACCCAGCTCCTTGAGCGCAAGTTCACACCCAAGTTCAAGTCCTTGGGTGCTGTCAAGGAGGGCTGTGGCGGTCTGTATGAGCAAGTCAATGCTCAGGGCCTTGGACCTAGCGATATCATCGCTGCGGTCAAGGAGGTGTCTGGAAAATAAATTGTTAAAACGTAACGAGTATCTCATGTAATAATAAAAATTTTCATTTATGTTTGTCTAGGCCAGTTTTGTCGGTATATGTTACTCAATTTCCTTTTGTTATCAAAGCCAAGACGTTCGCGCCCCCAAATTCTGCCCGTCCCAATCCGATATCGCGGCAATTGAAGCGACATTTAACACGCTCCCCCCACTATATTCCCCATAATTATCCGCCCTTCACACTTATTGATTGGCTATATTCCACGGGATATAACTTGGCAGTCGACGCTTGTCCCAAAAGGATACTAGTAGATGGCAGCAGCTCAGGAGCTCAAAAGCACGCAATCTTGCTGAAGGATTAGAATAGGATTAATGTAAATGCTAAAATGTCTAGATCAATGTTTGATTCTCTAGGGCCAAAAAAACCTATATATGGCGCATTTCCTGTTTAGCGTTTAGCAAAGTGTTTAGGAATTTTCATTTCTGTGGCTTGATTCAAGGCGCTTACTATTAAGCCACACGCTATGACCGAACAAGCTTCTATTTCGGCATCGTCCGATACTCAACTTGAAAAGCGAGTATGGTATCGCGGGACACTTTTCAATGCCTGTGTTATTGGAGGCGTCGGATTCACAGCTCCGGGCTTGTGGAATGCCATGAATGCTTTGGGTGCTGGTGGCGCACAAGAGCCGTTCTTGATTAATGCGGCTAATGCACTAGTTTTTGGGCTCAGTATGTGATACATCGCTGCAATCGCAGTGGGATTTTGAATTGGGCTTCGAGCTAACTTGTTTGCTAGTGGGAATTTTGTGTTTGTTCGGTGGCCCTATCGCTAACCGGATTGGTTTGAGATGGACTCTAATGCTTGGCGCTGTGGGATATCCGCTGTACTCGTACGTATCGAGAGAATTCGAGTTTTAGATCAGGACTAACTTTTATATACAGAGCTGCCTTATACACAAATAACCGTTTTGTGAGTTCTTCGTCAAAATGAGCATTACCTGTACAGCTCAGGGATGGAGACTAATCCATATCTAGGGAAATGTATGGTTTGTGCTAGTTGGATCAGCTCTCTGTGGTTTATCGTGAGAATCCTATACCGATCAAATAAAACAGGACCATTGACTAACGTTTATAGCGCTGGTCTCTTCTGGGCTTCTGAGGGTGCTGTGGCACTGGGTTATCCCGAGCCTGCGAAGCGAGGTCGCTATATGAAGTGAGATATTCCCAAAGTTTCCTAACAGTGAGAAAGTGACTGACTTTAGAAGTATCTGGCTTTGGTTTCGTACCGGTGGCCCGTTGGTGGGAGGTGCTATTGTCCTTGGCCTCAACAGGTATGTCCAAAACGATTTCATATTTCGGACAGGATTGACTGACGAATGGAAAGTGCTGCCAACTCCCACGCCAAAGGAAAAGTTGGATCTGGTAGGTTGATCCACGATAAATTGAGCGACCGGAACGATTACTAACATACGACAGAGACATATCTCATCTTCGTCGCGCTCCAATGTACTGCCGTACCCATTGCCTTCTTCCTCACGTCACCTGACAAGGTCCAACGCACCGACGGAAGTAAGGTCAGGATTGTCCTGCAGGACTCATGGCGTGATGAAATGAAAGAGCTCTGGAAGGTCTGCCGGCGGAGGGAGGTGTGTTAACGCCATTGATTTAATCCTGCCGATATAGTACATGTGGCTAACCTTTCTAGATTCTCTTGCTATTGCCTGTTTTCTGGGCTGCGTACTTCAATATGTACACTGGAAGTATGGATTATCTCTCCTCTCTTCGCCTTTTGCAATTGCTGACTAGTTGGTCTAGATTTCAAAACTTATTACTTCGGCGTGCGCGCTCGCGCTCTGATTGGATTCGTCAGTATGTTTACAAACTCACCTTATTCAGAGACACTCATGCATCAGTGCTAACATGAATTATAGCCTACTTCGCCACTCTTCTTGCCTCGACACTCATTAGTAGGTTCTTGGACTACCGCGGCCTTTCCATCAGAAACAGAATCAAGTACAGGTACATAACCTCCGCATTTACAATCAAACCTGGAAGCAAGACTAACAAAAACCCCAGCTTTTTCTACGTGATCGTTGTCCACATCGTTGCCTGGGTCTACTGCTGGGTTATCCAAGAAAAGTACACCAAGAACTCACCAATTTTCGACTGGGCCGACAAAGGCTTCGTTGAAGGATTCTTCGTTATCCTGCTGTGGGGTGAGTCTCGTAAATGAATAGCTTCCCGTATATTGCTAACTTTTCTTCCACCAGAATTCGCTCAGCAATCGTTGCAAAACTTCCTCTACTATCTTCTCTCCACCATGACGGACAATATCTCCGAGCTCTGTAAGTACAATCCAAACTGATTGCCTTATCTACAAATTACTGATACGATATAGCCCGGTTGTCCGGTATCCTCCGTGGCCAAGAGAGCTTTTCACAGGCTGTCTCTTACGGCCTTAACTCGAAGAAATGGCACGGTGGCAGAGTGCCACTTATTGTCAACACGATCCTTCTTGGTAAGTGGCGCTGACTAAATTGTTGAAAAGTAGCAGTGCTAACCTTTATCTCCAGTTCTTTCGATATGGCCTACTTGGCTCGTTGTCCGGGCTCACGTTCCTATCGAGCACCATAAGGAGACCGCTGAGCTGCCCCAAGCCCAAGACGAGGAGCAGAACAGAGTTAGTCTCTCTGACAAGGAGACCTTTGTTGTTACCGAGGCAGCGGCTTCGAAATAAGCTGGACTTGATGAATCGTGCACTCTACAAAAGTATATAATCTATTTACGACTGGGGTTTGAAGTCTGCACAAAAGTACCCTCACCATTTGAACAAAATTTAATTCATGAATCAATGAGACGAACATAGTCTGTGAACGATACGGCATTCCTTACTCTTATTTCAAGCAACCGGAACAACCTCATCATCCTGGCTTTCCTCTCGTAGCTTCCGCTCCGCACGGCTCTCACTAGTGGGATCGAGATAGGCTTCGGTATGGGGTTAGCAAAACATGTAGAGTTTGTAGTTGGGAGATGTTGACATGAAGGCTCACGTATTTCGCCGAAAACAGTAGTCCGAATACCCCGTCTAGCTCCTTTGTATGTACCAGGAATAACCCGGTGAAGGGTACACCTAATAGATCGTTAGCTCGCCAATTCAGCACAGTGAAAGAGAACAGTGCATAGTTACCGATTATCCCACATAGCAACACTACCAACAGCCCATTTCCAACGAACATAGTGATCATCAGCGGAGTGGATATGATACGCCAAGAAATCGAGAACTTTGTCTAAACAGACGTCAGCCCGAAACCACTACCCGCTTCGTTGGGTCACTTACCAGATTCCACCTTCTTGAGCTCAGCAAACCCAGTCACGAATCCAGGATTAACGTTCAGCGCCTTCAGTTTAGTAACTGGGTGCGTGCGCACGGCTGGGTGGTGTGTATCGATTGGAGGACGATTGGGAGCTGCGCCCCATAGATCGATAATAGTATCATCTATGCATTACATGGATTAACAAAACTTCCTACAAGAAGACGGGGCACTGAGGAGACAAACACTGCAGCCTTGAAGTATGCACGGCATGAAGGCCATCGAGGAACCTCTTGTACGCGTTGCTTAGGGCGTCGTATATGCCATATTGAGATACCTACGGAATTAGAATTTGGTTCTGAGCGAGACTTGCATTTGTAACATACCCAGGCTGTGTCACCGCCGACTTCAGGATGCTCTTCCATTCTCAATAGGGAGTAGGTTGGTGCTGTAATGTGTCAGAAATAACGGCCAGAGAGTATGGGTTGCCACATACGATTGATCTCGAATGATGTATCGGCGTGGAAATCTCCACTAGGCTATATATATAGGATTTGCGGTTAGACCTTTGCTATCAATAATGTGAAGAATATCTTACCCAGGGCGTGTAGCTTAGGATTTCACGGTGATCCTCGCGACTGCCTTTGATATTTACGAACTGTATGGCGGCTTAGCAACAATGGCAAGAAGGTAATGTCATGGTGGTTATGAAATGAATCATAGGTTTCCCCAGGGTATACTATACTTTTTGATCCTAAGAATTATCAGCTCACTTGAATCTGCCTGAAATCCGAAAAACTCTCGTGTTTCAACTTACCTTTTGAGCAGGGTGTTTATCCAAGATGCCTAAAAGTTCAAATCAACCGATGTCGTCCTCTAGAAAGCCAATATAGTCTTACCATAATGCTGAAATAGTTCAACCTGTTTCTCAGTAGTAAGATCCTGATCCCGAAAGAAGACAACTCCTCGTTCAGTAACAAGAAGCGCCAATTCATCCAACTGAGTCTCGTTTAGCTGAGACAATTGCACATTCTCAAGAACCGTTCCAATGGACTCAGTCAAGTCAACCTGCTTCGCCACAGAGAATAAAGCCTTCTTCTCCGGATCTGCAAAAAATGCCCGGTCTCTAGGCGGGGTAAATGGCTCGCGGAGGGGATCTGGGGGCACATGGTTCTTGATTTTCTCGTTGAAATGAGGGTGGATTGTAACGGGAAATCTCGAACCAGCCGAAATATGCTTGCGCGCTTCGAGATTAGCCATGTTCAGTTGTAATTTCCTGGAAATAAGTAAAAGGATTAGAGGATGAAATAGAAGTAGAATTGCTTTGTGCTTTATATCCCGTTGAGCTCATATGCGGCTTCGATTGCGCAACACGCCATACGTTAGTCGTCTTGTTAGTTTCCAATCGGCTACTTATTTCCCCAGGATATGGTGTGCTGTTAGGCCCCATGTCGAATATGTGGGCAATGCGCACGCAATATGATTTGCAGATATTATTTAATGCAATTTGATCTAATCTATGAGTACATGCTGGGGTCACATGCCCGATGGGGGATTTATATGAAGTGGAGGTATTCCTAAACAAATAGCCCAGGTAATACTCGCGGTAATTCATCTTCTTTTTCTCTTCTGCCATATTTCACCTCGCTATGGGAGATGTCAAATTGGAGGAAAATATGATATCTTGGAACGAAGGGGAATATGGTGAAAGAGTTAGTATGCTGAAATTTGTGAATACTTGTTGTGGGTACTGGCGAAAGGGAGAAAGAGAAGGAGAAGCATTTGTTATTCAATCTAGCAGAGATCTGGGTATAAATACGGTGATATCTGGCAAACAATCATTTCAGTATGCAAGCAATCAATGCGAGATGGGATCATTTAACAATACCTAATATGCCACAACGAGAAAGGTAGTGACAATGCAACACCCGAACGAAGATGAGCTCCAAATGTTGCGTTGCCGAAAATCGACCTCGGGCGTTCTCACTCAAATCTTCTGGGGTTTACACCCCCCTTTTTTTTGCTCTTTTTCCCCCTGTTACCTTCCTTATATCGATGCTGTGCACAGCAAACACAACAAATACGGTAGGCGGTCCGTTTCTGCTAGAAAGTGAAGTTATACTGAAATTTACGAATAGATATTCATATGGTCAACTGACTATATACAGAGAAGATTAGCATGGCCGTTGCACTAAGGATGACACGCTCAATCAAAGAGATGCTCCCTACTTTTTTTTTTCCCCCTTGGAGATCCTCCGTTATGGAGATAGCATGTGATGTGGGGACTCCTACGCTTTTGGGAAGTCACGTGGTGCACAGCACGTTCCCACATCGCAGGTACAAAACCGGCCAATGGCAGTCCGCGAATTTTCCCCTCAAACTACACCCGGATCCACTCTTCCCCGCGGAATTTCCCTAGCTCAACGACTGATCAGACCATCCAGTACGGGCGAATCGAAGGGTGAACGTCAGACAAGATACCTAGCTAGGAAGAGCTGGCTTCCAGATATTTCTCTATACTATTCATTCTAGACATAGGACACAAATCTACTTTGCCACACGTCTCCCAAACTTCGCCGAGGGAAACCTGCCGCGGAATTTCCCTCCATCCGATAAGTACTGGAAAACAAGATGGAAAGTGGAGATGAGCGACCATACCGATCTCACACGAAGCCAGCATGCGTACCGTGCCGCCGGAGGAAATCGCGATGCAAACTGGAGCCCCACACTGCGGCCTGTCTGATGTGTCGCGCGCACGGCACAGAGTGTACATTTCCTAACGGGAGAGCAAAGTCAACCCCGCAAAAGCGGTATTCTACCGAGACAGGCCCATTACTACCACATCCGAGTTTACGAACGCCAATCGCAGCTGCCCAGCCACTAAGTCGGGCGCCTCTGGTCGCCGCTTCGCCACAGTTCTCGATTGTTACCCAGGCCCAGAGCGATCAAGATACACCACTGTCTCTCGAGGCTGAAGATGATAATCCCCATATTCTCGGTCCGGCGGTGACTGGGGATAATCATGTCTTAGCCGACTATCTGTCTAACATCTCGGGTGGCCAGGGAATTCGTGAAATTCGTCCCGTCGAGCCGGGTAGTTCCTCGTCCCCGGTCATATTCACGAAGGTGCAGAAAAGGCCGCTGGGACTCATGGTCAACTCTAGTCCGGCATTGCATAAGCTACAGACTATTGAAAAGCTTGTAGAGCCATGGGGACCGCATTTGATAGAGATGTGAGTTACACTTCATTTATATTGATATTCGATACAAGCCTCGGAGACTAAGTGTTGCGACTAGATATCTGAAAAAGATCAATCCTTGCCTTCCATTACTTGAAGAAAGCTCCTTTCGAGTGCAATACACAAATGCGAGGCATCGCATTTCTCCTGCGCTTTTGGCGTGTCTGTATGCCCATATGCTTACGCAATGGCAACATGACCCCCTTCTATCCCGAGAAAGGTGCCCAGACGTTCGTTTCGTCTGGAATCTTGCAATTGAAGCCTCATATTCCGAGTTGCATGCTTCAGCTGGAATATCCACAATAAAGGCCATTCTTCTCGATGTTGGGGGCCGTCCAACGACATCTATGACAGGCAACGGGGTAAGATTGAGTTCAGCTGTTGCCTTGTGCCATTCCTTGGGTTTGAACCGAAACCCACTCCCGTGGGATATTCCACAAGCTGAAAAGCACTTGAGAATGAAGATTTGGTGGTCTATCTTACTCCATGATCGGTGGTATGTTTTCAAGAGTGAAATCTCCAAACAGCGGGACGTTCTGAGAACTCATCATAAAACAGGTCAAGCCTTGCTTATGGAACACCACCCCATATCAGACGATCACAATACGACGTACCACTACCACTACCCGAGTACCTGTCAGATTGGGAACGCGATCATGAAGCAAACGCAGTTTTCATCGAGCTTATGAACTTGACCGACGTGCTGGACCACTGCCTGGAGCAAGTGTACAGCATCCGTATCGAGACCCAAGGACCAAGCAGAAATCTAGAATTGGAGTTGAACAAATGGGTGGACTCACTCACAGGAGACATTCGCAAGATCATCATCCGCGGCTCAAACCTAAATGTCCCTGGCGCCTGCAACCTCCGTCTTGCATATCTGGCAACAAGACTCCTCCTCCGGCGCATAGACCTAGATCGCGAACGGCAAGAACCAAACTCCAATGCAGAGCACATGGCTAACCGAGTTATGGAGGCCCGTAGGACCGCGGAGGACATTGTCGTTTTGGTTCAGGAACTCGGAGAAGTGCAGCTGGGTGATTATTGGCTACCTACCGTAGCATTCACATTTTCAGCAACGGTGACGTTTTTGATTCGATGTGCACTAGAGACAGAGCAGGCAGCGGGTCTTGCACAAAGTGGTTCCCTGAGAATGGCGAGTGACCTTTTGGCTTCGCTGCGATTGCACCGGAAGAACTTTGGGTGGGATCTGGGTGATATCTGCCTCGCGCAGCATTCAGATGTCATTGACAAGCTGTTGAAGTCAGAGCCGCCGGTTGAGAACTCGAAGGAGACGAATGTTGAGCTGCGCCAGCCTTTTGTGCCGGATATGTCTTTTCTTGATGATATGTTTCCAAGTACTTGGGATATACTGCAAATTATGGAATGAAAGAAAGTATTTATGCAACCCGTGGTTATATATACGCCTGGTCGGAGCTGTTGAAGCTCTCAGATCCTCTAGTCATTGCTGTGAAGGTTCTATAAAGTATGGTCTATCGATGATAATTTTGACCCGTTATACTCTCTGTAAAAGGGGGAAGCGTTATAAACCATCCGTTCGCTCCCTAACCCGACGCCCAATCTCAAGTCCAACGCGCATAGCTTCCCCGCGGCTCGTGCGCGACATAACCAGGAAAAACGCAATAAAATTCCCAAACACTTGTCCTCTAGTTGGGTCAAGGACTTCCTGACCGTCCTCCATGAGATTAGTATATTACAACTATAGCACCAAGTTGCCTTTCTTGACCGAAGGCTTGCGAATTGGATCGCAACACCGTTGTGCAAATGTCACTAAACTAATAAGCACCTTATAGTATATGACGTGTGAGGGTGTTGGCCGCGGCTCCGCGGCCAAGATAAAGAGAAGAAAGTCGATTCCCTGCAAGATGACCCTTTAGTGAGGGGAAGCGGCCCCGATAAGAAACTTAAGAAGGCCATAACTCCTGCTCGGAAAGGTATTAGAAGTACTCGGACGCAATCATCCTGTCATCAGATCTCAACATGGCCCCTGGAATCAGCACAGAAGAATCCACAATGGCAATCATGCCGCCAAAGAATGAAGACAATCCCATCTTATATAGCGATGTCAATCAAGAGGAGTTCCAAGCCAAAATATCCGAGTACCTCCTCAACTATGGCACCAAATTCAACAAAGACGTGATCTGTGGGAGCAGAGGGCTGTATGTATACACAGCTTCCGGACACGAAGTGCTAGACTTCACATCCGGACAAATGTCCTGCCTGCTCGGCCACGGACACCCAGAAATTGTGCAGACCATCACCGACCATGCTGCCTCCTTGGACCACCTCTTCTCAGGCATGGTATCACCCCCAGTGATCAGCCTAGGCGAACGTCTATGCAATCTTCTCCCAACCGGCCTCGACAAAGCCTTCTTCCTCTCCACCGGCGGTGAGAGCAATGAAGCTGCCATAAAGATGGCTAAGACATACACCGGGAAATTCGAAATCGTTGGACTAGGCGGTAGCTGGCATGGCATGACAGCGCAAGCACTAGGTGCACAATATCACTTCGGTCGCAAAGGCCAAGGCCCCCTGATGCCAGGGATGCTGATGCTCCCGTCGCCAAATGCATACCGCTCCGTCTTCCGCCGCGCCGACGGATCCTACGACTGGGAAGCAGAGATGGAATACGGCTGGCGCATGGTCGATATGCAATCGTGCGGATCCCTCGCAGCTTGCATCGTGGAGTGTATCCAATCATCGGCTGGCATGCACGTCATACCACCGGGATACCTCGCTGCTCTCCAACGGGAATGCAAAAAGCGCGGAATGCTCTTGATCGTTGACGAAGCGCAGACGGGCGTGGGCCGCTGCGGCGATTTAATGGCTATTAACCACGAAAATGTCATTCCGGACATCCTCACCCTCAGCAAGACGCTAGGGAACGGGCTGCCACTTAGCGCTGTTGTTACGAGTGCTGAGATCGAGCGCGTGTGCGCCGAGCGGGACTTCTGTTTCTACACGACTCATGTTAATGATCCACTGCCTGCTGCTGTGGGTGATAAAGTGCTTGAGATTGTGGTGCGTGATGGGCTAGTTGAACACTCTCGCGCTATGGGTAAGGTACTCCATGACCGGCTAAATGCACTGAAAGAAAAGTATGGCTGTATCGGAGATGTCCGCGGGCGCGGACTTATGGCAGGACTTGAGATTGTTGAGGATCGCGAGACTAAAACCCCTGCGCTAGCTTTAGGTAAGGCGATCGGAGATCGTGCTTATGATTTAGGCTTGTGGGCCAATCTCAGTAGCCATCCTAGCTTCGGGGGGGCGTTTCGCATAGCGCCGCCAATCACGATTACCGAGGGCGAGCTGCTTAGTGGCTTGGAAATATTGGAAGAGGCATTTGCGACGACCCCTGGTACTCTTCCTGCGTGATCTAACTGGAGTGGGAGGTTGAGGGGGTTGGAATTTTTGTGCCACCAATGTACGACTTCAATCGTTTTACCACAATTCTTCTAAAAATCAATAGTCTCTTCCAAATGAATCGAAATAGACAAGCTCTTTGTAAAGTTGTATAATTTTGCCGAGGTGGCAAATCACAGGGCGAGACTTGGATTGGATTAGCAAAAAGTAACTTGCAGCTGACAAGGTTAACCCTAAGACCTCCACTTTCACGAAATATGAGATCATTTTGAATCAATTCACATATGTTGTATATTAAATTAAACAAGAAAAGGAAACAGTATCCCGGAAATCCATCACGGTATATAAAAAACAAAAGAAGAAGGATGCTATAAAAACCTGATAACAAGCATTTGGTGGTCACAATCGATCGGTCCCTGTTTCGTCATATAAGTGTTTCACTTCAAGTCCATGGAAATCTAGACACTGTGACGGGGCTTTGTTTTAGATTTTTAGATGTATTTATCGTGGCTGGCTACTGGTTAGGGGTTATAATTGCGATCATCTAAGTATCAGCCTATCAAAATGCTTCATGGGATCCACTTCTAGTGGGAAACTCGATGGTGGAGATAATCCCTGTCAACTATTGGCCCTGAATCTTTGGTTGATGCATAGCAACCATGCGGTCATTTAGAGGCATATCACGGAGTTGATGTGTTGTCTGTGGTAACGCAATAGGGATTGATATCGGGCCGACAATCAAGAATATGGAATAGGAACTACTCCGTATACATCGCAGACTCAAGAAAAATCTGCTTTTAGATAATTCGGGACCAAGCGAAAAGAAACATGGAACCAAGACGGGTAGAAAGAGTAGTTCCAAGAAAACATAGATGATTAATTGGAAATGGCCATGTGGAGCAAAAGGAACCAAGATCTCATTTGTAGAAGCCCAATCTTGACCCACCCGTCTAACGCAATTGAGGTTTTGAGAATGTCCTTATCGGCGTAAATTGAGAATCCTCAAAGCAAGAACAAGGTTTGCAAAGATTTTGCTCCACAGCGTTAAGCCTGTTTACTCCGATGAGATTTTATATATGTGAGACCCACCCTTCCACCAACTCTCTCGACAATCTGCCTCGCGATTTCTGACAATGCGCCCTGGTCTATCTGCTACCCAGATCGTAGGCGCAAGCCTAGTCGCGAACCAATTCGCGAGCGCCTTATCACCGCGCACGGAAATTGACGATTCTTATGACTTTGTGATTGTGGGAGGCGGTCAAGCTGGACTCGTGTTGGGCGCTCGTCTTTCGGAGGATAAAAACCATACCGTACTCGTTCTTGAGTCGGGTGGGGATGGAGATGAATATCGCAAGCGCATAGGTGCGTTCGATTATTCGATATTGGGAAGTCTGCAACATTTCTAACCCCGGTACAGATACACCGGCATACTCTTATTTCGATTCATTATGGACGACACCCTTGAATTGGGATTTTTACACTGTTGCGCAGCCCAATGCAGACGACCGTGAGATTAATTGGCCTCGTGGCAAAGTTCTTGGAGGTTCGTACAAGTATCTGATTCTAAAGAACAAGGAACAGAAATTAAGACAAATATAGGCAGTTCCGCCATCAATGGGCTGTACATGACCCGTCCGGGTGAAGATGAAATCAATGCCTGGAAAGATATGCTCGAAGATATGGACGGTGCCGATAACTGGTCGTGGGACTCATTCTACGCCGCCATGAAGAAAAGCGAGACATTCACACCTCCAACTGATGATGTGATTGATCAGGCTGGGATCACCTGGAATGCGAAAGATCATGGCACTGACGGGCCGATCCATGCGACATACCCGGACTAGTATGCGGAATCCTGTTTCCTAGAATTCACCGACAGGGCTAACACATTCCTAGCACATTCCCCGAAGTTGGTGACTGGTTAACGTCACTAGAGAGCATTGGAATTGACATTTCTGATAACATGTACGGAGGTGAAACCTGGGGCGCTGACGTCGCGACCTCCTGCATAAACCCTTCAAATTGGACACGGTCCTACAGTCGTTCAGGTTACCTCGATCCGCTTCCAGAGCGCGACAACTATGATGTATTGGCGAATGCGCATGTGACTCGGCTTATTTTCGAAGATTCTACATCTTCGGACAAGAAAACAGCGAGTGCTGTTGAATACACAACCGATAAAGGATCAACGAAACTGAAGGTTAGGGTCAACAAAGAAGTCATCCTAGCGAGTGGAACTATCGGCAGCCCGGCTGTATTGCTCTACAGCGGTGTCGGTCCGAAGGACGTCCTCTCCGAGGCCGGTGTTGACCTTGTATTTGAACTTCCTGGTGTCGGCCAACACCTTCAAGACCATTTTGTGAGTGCATTTGCTATTCATAAAACGAGCATGTAACTGACTTAGTTGCACAGAGTGCCACCGTCAGATGGAGCACGAATGTGGACACAGCAGGTTCCATCTTTTACGATGGCGGCAAGGATAAGGTGCGTCCTGTGTATCATATATCAAACAAGGCTATATGCTAATTCCTGCAGAACGATCCCAAATTCCTCACATATATCGATTCCGCCGTTGCCTACGTGAATTCTACCGCCATATACGGGAGTAAAGTCGATGAGTACGAGTCGAAATTCCTCGCCTCAATCGACCAGTATGCCCCGAACACGACTTACGACGATGGCGTGGTCGCCGGCTACAAAGCAATCTGCAACACGACAGCATCGAAGATCTTCAACGGCCCGACAGGTCAAATCGAGCTGCTGTTCATGAACAGCGAGGCAAACGGCGATATTGGCATCACAGCCGCCCTCCAACATCCATTTAGTCACGGCCGTATCTACATTAACTCCTCGGACCCAATGGACTTCCCTGTCATCGACCCAAATTATCTGAACAACCCAGCCGGTATGTACCCCTCCAACCAAGGTCTAAACCAAAGTTTTCCAATACTGACAATAACCTAGATTATGAGATTCTCCTCCAAGGTATCAAACTCGCCCGCAAACTAGGTGAAACCAGCCCAATGAGCAAAAGCCTGACAAAAGAAACAATCCCGGGCTCCACCGTTCAGAGCGACGAAGACTGGGTAGAATGGCTACGCAAGGAAGCGGGTACGGAGTTCCACCCGTCCTCGTCGTGCGCAATGCTGCCCGAGAAGCAGGGCGGCGTAGTCGACGCCAATCTACGCGTCTACGGCCTTACCAATGTGCGTGTTGCAGATGCCAGCATCATTCCCATCTCCTTGTCCACACACTTGATGTCCTCGACATACGGTGTAGCTGAGCAAGCGAGCGATATCATTCGCGCATACTACAAGGCGGCGTCGGAGCCCAAGCCGGCTTTCAGTTCTTCCGGCTCGTCCAGTTCCACAGCTGCCAGCAGCGCAGTTGCCGTGAAGAAGAGTGGTAGTCCGAAGAGCAATGGTAGTGCTGCTGGTAATGGTGGCTCTGCTTTATCGCTCGTGTGGACTTCTCTTGTTCTTGTTTCTGTACATGCTGTTGTTGGTTATGCTGTGTTTGTATAGGATGGTGTTTGCGTTCGGTGGTAATGATAATGATAATCGATGCTGGTTGAATCCAGCTTTAGCATTTATGAAGTTCAATGTTTGTGATGTGTTAGGAATCTTGGGAGAAGGGATATCGTGAGAGTCTTATTTTAATGATAGATATCTGCCTCGCTAGAGCCCTTCATATAGTCGAAATCATCTCAAACATAAGACACCTGACTCTGGTCCAGGCAGAATATAAACATTATTGTTTCACAACGACCTCAACCTCAAATCTTCAACTTCCCATTGACCGCCACCAAAGCCCCATCCTTTCTAACCTCAAAATCCTTACCCAACTCCCACCCCACCCACTCCCTAAGCGTATCAACACCCCCATCCCCAGGCAAAAGCCCACCACCCGACCAACCTCCCTTATCCGCCAGAATCGGCGCCGCAGGCGTATCAACCAGATGCACGATAGGCTGCTGCTCATACCCATCCTCTTCAAGCTCCGCCTGCTCCAAAACAGGCGTAGCGCAAGCATCTGTACCATCGAAAACAGCTTCCCACTCCACCCGAGTTTTCTCCTTAAACCTCCTCGTAAAGATCTCCCTCAACTTCGGCCATTGCTCCCGATTCTCTCTCTTCGGAAGCTCCCCAATCTCAAATCCTAATCCCCGCACGAACGCCGCGTAAAACTGCGGCTCCAAGGCCCCAACGGCAAAATACCGCCCGGAGTCCTTAGTCTCGTACGTATCATAATACGGACATCCACCATCCAGCAAATTCTCTCCACGCGGCTGCGCCCATGCGGGAGTATTTCTCCCTAACCGCGGGAACGTGGCAAGATAGGCGGAGCCGTCGACCATATTCGCCTCCACGACCTGCCCACGGCCGGTATGGGAGCGGGAGATGAGGGCGAGTAGGATTCCCTGGAAACAGACTGCACCGCCGCCGGCGAAGTCACCAAGGATGTTGGCTGGGGCGTAGGGCTTTTCGTTTGCCCGTCCAAGCATGGAGAGCACGCCTGAGACGGCGATGTAGTTTATGTCGTGGCCAGCCATGTTTTTGTATTTTCCATTACGGCGGAAGCCTGTCATGCGGGCGACAATTAAGCGGGGGTTGTGTTTTTGGAGGACCTCTCTTGGGGATATGCCGAGACGTTCGAGGACGCCTGGGCGGAAGGGGTCGATTAGGACATCGGCGCTTGTGAGGAGGCGGAGCAGGATGTTTATGGAGGCTTTGTCGCGGAGGTCGAGGGTTACAGAGGTTTTGTTGCGGGTTAGTTGGTCACTGCTTATGGAATTGGGTCGGTCTATGCGGAGGACTGAGGCGCCGTAGTCGGCTAGGAGAAGGCCAGCAAATGGACCTGTGGTTGTTAGTGGTGGTGAGGTATCGTGGATTTCATTGCGTACCTGGAGCTAGGCCTGCCAGCTCAATGACCTTGATTCCTTTCAATGGTGACATTTTGGATTTTTATTGATATTGAAAGAACAGTGTTTAAAAGTGACACCCGGAGGCCATTTAGTACAGGTCGGTAGAATGTAGAAGGTTCTCCGCAGCCGAGGTCCGTTGACATATGCGGGGAAATTATGCCGCGCTAGAACAGATTTGGACTCCAAGCATAAAGGGCTCTTCAACTTAGGGTTCTAACGTCACTTCTTGCATGCTGTTACTATAGTATTCTACCTAGAAAACAATCGAACAATTATATACCATATACTTGCCGATATTTCGAATCCCTAATTAAAGTTACCCTCGATTATCAGCCTAATCATACAAGTCTCTCCTAGTAGAGATAGTTTCTAGTTACTGGTTACTGATAGATAGAACTAGAGTGGTTATATTACTTAGTCCTGGTGAATTTTTAAAAAATGAATGAATACTGCGTATGCTAAATCATTGTGGCCAGCTTCTGGAATGGAACAAGACAACTACTATGAACATATTTTCTACTATATATTAAAGCTTACTTTACTCCATGATGACTAGGTAAAAGTATAAAAGTAGCCAAGATAGTGTGAGCGGGAGTAAATTAGAAGATACGAGACATAAAAACTTCTCCACACTTAGCCTTGAGAAACGAATCGAATAAATCTCACATTGTCGACCACTCCATCTTAATTGGTTCCAAATCACCAGCCCCCCTGAAATCCTCCAGTATATCCGCCTGCTCACTCAAAAGTACGCGATCGGCTTGACTCGCGCCCACCTTCGCTAGTTGCCTCCATCGGGCGAGATCCTGTGGGTTGCGCTTGTCCCCGTGGGCTTCTTCATTATGGGTCCAATGGCCCTTGGAGAACCCAATTAAAGTTGTGATGCGTTTGTTAGGGATGTCATGCACGAGCGAACAGATCGTGCCAGTCTCCTCGAGCCAGTTACATTGCCATAACTCTCCAGGGCGAATGCATTGGTATGTAGCCGACTGGAAATTCTTTCGGCCCGCCATTGGACCTCCATGGATAGCATAGACAATGCGGTCTTCATTGTAGAACCACATTTCGTATCGCCATTTTTCAGGGTTGCCCTGGGCGTCCTGTGCTGCGTAGTCGTAGATCATGTGGCGATCTCGGATGTCGGCATCGAAGGTTGAGCCTTCAAGAGAGGGAAGGACCGGCATGCTCAAGTTTGTTTACCGCTTTGTTTTAGAAAGAGAAACTAGCAAGATGTGATCTTCGACTTCAATCGGTGTGAAAGTCCAAATTTATAGGCACGGAAATTATCATGATTCATAGACTTTTTGACCCCTTGATTATATGATGATTTTGAGAATTGAGTGGGGCATTGGTTTGTAGAACCCCAAGCTGGATCCGGATAGATGAGACTGGTCATCAATCTAATAAATACTAGTTCCAATTACCCTGTAAGATCGGCCTCCGTTACAGGGAGGATCGAAATCAGTTTCACCACTTACAGAGATTCTTTCTCAAACCCGGTCCCAAAACACTCTAGCCCCGAACCCCTTGGAAGTATTCCAGTGCAGTCATAAATATTAGCTTAAAAATAGCTTCTGTACTAGACCCGTAAGGTCTTCAGGGTTTCTAGAACGTTGATCCAGAAACAAGCCAAACAGACGAATGCTTTGTTTGGAGACATGACAGGAATCCAAAACGCCATTCTACCAACCACTTGCTCTCTAGGGTGACCACTGCGAACGAGCGAGCTGAATAGAGTGCTTATGATCACGTTACTAAAGTATTTATCAACAATTCCAAAACATTTCCATATACTCCCGCGCGCTCGTAGGCGTCACTTCCGGACAGAGGCTATTCACAGTGGGGTGCAGAACCACCTCGTCCTCTAAATCTCGGACATAGGCAAGGTTGAACTCGGTCCACATCTGTCCCATGAAGTCATCTTGAGCTAGGCTTGCTAGTCTCTTCTCGAGGTCCTCTCGCTTTAGGATAACCACTTTGAACTTCTTCCTAGTCACAGCTTCGGCATGCGCTAGCAGTCCTCCCATCGTCAGGGTGTCCCCTGCCATGCTCATGCTTTCTTCCCACTTTGGCAAGTTGAGAGAAGCAGCGACAAACCGGCCCACATCTTTCAAAGAGGTCATCGTGATCCGCGGCCATTGGCCATCGTCCTTGATGGGAAGCTCTGCGATGCCGTTTTTGAGTCCAATGAGAAAAGCCCCAGACTGATCAACCAGAGGCCCTTGTCTCTGGAGTCCTTGGCACGCTTCATCCTCACCAGCAATATACCCTCCCCCTTTCTTTAGTTGAACAAAAGCTGTGGCCTCGTCAAACTCGGGTTGAGAGGGTAAAGGATATATCCCAAGACCAAGGTAGTTCATGAAAGCTCCCTGGTTGAACTTAGCGCACTCTATCTCGTCTTTGTGCTTAGTACATTCATCCCACACGCCTTGGCTCCCCCATCGAAGGGTAGCAACACTCTCCCAGCCCTTAGGTCCGAACCCCCATTGGGATGGAGAGAAGCGCTTACATCCTGCCCGGAGCGCGGCATTCAGTATATTGATCTGGATCTGAGCTTGGGTGCCGTCGATGGCCGAAGTGACGGATATGACAGTGTGTATACCCTGTAAGGCAGCCACAAGTGATTCCATGGACAGATAGTCGACGGTGCGGATGGTGGTACGTGTTGATTCTTGGTCGATTGCACGCAGCCAAGTAGGAGTTTGGGAAGAGCGCGAAAGGATAACTATTTTCCATAGCGAAGTCGATCGGTTCGCTATGACAGCCGCAACGATGGCCCGGCCGAGGCTGGGTGACGTGCCCCCGGGAAGTGCCAAGGTAGGCATGGAAAGCGGTGGTGTCGTAGAAGGAAGATTAGTTTCAGTGCAAGATGATGGCAAATAAAGGGGTTTCGTAACGTTTTGCAAGAAAATCTATATTTTTTATATTGGGTCCAGAATAGCCATAAGTGTTCGGACGCTGTCCGCGGACACCGAATTATGGACGCTAGTTGGTACAGATAGCAACCCAGCCGGAGCCAGAATCAAGAGTGCCATTCGGTCAGGTGCGGATAGACCCGAAAATCCCCACCAGATTCAGTAGATACCTGCGGAGGAACCCGCGGGCTCCGTTGCGGCAATATTTGCTTATGTGGAAATGTGCCGTGGTGAAGAAATGATTTAAAAAGACAGCGGATTCGCGCCTGGCATTTCTTGTGTCGATTTGTCAGTCCAGTCCTCCCTTAGTCTGGCGAACTCAGCCCAGAAAATCGTCCACAATGGCCTCTGCACCCCCGACCATTCCTCGCCATATCTTCTGCAACCATCTGTTACGTGATAATCGTTTCCAACACAATTCAATACTTGAAACTAAACCAAGTCAAAAACGGATGAGCGTGTTTCGGACTAGGGCTCGAGAAAGATTCTAGAGCAAAGTGGTGAAACTGATTTCGATCCTCCTATCGGGGAAGAGAACAATTATCTAGATATAGAGGCGCGGAACATCAAATTGGTATTCTCCAATGGCAAAAGTCTGACTGTATCAAAAGTATGATCAAATTCAGCATAAACGCGCGGCCTTAAATAGACATCACTAGTCAATACTGCACTTTTTGGTGGGTTATCTCGACGTCTGAGATTCTGGATAAATTAAACATTTAATTTATCATCTCCCTTGGCTATCCAGTCGATAAAGGAGCAGTGGCTGGTTTCCTTGGTATAGATATCTTCTCCAGTTCTTCGAAAACTCTGTGGATATCACGATTCCGAGTAGGGGTGTTTCAGGGAACAACTGGAGCAAGAATCGAGGAAACGTGCGTGTCCGTCGATTGGACTTCACGAAATCGAAACGGGACACGTTGAGCGGGTACTTGGAAAAGGGGACAGCGCTCATCTTATTTCGATTGTAAAGAACGTCGAGGATGGGGCGGCTAGAGATAGTGCCGCATTGAGTGTCTCGAAGTGCCGCAGGAAGTCGAGGCGGTTTATATTGGCCCCTTGGTCCTGACCCATGGTGCCAGTCGGCTGATCGGTGGTTTGTGCGCTGATCAGCTTTCTGGTGCTGTAGCACTATAAATGCCATCATACTGGCGATGCCTGCGGAGTCATCGTGGTTGGTTTGATAATCGCACCAAACCATCATGTGTGGATCGGTCCTTAGAAGTAGAACCAGTTGCCATGTGTTAAAGCACAGGGGTTGCTGGTTGAAGGTTGGAAATTGGAATGTTTAGGAGGGGAAGAGGAAAAGCCCCTTACTAGTAGGGAAGATGCGTTAGTCGAAAGGGAGATAGCATTATGGGTTATAGACAAGTATAAGGTAATGTGGCATTTTAATGCAAGGTGCATCTCTGTCTATTGTACACAGCAAAAAATAAAATGAAAAATAAGTCAGACTCGACGGCGACACCTTGAAATGGATATCATTAGGAGGTTGAGAACAAACGGACTCGACCACTCGCAAGACTTCAATCCGAAGACACGAGGGTCTCATCACTACTGGCCTGAGTAAATCACAAAAAGAGACCAGGAGGTATTGAATCACTCCAGAGACTGGAGATCGGATAAAAAAGAATATAATAAAGACAATATCGTAAAGGAAAAAAAAAATAACCAGTCGCTAGTAATTACCAGTTCTTATTGAGAACAGCATCGTGAGATCAATCATATCGCGGAGATGATGAGATCATGCTGTCCAGACAAGCGGGCAGCTTCACAGCATCATGAACATGGAAAGGGCGACGGCGAGGACGCCACCGAGGCCAGCCACGTTGGCCCGCGAGGCGGCACCAGTGTAGACTGGGGACACGCCCACGGGGTTGCCGGTGGGCGCTGCGGGTGTGTCCGCAGTGGCCGTGGGCACAGGGTGGAAGACTAGGCTTGACGAGGGTCTACCGGCGTGGAATCCTCCGCTGGGGATGGCCTTGAAGGAAGAAGATGCCACCGCGGAGCTGGCAGCAGGGATAATGGCCGTAGCAGAGGGAATCGGGATAACTAGGGTGACGCTGCTACCGGTAGGACCACAGTGCTTGCAGTAAGTCACAGTGGTGGTGAAGCCCTCGGGCACCGAAGGAGCGGTGGGCTGCGACACAACCTCAGTGGTAGTAGGGGCAGCGGGCTTGGTGAGGGTCACGGTGGTCGGGGTAGCGGCGCACACGGTGCAGACGGTCACGGTAGTAGTCCAGCCTTCGGGAATGGAGGCAGTGGAAGTGGCAGGGCCGGAAGTAGGGGCGGTAATCTCGGCGGTGCCAGTGGGGATAGCAGTGGCAGTGGCATCACCAGGGCAGTAGGTCTTGGTGATAGTGGTGGTGATGGTGGTGAAACCGGTGGGGCAAATATCAATGTAAGAGGTCACAATGATAGTTGTGGTGGTACCCGGAGCCAAAGAAGAAGGCGAGGCAGGCAAGGAGGGAGTGGCAGTGATACCAGCGGGGGCTGTGGTGGAGTCAGTGCCAGTAGGCTTGGAACCTCCAGTGGTCTCATTGCCAGGGGGCTTGGCGCCTCCAGTGGTAGTCTCGCCGCCAGTGGGCTTGGCGCCCCCAGTGGTAGTCTCGCCGCCGGTAGGCTTGGAGCCTCCGGTGGTATTCTCGCCGCCAGTGGGCTTGGAGCCCCCAGTGGTAGTCTCGCCGCCGGTAGGCTTGGAGCCTCCGGTAGTTGTCTTGTCGCCGGGGACACCGGTCGGGATGGCACCTTCATCGGTGGAAGAGGCGCCAGACTCGGTCGCAGAAGGGACAGGAGTTCTGGAAGAGCCCGAGACCCGGGGAGTTGTGTGGGAGTGGTGGTGAGTGTGGGTGTGGTGTCCATGGCCGTGACCACCGTGCGAGCTGTGGCCGGGGGTGGGGCTGGGAATGGGATGGCCGGATGAGGGGGTCACAGAACTGCTAGAAGCCACCGAGCTGGAAGTGGTAGTCAAGCTGGAAGTAGTGGTCGAGCTGGAAGTAGTCGAGGAGGTGACCGGGGTCGAGGAGCTGACCGGGGTCGACGAGGTGGTCGAGCTGGAAGTGGTGGTCGAGCTAGAAGTAGTCGAGGAGGTGACCGGGGTCGAGGAGCTGACCGGGGTCGACGAGGTGGTCGAGCTGGAAGTGGTGGTCGAGCTGGAAGTGGTGGTCGAGCTAGAAGTGGTGGTTGAGCTGGAAGTGGTGGTGGTGGTGGTGGTTGAGGATTTAGTGGTGGTGGTCGGCTTGACAGTGGTGGTGGTGGTGGTGGTTGTAGGCTTGGGAGGAAGAGGAGCGTAACCGTACAGGATATCCTTAATGTGCTGAGTGTATGTTTTTCCGTTGATGAGGTTGTTGTCACCGGCAGTGGCCTCCCACAGCATCACACCACCGAAGTGCTTGTTCTTCACATAAGTCTGAATAAGGGGCTTCACCTGGGTAGGAGTAAGGTAGAATCCGTCGTTGGCGGCAGCCTTCGAGGCAGGAAGACCAATGAACAGCTTGGCATTAGGGTTGGCGCTATTCTCGATGACGGTGACCCATTCATTGAAGTTGAACTTGCCTTTCCCGGTAACCGTGCTGGCAGCAGAGCAAGTCTGGGTGTTGTACCACTGAACCCAGATGAAATCAAACCATGACTTGGAAATAGCGTCGCCGAGCTGCTTGTCCGGAATGGGACACTGGGGAGCACCGGAGATGTAATACTTCTGTTTGGGTGCGGCGGCGAAATGCTTGCGCAGACGATTGATCATGGCAGCGTATCCTAGGCAGAGGTGTTAGAGTGGGTATAACCATTAAGGTTGAGCATCAGGGAAACATACCAACATTGCCATTGTACTCGATATCAAAATCAAATCCATCGACTGCGACATTGAGGAATGGGCGAGGGTATAGCTTGCCCTTCATGGCCGCGGTCCACGTCAACGAAGAGAACGATTCATCGTAAGGACCAAAGGAGTGCCACAGGAAATCCGCAAACGATTCTGCGGTAGCCACGTCCTTGAGAGACTGGGTTGTGGCAGAACCACCACCGAGAGACAGCAGGACTGTCTTGCCAGCAGCCTTGCAGCTAGGGATATCCTCCCAAATCTGGTGGCAACCCTTAAGCAATCCTGTGCCGGGGAAAAAGGAACCATCACACTGATTGCCAAAGTTGGAACCAGGGTAGTCCCCCACCTTTTTGGGGAACTCATGGATGAACCCAATGTTGATAATGTCCGACGTAGTCTGTTCACAGAAATGCTTGAGACGGGGTTGGTTGGCACCTTGTCCGTAGTAGACAGCAACATTATTCTTCAGGCTGGGATCAACAGCAACAGCAGACGATGCAAAGAGTGAGAGAGCCGCTGACACGGCGGCAAGAGACTTGAACATCATGACTAAAATGAATGTAGTAGTTTATATGCAATAATTAGATGCAATAGAAATTGCTTATTAACCCGATAAAAAGAATGGCAGGTTAGCTCGCGAACAACGAGAGGACGCAGAAAAATATCTGCTTGGGAAGTTTCCCAAAGTGCTCAAAATGAGAGTGTTGATGGTCAAAGGAAAATGCAATTCCTGGGGGAAAAGAGACTGAAATACATCGAACGCCAGTTCACCTCCGCCCCCTGGGGAATATGCCGACCTCCGACATAGCGTACACTAATCAGAAAGTAGAATAGAGCCATCAAAGCGTGGAAATGAGGTGTGTGATATCCGGATGACTCGACGATTCACAGGTCAGTGCTACTCCGAATTCACTCCACCGGTGCAGGGCTATCTAACGCAGAGTCCCAAAGTGGATTCGAAGCTTGATAGTGCGAACACTAGACCCGGGGGCCAACAGGATCTATTCACAACGGCTATAAGACTAACCGGGTAGGAACCCCGACGTGGAAGCGACCTTTCCACTGCAGACTGGTCACAGGCCAAACGCATGACCTGTAATATGGCCATACCGCCAGTGGCGTAAAAGAGTCCCATCCGAGGAGGAAATAGGTCAGCCGTAAGTCATCCAGGCTTTCTTTGAGGAGGGGTACGTGCTGGCCTCCGTGCCTGTTTCGGCCTATCTCGGTGCGGTAATAGTGCAAGAGCCGCATGAAAGAGGCTAAGAGACCCTAACAGGGTCTAGCCGGATTGGAGCCAGGGTCATGACTGAAGCAGAGTTATTAGCCCGATATATAAAATCCAATCACACCTCGTGGTTTAGGCACTAGAGCACGGGCGCCCTCGGGACCCACCGGCCGTTGTATGCCGGATGTACACACTAAATATCCGAGAGTTGGACACATGGATGCAGGAAGGTACATAGTACGCAGGAAAGTGCAAGGAGTATTCATTTAAGTGCTAAAATCAAGAAAATACTAGAAGTGTAAGAGCCCGTGGATATATGGTCTGAGGTGTAAGAATCTTGGAATTGAAAAACAAGGAGATCAGAACCGACGGAGCTAAAAGTTAATAAGCCTACGCTAAACCGTCGGGGGTCATAGTGTGGGGTTAAAATCCCCAGGCACACCAATCACAGGTGTCGATCCGGAGGAGGCCGGATCATCCTTTGTTATTCGCTTACAGCAAGTACAGCAGATACGAACAGTTTAAGATTAGTGTCTCACTTGCCTCTTCATCTTTTACTTCCTATTTAGTTCCACTTTAGTTCCTCTTTGGTCCTTTACCTAACTCCAGCTGAAAATGTAACTCTGTGCAGAGAATCTGCTCTGGATGGCCCCCACGTTGCATTTTTTTTTATTTTTCCGGTGTATGCAAGGTATGCATGGTTCGGAGATATACCCATTAAAAAGGGTTTTTTAGGCGACAATGACGCCACTCATCCTGCCTGATTGAATTGCTCACCTATTATTATTGTAATAATTATTATTGATACACTAGCCAATCTTGGAAGTGTGCATTTCACATTTCCCATAAGCCGCGACCGCCTCCAAGGCTATCCAAGTTACTCCGTAGCCGAGATGACAAAATACAAAGTCAATTCCAGCCCCATGCGGGTACAAATCCAGCCGAAGGGGTTCCTCCAGTGTAGGTTATATCAGTATATTAATCATGTTCGGGCGGGAAACTGGGGGCGATCCATGTGGATCATCGAAGGATCCTCTCTATACGCATTCCAGCCCTATCTCCATGAACATAACACACAAACTCTAAGAACTACCGGTTTCGAACCCTAATTAAAAAAATGTTTTATTTGTTTACGCTATGCTAGGAACCATACATTTGTCGTTTGCATCTAGAATATTCAATTTTCGGCTCTATTGTCGATGTGCCGGCCTCTCCGGTGTACTAAATCTCGATCGCTTCCAAGTTTAGTATGGCCAAAGCAACGACAGCGACAACTTCATCATTTCGTGTTTATGTTAAGTGGATATGGATACTGATAGAAAATATCCACCATGAAAAAGTAGCCACCCATAAGCCACGAAACACAGTATAAGTAACCAAGTGGAAACTCAATTTCCGAGCTCATCGGCAAGATCTTCTGTGGAAGGTTCTTCGTGATAAAACATGTATTATACTGTCCCTCTGACTAGGCTGCCCGGCTATATACTCCATAGGATTATTAGATTTAAGCATTTCAACCTGGATGCTTACTTCCTGGGCTGATCTAACGCCAGTGCAGCGGAAACATGACTATGGTCACCGAAATATTGGTAAATGCAAGCTCCGAGACATATATTGCAATTATCCTCATCATGATGATGATGTTCCACAACTAGAGTCGCACCTCCTTATCGCGTTCACGCTCTGTTTACGATTAATTTCATATCTCTCTGCCTCTGCTATGATAATGCCAATGCCAATTGACCATTTTCCAGTCGCATCTATGATAATATCACAAAGCTATTGTGATGAATGATAACGCACTAATCAAGCATGAATTATGATGCACAATGAATTCGCCCCTCGATGTTCGATATAGGGTTAGAATCAAGTATCAGAATAATTCGAGAATCCATGTATGAGAAAATTCGCGGATGTTGAATTGAGTGTTAAAAGACACAATCTTTGATCAAACAACCACACTCTTCTACAATACCGCAAAATAAATACACTGGTGTTCCCACATCTTCCTGAAGGCTCGCGAGTATCGAAAAGAGAGGTCCAAAGCATTCAAATACCGAGACAACATGTGAGTGTGCTTTGATTCGAGATTTCTGTCATTTATTGCTCATTGGAAATAAATAAGCTGACCTGATAAACCTATAAACTAAGGCACTGTTTGCCTGCAGTATCAGACCTCCCTTTGTCCCCATCGCTCTATGTGGACAAAAAACCCCCACTCAGTCAATATTCATCGCATCTATCCAATCAATCAATATCATCTGGGCCTGTGGTCCCCAATGACTATTCTTTCTTGACAAAAAAAGACAGTACGCAAGATGGAGAGAGAGGCCACGGAGGATGCTATAATGCAAGAAACGGACATTGCCAGATAATCTAATATTGTCGGCCGCAGCACAGGATTCGAGGAACTCCTGAGACTCAGACACATCTACAGAGAGATGAGGTTTTAGTAGAAGATACCACAAAGAGTAGACAATATATTTATGAGCTATAGAAACTATGGAAGGCAAGGCTGTAGAATTCTAATAATATGGGGAAACTACTGGTCCCATTCTCGCCGTGGATTCGCAATCCAGGCTGGGGCACATTTTCACATAAACATACAAGAATCAAGGTACATCTGTAGTCACTTCGGAAGGCTACTCGGACAATTCCAGCTCCTCCAACACTAACAACTCGAATGACTCCAATAAATCAATCTCGATCTACCCCAAAGCGATGTCAATCGCCAATGAATACATGAGCGTTATGGAGACCGCTGTTCCAGCTTCTTGGGAGTATATGAACTCCGCCGCAATAGCTTCAGTCGCCAGCGCTGCCGCGGCTGGCACCTATCCAGCCTGGTATAACGACCTCTAAGCTAGCATCAACGCGGTGGTTACTGAGCTTGGTGACCTCAACGCACTTGGTTCTTGCTATGGGCACTACTTCCTCTGAGCGTGCGTCTGAAACTGCCGTGGCTACTACTGCTGGCGCATCTGATTTTGTTTCCACTAAAACGTATGCCTCAACTCATGCCTCTGTTACATTTGGTGCTGCTTCCAGCTCTCAGTCGACTACCTTCCGTCTGCGCGCCCAACCGGTGGTCACACTATCCCCACTGGTGGTGTAGCTATGGGTGTTGCTGGATCGGTTGACTTCTTGCGCCTTGCTGTTGCCCTTTAGGGTGTTCACAATAGCGTTTGATCTAAAACGCCGTAATTTTGATCTACCCATTTGTGTATGAATTAAAATGACCAATTGTGCATGGCATGCTATATCTCAGGGTCGGTAATATTGAATGACCGTCAAGAGGGGCAGTAAGACAAGAGTAGCTCTATTCTTATTACACTGAGATTCCAGATCTGTTCTCTGATTTCGGATTGCTGCCTAGTACTGAGGCCATGTTTTTTTCCCTTTACACAGAGTATTGGGGACGCACGGACATCAGGGGGCCGGGGGCTGTTGGAACCAATCATGTTCTGTTATTTGTCAAACTGGAGCCACTCCAGGCAGGAACCAGGGTTTATGTGGCCTAGTGGTATTTTTTTATTTCCCTTCAATATCATCCGCCAACCCAATTTTCCTCCTACGCATACGCAAGACTCATCTTCTAATAAAGCAATGCCGTCGCTACTTGATCTTCCCTTGGAACTTCTGGGGCTAATCGTAAAAGAAACGATCCCGGTGGATTTTGAAGCAACAGCCCTGTCTTGTAAAGATTTGTTTGCAGCAAGCACCCCTTTCCGAGCGGAATATGCTACCCGAAGGAAACGGTTTAGAAACTTTACATTTTCGCAGAAAGTTGAAAAAAGTCTAGAAGGGGCAAAGGAATCCGACTCAGGCGAATCTTGGGATGAAATTACCCAAGAAACAGGCATCCGAATCACAACCACGCGAGGGCTATTGGAACAGATCGCCCTGGATCACTCTTTGGCACAATACATACAATCTGTCAATCTCAGGGATCATGAGGACGAAGATGAAGATGAAGATGAAGAGGAAGAGGTATCAGGCCCTTTGGAGGCCGAGGTGCCGGAGACTCTAAAGAACTTGGTGCTTAGGTCGCCCTTCATTGAAGCCTTCAAAGGGGATCCCGATGATTGGATTAGAGGAATTCAACGGTCCACGGTATATGCAGATGTTTTTCTCCTGACATTGCTATCTCAAGTGCGAAAGGTGGCTTTACACCCACGTTGGGATGAACTATATCCCTTTGATAAAAGGAATTTGGCCAATAAACATCTTTGGCCGGTACTCGAGCTGATTATGCACCGTGCAAATCACGTCGAGGAATTTCCTGATGCGCCGTTGTCAAAGCTCTCCATAGTGAAGCCATCTCGTGACAACGGCTATGAAGAAAAATCCTCATTGACTCCATTTATACCATTCATGGCGATCAATTCCGTGTCAGAAGTCTCCCTGACCAGCTGCCTCTTTATTGATGATGGTTACACTGGAATTCCCTTTGACCCATTGGTTGAATGCTATAGCACAAACTTGCGGAAATTAAGCTTAGACATGAGTGTCGCCGGTCCGGAGGAGGTATCACAGCTACTCTCGCGAATTCCAAACCTAGAGATCTTTGAGTTCTCTCATGAAACAAAGTGGCATGGCTGCGGCCATAACTGGAACATTGGTGCATTTTTGGATATTGTGCAGAATATCTGTGCGGAGAATCTGAAGACATTGTCGGTGACAATATTCACTTGCTGGGGCAATAAAGGAGCCACACTGGTGGATATGACTCGTTTTCGGAAATTGGCTGTGCTTGAATTGGACATCGACACATTGTGCAATCCCCCATATGATCCATCGACGGGATACATCGACTGGGATGAATGCGAGTCAGTTCCCGGCAGTCCAGCCTGGCCGAAACTAACTGAAATGTTGCCAGCGTCCATTGAAACGCTCAACTTGTATCTAAATACATTCAGTGATGATCATCTGAAGTGCATCACTCATCTGATCGACGGTCTTTCAGATGGTCGGGCCACAAAGCTGCCCCATTTAGACAAGTTGAGCCTTTTTGTATGTATGGATTCGGACCCGACGATTCCGGACGTGGCACTTGGGGCTTTAAATGCTGCGAAGATGAGTGGCTTTTCAATTTTGGAACTCGGCAAATCGATTCCTCTTATTTAAATGCCCATTTCGGGATATTGAACACAACAAACATTGATTTTTACCTCCCCGTCTGAAATTGCTTCTGCGAGACGTTCGAGTGTACACACAGATTACGACGACCTGCGAGAATGACACCCGAAACTATCGCTCTTGACCATACTCTCTTTCTCTACCTCGTTTCCTTGGCGACTTGTTCGGGAGATTTTCTATATGACTTGACGTATGGATATCAACATCCTTCCAGGGTTGAAGTCAAGTCCAGTTGCAAATCAGAGGTAGCCCCAGAGTATTGCAAGAGATCAATGATTGATTAGGAGGTATTCCAGGGCATCAAGGTCAGCCATTTTCTTTACACATTTTGGCAAGAGTGCTGGTCGGAGTTGGATCTCAGGAATAAAGCTGTTCAATCTCACCACAACAAAAACCCACAGAAACCCGCTAAGATTAGGGTGGATCAACTCAACCCTTTGCGTTCGCCCCTTATCATCCGCATTCCCCCACTTTTTATAGGCGAATTCATCTCCCCAGGTCTAGTAGACTACCATGGACCCCAACTCACTAGCCCCGGCCTTGTACATCACGGGACTGGGATCGCAATATCCTCCCTATCTGCTGGGGCCCGATGATCTTGAGAAATTTGTAGCGCGCTTTCACGATGTGAGCCGTCCAGGGTAAGCTGTTCAACTTAAACTGCTCCGCAGAAATTGTCTAATTCTTTGTATCTAGAATCAAAAAGCTGCTTCAGGTCAACCGCTCAACGGGCATCGAGACCAGATCTGCAATCCGACCGTATGAGGTAGGATTTGCAACGCAGAAGAACCCACCCTCAATCAGTGAAATTGACCAGTTCTTCCGTCAAGCCGGGGTCGACCTTGCCGTTGAAGCGTGTAAGAAGGCTCTCAGAGAGGCACGCGTCACTCCCCAGCAGATCACCCATACGATCGGGGTTACCTGTACCAACCAAGGTAACCCGGGGTACGACTTTCTAGTAGCCCAAAAACTGAGCCTCCCGTCCAATGTCGACCGCATGCTTCTTCATGGCGTCGGGTGTGCGGGTGGGCTGTCCATATTGCGGGCCGCAGCGCAGATATCCGGTGGGGCAAGTTTTCGACGGAAACCGGCCCGCATTTTGGCATTCGCTTGTGAGCTGTGTACGCCTAATGTGCGACGATATCTCTCTTTGGCAACAATAAGTCCAGATTCTGATCAAGTCAACATTGCAGCGGCCTTGTTCTCAGATGCTGCGGCCGCGTTTGTTCTTTGTAACGAGTACGCTATGGCTCAGGACAAGCAAGTCACTCCTCAATATGAGCTTCTGGAATGGGGTTATGATTTGATTCCGGATACCGCAGAGCATATGACATTTTATGCGGATATAGATGGTCTGTCTGCCATCATGTGCCCTTTCAAGATATATTTGAGACTAATCATACACACCAAGCTTTGGTGGCATTATATAGGTTATCGAGCTACACTAGATCGAGATATTCCCAAATATACCAAACATGCGATCGGACCGATGTTTGAGAGACTTCTTCCCTCGTATGAGAAACAAATACAGTGTCATCCAACAGCGGGTGGGCAACTGCTGAGATCGTTAGGGATTGGAGATTTCGACTGGGCCTTGCATCCCGGCGGAAAGGCAATCATAGATGGCGTAGCTCAAGTCTTGCAATTATCTGAAGACCAGCTGCACGTAAGTCGGGAGATATATCGCACGCGGGGAAACTCGTCTAGCGCTTCGGTCTTGATTGTCTTGGATCGGCTTCGTTCGGAAAGCAAAAAGGAGCATGTTGTTGCTACCTCGTTTGGTCCTGGTCTGGCGATTGAAATGTCACTGTTAAGAAGGTGTCAGGTAGACGAGCCCCAATGTCATGGGGACAATATTACACAGCCTAGTCATCCTTGAATATATTGTTGCATATGACGGTTAAAAGTGCAGTGCCCAGGTTAGAGAGACAAAGAAAAAGCAGTAGTGACGTCATCGGCAATAAGAAGGCGGTAGCCTAAATTCCGGAGAACCGCCAAAAGTGGAGAGTACCCAGGTGGAGATTCCGGTCTCTTAGCGTTAGGATGAACAGACTTTCAGTGGTGATCCCCAGGGCCTTGTTGAACTTCTGGGTAGGTATTGATATTCATTCATCCCAGTTCATCTGAGGTGGTACTGACTTCCACAGCCCCGTGTGACACACTCAATATCAGGCCAACTACAGGAAGACGTCACTGCGCGCTCTAGCGCCGATCACGCAGAGGAACGAGAGCCTTTCATAGTGGACCAGGAAGTTTTCGAGCAAGAGCCGCTTACAGCATGGATTATTCGGAAATTACTCAAAACATGGAGCGACACACGTGATTTCATCCGTTCAGAGCAGGGGGTGGGAATCTTCAAATGCGGCCTCGCATATCTCCTCGCCTCTCTAGCAGTCTTCACACCCATCATTGGAAATACCTTAGGTCACCAAAATGGTAAGCACATGGTGGCCACGATCACAGTTTACTTTCATCCAGCGAGATCGCAAGGCAGCATGTACAAAGCACTGATATGTGCCTTGGTCGCTTTTATCTTTGCTGCGGTCCTCTCGCTATCGAGCATGTGGATTACCATTCTCTTTCACGAGAAGTACAATATGATTGAATTGGGTCATGTGGTCGTCTTGGTAGTCTTTGTGGCTGGTGGGTTTGGATGCATTGGCTGGTTTAAGCAGAAAATGGATGATCCCCTAGTCAATATTGCCTGCTCTTTGGCTTCGCTGGCTTCGATTCTTGTCATTATGAGGGAAGGTGCGGTGCAAAAAGGTGCTCTTTCTTTCGACAAGATATCTCAGGTCCTAAGAATGGTTATTTTGGGTGTCGGGATAGCGGCGGCTGTATCGCTCTCGATATTACCTTCTTCTGCGCGCAAGAAATTCCGAGGAAATCTGTCAACGTTGACAAAAACCACGATGTCAATGCTGATAACGACCACTGAATCCTTTATTAGCGGGTCCACCCAGGTGCTACAGGAAGCACCGTTTGCTAAGCTGTCGGCGCGGCACGACAAAGCATTTGGCGAAATGAAAAATCGGCTCAACGAGTCGAAGTTTGAGCACTATGTCGCGGGTACAGAGAGAGAGTATTCTGTTGCAAAACGCCTCGTGAATCTCATGCAGGAAATCACACGTCGTCTAGGGGCTCTACGCGGCGCGGTAGCTTTGGAGTCTAGATTATTGAGAAGAGATATTCGTTTGAACCATTCAGAGGCCAAAGTTTTCGAAAACTTCAAATCCCGACTTGAAGCTTCTATGGTAAGCTCCAATGGCCCGTAGCAAACGCCTAACATGGTGTGTTCTAATGACTTGAAGAATCTTCTAGTTTCTACTCTGAGAATCATCTTCCAAGAACTGTCCTTTGGGCCTGCTCCCGATTACAAGATCTTCGTGGATAGCGGAGCTCGCCCTCGTATCGACGAAGCAATCAAGACTTATCGAGGCGATAGAATTGCCACCTTGCATTCGCTATCAAGCAAAGAAATAATGACCTCTCTGAGTGAGGAAAATAATGCCTGCTTTGAAGAGATATTCGCTAGCTGTAATTACTATTCGGTATCTCTTCTTCAACTCGCTGAACAAATGCAGTATTTCCTATTAGCTTTGGAGGAGATGCAAGCCGAGAATGATGAAAGACCGAACAATAGGTCATGGGCTTGGATTTGGGTTTCGTGGTGGCAAGCTGACCACAGGCACCAAAGGCCACAGTCAGCTGAAAGTGAGTTTTTACATGCTTAGAAGTATATGGCCTCCATAATGCTAATATGTCCCTTGCCAGCGTCGACGGCAACCCATCCTCACGGCGAATCGAATGACACCATCTTGACAGGCGTGATGCATTCCGAGCACTTTGGGCTTCAACATCCAGAACAACCTTTGTATAGCAGAACTCATTCTTACGGTTGGAGATACCTTGGTTTCTTTCGTGCGGACGAGGTCAAGTTCGCCCTCAAAGTAGGAACAGGAGCAGTGATCTATGCCTTACCCGCTTTTATATCCTGGATGAGACCCTATTATCTATTTTGGAGAGGAGAATGGGGCCTTCTATCATATATGTTGGTATGCTCAATGACTATTGGTGCATCGAACACTACGGGCTTTGCTCGATTTATCGGTACATGTCTTGGGGCCCTGTGTTCGATAGCTGCATGGTACCTTGTCGGTGAACGTGCTATCGGTCTCGCAATCCTGGGCTTTTTCATGGCCCTTGGTCCCTTTTACATGATTATTGTGAAGGGCCAGGGCCCCATGGGCCGTTTTATCCTACTGACCTACAACCTCTCTGTGCTGTATGCGTACTCTTACTCACAAACCGACAGCGACGAGCAAGATCGCAGCGGAGAGCATCTCAATATCACCGAAATCGTCCTTCACAGAGTCATCTCCGTCACCTCGGGCTGTATCTGGGGCATCATCATCACACGAGGCATCTGGCCAATTCGCGCATGGACAAAGCTAAACAATACCCTGCATCAACTATGGCTCCGGCTGCAGTTCGTTTGGGAATCGGACCCTTTGAGCACCATCGCCATAGCAAGCACACCCGCTTGCTTCATGAACTCCCAGGACAAGCTCGAGATTGAGCGCCTCTTTTCCCAACTTGAGCGTCTTCGGACATCGGCGCGTTCCGAATTCGAGTTCAAACGGCCCTTTCCAGATGCCGCATACGGTAATATCATCCGCCTGACCAGGCGTATTGTAGACAACCTGTATTCTTTGGATCTCATTCTAGTCAACGCTCCGGGGCTGTCGGAAGGCCAATGTTCTCTTCTCATGTATACCGCTGTTGTCAGGCAGCGGCTTTCCACTTATATATGCCATCTGCTAGCTGGTAAGTCTTAAAACCCCAAACCAATCGTTGGTTTACAGACAAGCAATCAAGCTATGTTTCTCTAATTACTGACTGAATCTAGTCATCGCATCGTCAGTGGAGCGGGAGAGGGCCTGTAGAGGTGCTCTTACAAACATAGAGTCTATAGAAGATGAGCTTCTGCGACAAATTTATCACTTCCGCCAAGAACGAATCCTGTCTCATTCGACTGATGATGTTGAATATGTGCTACTCCACTCTTTCAGTAAGATCCCTCGAGTCGAAGCTCTTCACAGGTTCCCGTGGTAACTCACATTTTCTGACCGTTTAATAGTCCTGGTCACCCACCAATTGTCAAATGATATCCTCAAGATCACGGTGGAACTGGATCGCATTTACCTCGCCTCGGATGATGAAGGTTTCAACCATGTATGAATAGACACGCTAGCTAGTATATATATTCCCCTGGCCCATAACTCCCCTAGATATTTGGTGTTGGATGACGCCAATTTCTTAACACCCGTAGCATTCAAATGGGATAGATGAAGAACTTATTCTCCATATCAGTCATATCCAGCATGGCAATTTCAACTTGCCTGCGTATCATATTCCCATTTTCATCAAGCTCCTCGACTACTCCAAGCTCATGCGCCTTCCTCTCTTCGCTAGTCAAGGATGCAGCCCAAGCTTGACGGTGAGAGTTCCTGCGTTTCAACAAGAACTGTATAACGAAAAGGATAACTGGCGTCCCCACCCAACTGACCACTATCATGGAGATCCAAGCACCGTAATAGCGAGGTGCATCCTTAGGAACCCATATCTGTGGCGAGCAAATGTTTGCAATGGAATATCCAGCCATGAACATAACATTTCGGGTCAGCTTCTTCGTGTAGCCGGCTGCAGATGATGTGGCCCAACCCAACGCAATGATATAGGTATTACCAAAGGTGTGTCCAGCCAACAGTAGACAAGCAAGCATCCCTAGTTTCTCGTCCCAATCAATAGCAACCATCCCAATTCCACCTGCAACTGCAGGGATACACCAGAAGAGTCCATGGAGGGCAAGATTTGAAGGCCACCACCGCAGGGCATATGCTCCAGCAATACAGACCAAGACACCGAAACCGCCACCTGCTGCAGCCACGAGAGTTGAGCCCAAACTGTCCACTCCAAGAGCCTTGGTGATTAGGTTCTGCTGTCCGTAAGTGAGATTATTTGACATCATTAGGGTGAAGGCCTGCAGAGTAAATAGCCATGAAACGGGGTCGCGGAGTGTCTCTTTAAACTGGCTCTTCTTGAACTGCTTCTGCTCAATAGAGCTTTGACTTGACTCGTGTACTCTTCTGATGGTGTGGATTTTCTCCTCCAGTGACAGGAACCTAGCCTCGGCAGGGTTGTTCGGATACCGAAACCAAACAAGAACAGAAAGAAGTACCGAGACACCCCCGGTAATAATCATGAACAGTTTCCAAGGCAAGATCGCGCTATGACTCCACAGTAAGCCGTAGGAGATAAACGCGGCACAAATAGGGGCTGCTGCCGACGTCAACCAAAGGACGGGTTGGAGAAACGACTGTTCATAACGATTGAAGAACATTCCGATAGTGACTTCCATTGCAGGTACAACCACAGACTCAGCGGCACCGAGGGCCAGTCGCAGAACCACAAGCGCGGCATACGTCGTGGCAACGCAATGAAGTAATAGGATAACACCCCACATGAAGACCAGAGAGGCGACAAATTTTCCAAATGGTAGTTTTTGCATGGCATAATGTCCCGGCCATTGTGCAATAATGTAACCTACGGGATTATTAGGGAAGGTATATATAAGCGGGGCAACAATACCATCACGTACCGACGTAGAAGAAAGTTCCAAGATTGTTGTACTCAGCCTTGGTGATGCCAGTCTCTTCGAATAGGCCGAGAATAGCGGCGTAGCCCAGAGTGGATTTATCAATCTAGAGAGGTTAGAGGCTTCAAACAAGGACTTCGGGTAACGAGCTCACAAAGAGTAGTAGGTTGATAGTGGAGAGTAGCCCGAAAACATGCCAGTATAACTTTCGTCTCAGTCTTTTCTCCTTCTCGGTTGTCAATGGACCAACAGAGTCTCCATGAAGCTCAAGAATGCGCAGGGTTTCATCGGCGTATTTGGTGTCAATAGCCCTATTATTCTTAGCTGATGGAATCTCTGTGCCCGTAGGCTCGGCCTTGAAGGCCAAATCCATACGCGCGTGCAGCTTATCGCTTAGCAATGAAAAGAAGCTTGTACCGCCCACTCAAGGCTTAAATGAACAGATACTCAGAAAGGAAGAAAGTGTTGGCCGAGTGAGTAATTTTATATTGTTTTGGCGGAATCCATCACGCCATAATTTAGATAAAGACGTATCTCTCGTGCTTTTTGTTGGCCTCAAAAATGGACCATCACAATTGTTATTGGGAAGGATCTGAATCACATACGATGGCCCCCAAATTATGTTAAGTGACACCTTTTTCCTATGGAAACTGACAATTGTCACATGCGAGCTGCACACCCAACCCATTAATTTTAAATGCATTTATTTCGGCCTTGGACCCTGGAGAAGGTGATGTATAACCAATCCTATTCAACCAACTCAATTTTTCTACATAGACAACGTCTAAACGACCTTCTCACCAATTTTAACGGCCTCATGTTTAAATATTCTAACAGTTAAATTTTAATTGCTCTAGTATCACCACCTCCGTTGTTCCACTAATATTTGTTGAACTTACAATTAGGCAGGCCTTTATATGTCTCCTGGATCGGTTCATTTAATCTGATCAAGAGACCGATATCAATTAATTGAGAATCAACGGCAGGCCACGACAACAGTTCCTCAACTATCTCTGCCCTCATAAACAAATGGGGGGTATGGTGTTTAGACTTGAGATCTGGAAAATAAACCTTAGGTACGCTACTACGGCTTCCAGAGATATCTAGCAACCTAGCCAAAGAAACCATTCTCACGAATGTTGTTGGCCTAAGACTCGTTAGAAAGATATAGCTCATCAGATTCATCCTCGGTTGTGTTCTCGTCGCTTGACGAGTTGGTAGTATTCCCCTTTTTCCAACGATCCAATTGGCTTCGTTGCTTCGTGGACACGACAAAGCGCTCCTCAAAGACCGATCGCACTGCGATTCTCGTGCCCTGTTTGAAGGTGCCTGGATGCGAGACAATGAATAGCACGGCGTTGTAAACCATGGCAGGATCCTTTTTTTCATCGCTGAATTCGCCATGTATTATCAGAAATAGAAGTCGAAATGCCACATCCCGTGCTCGAGATTTATCGCCCCTTACAGCTCGGTAACGCTTATACTCGAGTGCATAATCGGTTTTGCAGGCCTTCAAATCAACAAAAATACTATTAATTGACTGTCCGGCAAGTACGTCAACCCTGAGGAAATCATATGTTTCACAGAGAGTGTGATACTGAGGGATATCACCTCGCAAAGAGCGGAAACATTGCCGATAGCCTGATTCCAAGCCCCTGAGAGCAACATCAAACAAAGCAATATTGCGGTGAATGAATTCAGTTTTTTGCGGCTGGGAAAGACGTTGAAACCTGATAAAGGCTGATAAATATGGTATCGTCGAGATGTCAATATTGTGAAAAGTATCCCCAATTTTGAGTGTTGTTTGGCGAGAATTTGATTCAACCGCTTCAGTCGATCCCGTTTCGTCGCCGAGTTTCAAATAAAGATCATCGGGTAACATCCTGCTCCCTTCTCTCTTTAAAACCGCAAGGCTGTCACTTCGCCCGTCATATTTTACGACAGCATTCCCACCATTCTCTCCCACCACTCTCATGATTCCCTTAATCAATACAACCAATCTCCAAAGGTCATTACCATGATTTCGTTCCCATTCAGCAATCTCACGAGTGACGTCTTTGACTTCCGGCAGTCCAAATGTGCCACCACTGTGGTAGGCACGGACAAGATTGGGTGTTTGTGATACCCATAGCTGTGGAAGAACGTCTTGGATGTTGAAAGGCTTGTGGGGCACGCGTGTTTTGATCTCAAGAGTTGAATTAATTGGGACCTGTTTTCCTTTTTTCTGAATCACTAATTTAGACTCGGTGGCAAGACGAGAGTAAGTTTGGGTCGCGAAAGAGACAGATTTTCCATCATGTTCAGAAAATCCTCATTTTCCGAACCCACACTTTGAGGTTGAAGTTTTGAAGCTTCTTCAATGTAAGCGTCAGTCTCGTAGCGTACTATGAATTTCGAATCGCCCAAGTTATAGGAGATGATCCGATGATGTCCAGTGCTGCCGGATACTTGGGTTGTTGTGAAAGCTTTCTCAAACTCGTGACCGTAGCCTCTAAAGTCGTGTGGCCCGATGAATGTATGTGCTTCGTTTTCTGCCCGACAAAAGATTACCGTATTACCTATGGCCTCAATTCAATAGTGAAAGGCTCCAGTCCATTTGCAGAGAGATTTGGATTGACGAACGACAGAAGTTTGCGGATGTTGTTTCGATCAGTTATCAAGTCAACTTGGTGTATGTTGTATGAAGGGTTTTCAGTGTACAGCGAGCGAAAAAGTGATTCGAGAGGACTTTTAGAATGACGAAACGCGTTTTGAGCAATGTAAATGAGTCCAGAGTCTTTGGCCACTTTTCTGGGGGTTTGGGGTGGAGACCAAGGAGGCGGGCAGCCGGGAACAGCAATAATGGGATTGGAAGATTCCATCCAATTATAAGAAGACAAATGCTCTACATTCGTGATGGATGCTATCTTCACATCTGTCAACTCCGGGTGAGGTATGTCTGCGATCCAAATAGAACCCATTGCTTTGCTTGGTGAGACTTGGATTGAGTCCCTCAAGGTATTTAAATCAGCGCAAGTCCTATGTATTACTACGAGTTTAGACAACACATACTTGCATACTCTAGCCTTACCTTGTGTGTACTTTTTGTCTAGTTCGCATAGAACCTTTGAATATCCCTGTATGACTCTCCTTTGCCGAATGGGATATTAGGGAAGGGAGAGATAGGTGAAAGGACCCTGCAGGTGATGCCAAGGACGATGCTGTATGTGAAGTGTAAAGTGATAATTCAGCTGCCTATAGGATTACCCATGACGCACTCTAGGCTGTCATTTGATGCCATCAAAGCCATAGGTTAGGCAGAAATCTGGTGATTGTGCACTGCAGCTAGCAGCCTCACCCGTCTGGTAGGTGATGAGTTCACCACTGTAGAACACAGCGCGAACGGAAACCACACGTGTCCTGGACATAATTAACTTGGAGATTGGGCTGTGCTTGGCGTCGGCGTAACGCCCACGAGCGTGAAATATGTCATTTGAAATTTGCACCGGAAGTTTATTTATATCTTGTGTCTCATTAAATTGCATTATGATGTGCCCTAACCTCTGTTTTCAAAAGGCATAACTTTGATAACTTGAAAAGATTCCTTCTTGCCTAGGGCCATTATATCACATTAGGAAACATATCTTTCATTTGCATGTAACGCGATAGATGAAACCGCTCGTTAGCCCGGTCCTTAGTCCGAAATGATATGAGGCAAGAATATAGAGAAGCAACGCCGGCGACAGTATCTTGAAGATCGATATGTGATCCAATTCAAAGACCTAGAGTCGGCTCGGCTGGGACGCCAAAATACCGAGTGGTTGAACGAACTAACAACACAAAATTGGTCATACCGTGGCTCGCGAACGTCATGCATCGCACAATAAGGAAAAAAAATGTACTTTAGAAGAGGCAAGGCAAGAGCCATCGAGGTCACAGAAAACAAGTTGCACGAACGGGCGTAATAGTTGCGGGTGGGTTTCTTGTTTATGCCTTTGGTCACTTCAAGGGAGAGCCAGCACACTACTTAGATGATGGTGATATATTTTTCGTGTTGTGTTATCGCCGTCTAATTACCACCCGGCGGAAGTGTAGCGGAATAAGGCACTCGAACGGGTATATTCTACAAGCTAGCGCAAAAACAATGGGTAAAGATGGACATTTTCTTCAATCGAGTCAGGGGTTTACAATTAGGATTCTTTGGCATGCGGCTCTTGCGCTTCTGATTGTGCTCACTCTGCTTGCGTTTTCCACTTTGCTCTTTTACCAGGGTGATCCTCGAAAGCCCATTAGCGATATAACTACGAGGTAGGGCGGGTCGAGCGCATGGATTCAATTCGTCTTCCTTCCACTCTATGCGACCATTCGGACGGCCTTATAGACGCTAAGAGCAAAAAGTAGATCTCCAGGTATTCAGACAATATCTATAGCAGAATCATGCCGAATCCGGTAACAAAGGCTATCAGGACGTAGGCACCAAGGTGCAAGATGCCGATATTTACACTGCTGAGAGTTGCCATGGGTCGGGCAGCGCCAGTACTGGACGCAGCAGAGCCAGATCCAGAGCCAGAGCCAGAGCCAGCGGTCGGAGAAGCGGTGACCGTGCCAGTTCCTGCAGTGCCGGCGGCGTTTAGCAGAGTAGAACAGGTGGCACTGGGTTTTCCAGGGGCCTTCGTGCTCGCAGCTCCACCAAAGTCACAAGCGGAGGCTTCGTTACCCTTAGCCTTCTGTTTCTGATAGTATCTGTCGAATGCAAAAGACAATTTCTCCTTCGCATTGCACACGCTGTAGGAGCCGTATTCACCGGAAGTTGCATTGGTGGAAATGCCATCGCAAGCTCCATAGCCGCAGACAGTATCAAAAAGGTCGGTGTACTTCTTGCTTGAAACATTATCCTTCACCACACACTCCAGAGACGCATCCATGCATGAACAAAGGTCAGCGTTGGGAGAAGGAGGTAGTGGGCTAGCCTTCGCAAACCAGTTGCCGCCAATAGTAGGGCAAGATCCAAGAGAAGAGCTGGAAGGAGAGTATTCGGATTTCTTGACACCTGTAGGGTTGACGTTTGCCATCTGCTTAGAATAGCCGGAGAAATCAGGAAGCTTGCTGGCACTGTCACCCTTGAGGGTCACCAGACCTGCGCATCTTGTTAGACTGGAAAATTCGGTGGAAATAGAAAAAGCTTTTGACGTACCATAGTCATTCTCTTCCTGGAAGTACATATAGACGATACCACCAGACCAAACGTCGGTCATCTTGTCACCGTATAGAGCAGCAACATCAGTGAACTTGCGAGGCTGAACAAGGTTGCAACCGTACTCAGCGAAGAATACAGGAACGGAATACTTGGCGAATTCCTCAGTGCGAGCCTTGTAGCCGGATTTCTCATAAGAAGAGTCTCCACACCACGAGTACACATTATAGCCCCAGAAATCAATGCTTTCTTCCTCGGATTGACAGTTGAAGTAGTTGGCCATGTCCACCCGAATATCAGCATCGTCATTGGTGGCATAGCCGACGCCCATGGTGCGATAGCCCTTTGCTTTGATGTATCGCTTTGTGTCGCGCACAGCAGCCTTCACAAACGCACTAGCAAGAGTGTTGTTCTTCTGGTTGGAGACTTCGTTTCCAGCAAAGAAGCCAATGGTGTTGGTGTATTGGGCCATCTCATCAACTACACCAGTGTAGCGTTTGTACAAGGCATTGTCCCATGCTGGGTTATTACGGATAATCGACTCCGCAGGGTTTGCCATATCCACAACAACGTAGATGCCGGCGTCGGTGAGGAGCTTCATGCACTCAGTGTGGTCTGCTTTAGGGTCGATCGAATAAACACGAATAGTGTTGGTGTTGAGTTCCTGCAAGAGGGGAACATCTCGCTTACAGGCATCAACATCAGCCAGAATGTCCTTGTAAAAAACGCCGGCAGTGCTGCTGCTAGGTAATTCCTCTAGAGAATTGGTGAGTGTCAAATCTTAGAAACCTCCAGCAACAGCATGATAGTAAACCTACGTTGATAAGCAACGCCCCGCATAAAACTAATGAATGTCAATTAATAAATATATCTGGCTTTAGAACGGCACGGTGGAAAGCGCGTACAATTGGGTATCGTTGCTCTTAAAGAAGAATTTGCTACCCTAGAAAGGAAAAAGTCAGCGACCAATATCAGGCATGATATGGAACAAGCATGGTAAAATTGTCTTGTCTCGAACTCGTACCTTGATCACTATAGGGTCCAATTCAGCCATAGTAGTACTGGCGAGAAGAGTCGCACCAGCAATAATGGTGGACAACTTCATAGTGAGCTTGTATTTGCGAAACCGCAACTGTCACAAATGAGAGACTGTAGAAAAAAAGGCGAAGAATGGAACGATCCTTAGATCAATGAGTGACAGGAAAAAAAAGTAATACGAGAGTGAAAGAATGTCAAGAACGAAATAAGCAGAACAGCGGCCAAATCATGGGGAAAGAGGAAGAATTATAATAAGATAAAGGCAGAGCTTTTAGGGGTCTTTGTCTAAGCCACACATTGTGCACTGGCCCCACACCCCTTTTTTGAATGCCGAGTATTTTTAGTACCCTTAATCTCCGACTAAACGTGGTAAGAAGTGCAAATTCCTATGTCGTGGTACCATCGCATGTTAGCTTGAAACGTGCGAGACGCAACAAATCGGTGTGCTGCAAGCTTAGTACAGTGATTAGTAAGATTATGAGTTTGTAATATATATTACACATACGAGACAAGACATAAATTTGCAACTAATTCTCGTAGGACGTTGTACTTATATTCACTAGCATATTAATTTTCCGGTCATCGCCCTAATATGTATTAGTACATCTGAACATAAGTCACGGAGAAGATAATGAATGAGTTTAGGTGATGACACCAATATCTGGAAGCATTGTGTGTGACGGCGTATTATCCGATGACTCATTTAGAGCTAATGTATCTATTACAAGCAGCAAACCAGATAGATTAAAGATAAGCGGGGGTTAAAGTAGGGGTTCACAAATAATTGTTGGATGGATATGTTTTTGTTCTGTTTCCGATTCGAGGGGTACTGGCGCCACAAATTAACTGTCGGCGCAGTTACGCCGGTATACCGGAGGATTTATTAATCCTACCAATGCTGTAACGTATTCGGTAAGCGAGCTGCGCAACCGAGCTGCGCTAATATATTAACTTCAAAATATGTCAGCCAAAACTCCATTAAATTAAACACAGAAAAATCATCTATCTGGCTGGGCATCTATTAATCTTATGTTCTATTTCTCCACAACCACTACACTTTGGCGAGGCCCGCGCACGTGGTTGTAAAACCGACCTAGGGTGGTGCTTCAGCTGCTTCTACTAGCTCAATAATTAATTAAGAAGCTTCTTGAATTGAGAGGCCTTCTTCAGCCTGTATCTGCTTCCGGCATTTGCCTCACTTTTGCTTCTGCTTCTCATTAGCGGCGCGTAATTCGCTTACTTCTTTCTTGAGAAGTGCGGCGGATTGCATAGTAATCTGGCTGTAACGGGCCACTGCCCATACTAGAGCCCGGGCTCTGCCCGTGCAGCGTTGGCTCACCGCCTCAAGCGGATACAACATCACTTCCGACCGTCCCTGTATTTACATTTCCTTAAGCTTTAGATAAACAGCATGCAGGCACCGTTCAATTGAATCAATTCAACTGTAGCCCTTCACACTGGCATGTCCTTAAAACCTGGTTTATGGCGGAATTAAGACTTAGAGGGCCCCTTGATCTTATACGAAGTAATGCTTTAATTAACGAAGCTTACTTTTGTAATTAAACGTAGTTTAAAGGGGTTTAGGGGCTCTAATCACTACCCCGGATGGAGGGGGGTAGGCGTTCGCATTCGGATATTAAGCTTTAACATCACCCGGGTATTAGTTGACACGGTGAGCGGGGCGCCAGAAACCGCGCCCATTGCACCGCCGCTCTGCCATCTTTAACCGCCTGCCCGTTTCCACCATCCCCTTGCCCCTTCGGGTTTGGCCCCCTCACCCCTCCCCCCGTTTTGGTTTAGCCCCGTCCCTGGCCGCTTTTACCGCCCCGGCCATCGAGCTCGCCCGTTGGATCACTTCCGTAATTCCTGCCATCAACCTTGTGCAAGCGAGATTCACCAAAATGACAAAGCTGAACCCTGCACTTGATTTGCACTGAATCAATCTATGATACAGAGATTATTCTAGGAAATTACAGCATACCCAGAAATTGTTTGAAAAATCATTTATGATTAGCAGAATAGAGAACAGCGCTCGTCAGCCTCAAGTACAGTATACAAAGCTATGCTCACCTGGTTGCTGCAGATGCGGTGAATGTTCCCTGTAAATTTGAAAAACTACAAGGTGTGGTTAGTAAATGGACTTTTAGGTAAGGGCGCCTTTATTCATACCAGGGCTCTTCTGAGTGAATTAGCCAATATCTCATCAGATACAAAATATCCAATTTAATGCGACTTTCCAAACTGCAGACTGCTGAGATACACGCTCCAAAACAGAGAAAGCATCGCAATCATCATGGAAAGCGGGATAGATGGGTTTTGTAAGTCCGTGCCAAAACCCCCGGGGTACAATCCATGCCAACAAGAACGCTAGCAAAGGTGATACACAGACAAGATTGTAGAGAATGACCCAACGTAAGCTGATGTTTTCGCGCGCATAGATCCCCCAGAAATATTCTCGCTTGTTGCCTGCCTCTTCTAGTTCGGTTCTTTTCTTTGGGAGGAACTTCAGGATGTCAGAGGAATGTGCCCCGAGTTTTCTACATTCATGGTGCAGGTGAAGTAGTGGTCGTGGTTTGTGACAAGCGTAGAAACTTTTCATGAATTCGTGTTCTGAGATTGGCGGAATGTTATCCATCGGTCTTGGTTGATACTCGTAATCAATGTTCGCATGGTCAGGGAATGAATCTTTGATTCTGAGCGTAAACTCATGGTCATCGAACTTCTCGAACTGGGATGTTTTGTTTAACAACACCCTAAAATACCAGGCAATAGCACTCACTTTGTAAAATTCGCAATGAGAGTATCTCCAAACGCTGAACCAGCCTCGCAGGACACCTCTCAGGCGAAAATACTCCTTATTCATGGTGCTGAAGAAGGTATAACAGTTCATATTGCTAACGCAGATTTGTGCGAGTCTATAATCTCCACCCTTTTTTGCGAGAAAGAGGACGCAGTGTCGAGTGATGCTCATGTCGGCGATATTGGCCTTGATTCCCGAGGGTCGACGATGAAGCGAAAAATTAGAGGGTGAACCGTTCGGCTGTTCAACTCCATGATCTTCATAGGAACTCTGGTCAGAAATTAGACTGTTGTTTTGGACGCTGCAAGGGCTCGGGTTAGATCTAGTATGTGCCTCTGGAGGAGGCTGCGTAATTTGGGTTGCCGACGTAGCCACGGGAAGACTTCTGATTATCGACTGGAGGCGCTTTGCAAGGGTGTTTGGTACCTCTGCCCATCGCTCTTCGCCACATACCTGGATCACAAGTTAGAGCTAGATCCTTATTGTGTAAGGCTGTCCATGATTTGAAAACTCACACACATCCACCGTAACCGTGTCTCTGATTCTGCCAGTGGTCTCGGAAAGCGAGGTAACGGCCACCAATCCCAAGGCTCTCCAGTCCAGTGCTCAATTAGATGCTGATAGTGGCTGATGAATATGACAAATCGAGAACCTATCTCGTCACGTTCAAATCGAATCTCGAAGGGACTCACGTCCTGTAAATCTGTGACAAGGTTCCGCAGTTTATACCGAGCAGCATCGCCATGGTTCTTATGTCCTGGATTTGACCACCTTGTCACTAGATCCCGAAACCGGCAGTTCAGCGAGGGTTGAATAAACTCCTTGAGCCGACGACGAAGGATTTGATAGGCAGAGCTTTCCAGAATGAAGTGCTTCATTTGATCCAAGTTTTGCAAAGATCCCTCATACGGCTCATCCTCGCCAGCTTCCTCTGCCACGGACTCTTGGTCACTTTCCTCACTGTCAGGATCGAGTACTTCAATTCCTTGGCTTATCTGAGGAGCAGTGCCACCACTGTGTAGACTTTGAAGATAGGATTCCATTTTTCTCTGGTGAGCTAGGCGTTTTTCCACGGATGGCATTCCATGTTCTGCCTCTAGAACGGTAGGTTTGATCTTTCGTTGCTTGTCAATAGGTGCCATGGCAAAGAACTCGCAGGTGATCATGACTGAATATGAGCTTATAAATCTCCTTAGGTCTCGGTGCGATTCGCTGAGGATATCTGCCTTGAGGTTATTCGCAAAGTGTTTCAGCAGTCTCCGAAAATTGTTGCGCATCCGCTCAAATCCGATCGATTCTTTTGATACGCCGATCAAAAGTAGCGAAAGCATAACTCCATCTTCATTCAGCAAGTTTGCAAACTCCTGAATCAACAACGAATCCATTTCTCCTCTTCCAGAGTCCAAAGATCTGGTGCTAGGTATAGAGACAGGAACAGAAAACACTGACTCGTTCTCAATAGATGAATCGGAATCCCCAAGATTCACATATCTATCATGTTCGGCAGTTTCCAAGGAGACGTCCATAGTGTTGAGATGCCCAGGCCCTGGCATCTGCCTGCGAGTTTTCATCACCTGCACATCAAGCTGTCCGGCCTCTTCCAACCGGCCCTGATTCCGGTACGTCGATGCCAGGTTGGTCATAATCATCAGCGTGTCAGGATGGTCTGCGCCGAGCTTCGTCTTATGAGTCTCTAAAACCTGCACCTCGAGCTGCTCGGCCTCTTCCAACCGGCCTTGGTTCCGGTACGTCGACGCCAGAGTAGCCATACCCATCAGCGTGTCAGGATGGTCTACGCCGAGCTTCGTCTTATAAGTCTCCAAAACCTGCACCTCGAGCTGCTCGGCCTCTTTTAACCGGCTTTGGTTCCGGTACGTCGACGCCAGATTAGCTATACTCATTAGCGTGTCAGGATGGTCTGCGCCGAGCTTCGTCTTGCGAGTCTCCAAAACCTGCATGTTAAGCTGCTCGGCCTCTTCCCACCGCCCCTGATTCCGGTATGTCGACGCTAGGTTGGCCATACTCGTCAGCGTGTCAGGATGGTCTGCGCCGAGCTTCGTCTTGCGAGTCTCCAAAACCTGCATGTTAAGCTGCTCGGCCTCCTCCCACCGACCCTGTTTCAAATATGTCGACGCGAGGTTGTTCATGCTCGTCAGCGTGTCAGGATGGTCCTCGCCAAGCTTCATCTTATAAGTCTCCATCACCTGTACCTCGATCTGCTCGGCCTTTTCCCACCAGCCTTAGTTCCGGTACGTCGATGCCAAATTAGCCATACTCCCCAGCGTGTTAGGATGATCCGCGCTGAGCTTCATCCTACGAGTTTCTAAAACCTGTATCTCGAGCTGCTCGGCCTCCTCCCACCGACCCTGTTTTAAATATGTCGACGCGAGGTTATTCATGCTCGTCAGCGTGTCAGGATGGTCCTCGCCAAGCTTCATCTTATAAGTCTCCATCACCTGCACCTCAAGCCGCTCGGCCTCTTCCCACCGGCCTTGATTCCGGTACGTGGATGCCAGATTAGCCATACTCATCAGCGTATCAGGATGGTCCGCGCTGAGCTTCGTCTTACGAGTCACCCAAACCTGCACGTTGAGCTGCTCGGCCTCCCTCCACCAGCCCTCAAGCGAATATGCTTTGGCTAGCATATCAGTACTTGTAAGAGCTTCTTTATCCTCGAGACCAAGTATTTTCATTCTCTCCAGTCTTGATTTTGATGCCATCTCTTTCGCATCCGTAATGTTACCGCTTTCCGACGCATACCATGCACCTCTATAAAGTAGAGTGGCCCATTTTAATAGAGACTCTACTGATTCTGGTCGTTGAGACATCGCTGATCGAACGTGAGGAAAGAGTGATCGGCATTTCCCCCAATTTTTATATTGACCAGTAGGAAATTCTCGGTATAAATTGCTGATGAACTTCTCCCTCCATTGGTCTATCTCTCCATGAGATCTTAACCACGCGCGCGTAGTCAATTGCACTAGCTTATTCATCGTGAATGAAGTGCTATTCTCGCTGATAGATATGAATGAATAATCTCTCAATGTTGTGATACTATCCTCAAATTCAGGGTCCACATCATATTCAGATGTCTCGCCGGCACTGGGGTCGTCAGGGAGCTCTGAATCACAGGGTTGATGCCGAATCAGCTTCTCGGGTATCCCTTGTCGATCGAAAAAACTCATTAGAGAAAGTAATCCAGCCGCAGATGGCTTTTTGTGGCGAATATAATCGAAAGACATTTGCCAGGTTACTAGAATGGAATTTTTTGCTTCCCAGTCCCGGTAGAGATGACCTGCCTCTTTCTTAAGAAGATTCATCGCTTTGCGATCACTCCTTCGGAAGTCTTTTAGATATTGTGATACCGAATAGCGAGGGGCCCGAATTTTGATATGGCTAGCGGCTTGTACGATCGCAAGAGGCATGCACTCGAGCTCTTCCACTAATTGTCGACTCTCCCGGCTTTCCCCTGGTTGTTCAAGCTTTCTTTGGAGAAGCTCTTGCGCCTCGGACCTCTCCATCGGATTAACTTCAATAAGGTCCTTGTGATCGACTATCTTTAATGCAACCTCTCTGGTCCGACTTGTGATAATAGTAAAACCATTTAAGCTTCTAGGAATATATTCCAATAGTGGTTTGGTCGAGGCGTTAATTAGATCTCCCATTGCATCTCCCTTGCTTGTCGTCGGCGACGAGGAAAGAAGTTGATCGTCATCGATATTATCAAGGATACAGACCCATTTCCCGATCTTCTCATCCCGAAGCCAATTTTCGACCAGTTTGAATATGTTCACTTTAGGATCTCGACGACCTGAGATTTTGATATTATCGGCAATGTCCCGGAAACTTTGCTCAAATCGGGCTTCATTACTCGCATGGACCCAGAAAATCCATGTTTCAGGCGATTCAGATCGGACCCGGTAGGAATATTCTATGGCGAGTTGCGATTTCCTTGGAATTGTGAGCATTAAAATATGCACTGTTTGCTCTACACTTACCCAATACCGCCAAGGCCGACAAGAGCTATCCTACACCCAGGGACCAAGCTTTTCTCGTGAATCCGATGAAGCAGTATGTCGCGGCTCACAAAGTCAGGATCTCGATTGAACGGGACTGTCGATAACGGGCTGGGTGGGATTCCCGGTCGCTCTAGGGTGGCAAGCAGCGGTTAGTCAGTCGATTGTGACCTTATCCTATTCCTGGCTTACCTGGAGGTAGGTGGAAATCCGCGTTGCTCAGTCGATGGAGATCTCCGACCTGGATGCCATGGTTGTTGCTAGGGAATGACATCGATGCCATGATGAAGTAGATTGCTTCGTGTGTGGTTCATCACAAGAATCCTTGTTAGACTCCCACGAGCTGAAAGAGGGGCACGACTTTCCCCATCATCATGTGACATCCAGCGCGCTAGGCTGAGATACTAAGAGAATCGCATGGTTGTCATTGGTTATATCTAAGTGCGGTCAAGTAGACTAAAATTCATAATCCACTTCCTAGCGAATAGTTACCCGGCACATACTTGGCAAGTGCCTCTCTGCCTTAGGCATTAATAACGTAAGCCCTGCAAGCCTTAGGGGATCACATTATTGAGATTCTGTTAGGATCGCATGGTTTCTATTAGGTAGTACTAGATACTAGCTAACGTATTTCACATGTGAGCTGCTTACCCCACCCAAAACGTGTCTGAGTCCGGACTGAAATTTACTCAGTGAGCCTGACTCTGAGCGCTCTCGCAAAAGCGGCGGCGACTAAGATAGGAAGGGCCTACACGGCAGAGGAAATATGCTACGTAGAGCTACTTAAGAAATCCCTATGTTAAACCCTAGAAAGGGGGCTGGGAAGCAAGTATACAAGAATGAACATCAATTGCCTCTACCTCAACAATTACACGAACTCTAAGCGGGGGCCGTTTGGGAGTCGGCAAAACCTCGGAATCTGTTCTAGATATATTCTAATTCTCCTATTGATGCTCTCGAAATCATTTCAGGAAACTCGTTCAACTCCACGCTTACTCGTTCAAGCGGAGCACCTCAAGGTCCAGAAATACATATGTTGGAGACGTCGCTCATACTCATCCCAATAACGCATGGCGTCATAAATAGCAATCTAAGCACCAAAGGTCTCCCATAAGACACCATTATTGCGCAGAATGGTATGACTGCAGCTCCTTTCGCCATTTAGCTAGCTATAACGTGCTACATCTTAACTTGTTAAAACCAATAGTACAGCCGTAAGCATTCACGGTTGATTTAACTTCTTATGTAAATATCTACTTGACAGCCCTCCTACTGGTGTATATAATAGAAGGCATATTAGTTAAAATTATGTAGGATACTTCCGTACTCACTGATATAAAGCTTTCATCTCCGGTAGAGATTATGGAGACTTGATCATTGCGTGATACTTTCTCCACTTGCAATGCATTAGAGTTACAGCCTAAGTCCTTTTGTTGAGGATATTATAACGCCGGATGGCGAATTTTCATTCAATTCTACGTCAAGGTCAAAATTCATACGGCGTGTCTCCTATTCGTCCCTGCTTAGTGGTGATATTAGCCACTCCAATGTGGAGATAGTTATTCTCCACAAACAGAACGTTGCTCTCACGCCAACTGAGATCCTAAGCATTGTATTGGACAAGAGACCCGGAAATGGAAAAGGGAAGGACAAAGGCTCGGTGCCATGATATATAGATAGCCGATGCACAGTCTTTATTTTCTTTCCTCAACATACACCATCATATCGAGTGATAGGACCCTTGACACCAGTCACCTTGCCTTTCTTTTCTTCTTTCTTTGGCAAAGTATCATTATCAAATTTATATAATCCTCAAGAGCCTTTGGCAATTGCTCCGAATGGGTTGGCGGCGATCTAGCAAGCGGCCTGCTGTGCTTAGCACAGCGGTCGAAGGCCAGATAGGACATGTCTCAGTTGCTGGCGGCAAGTATATCGGTGAGACAGGAGGCAATAATGCAGCCACAACGTACCAAGACGCATCTGGCGCTCCAGTTGAGAGCGACTCGCCGTTGGGATACTCTGTCGGCCCCGTCACAATCACCTTGCTGAATATCACAATGATGATTGGCGCCGGTATCTACTCTACACGTGAGTGCGACACAATGCGTGCATACCCAGAAGTACAAGCTAATATGACGAAGCATCATCTATCCTATCTGGCACGGGCTCGGTTGGCGCCAGTCTTATGTTTTGGACCCTGGGCTACTTGGTACGTCTCCTCTACGACCGGAAAGAAACCTGGACTGATCATGTTCGCTCCACCCTAGATATGTCTCACGTCTGGAGCTGTATACCTTGAGTATACGGCGTACTTCCCCAGTCGATCGGGCTCAGAAGTCGTTTTCCTCGAACAAGCTTATCCTAGTCCCAAATGGCTCTTTCCAACTACCTTTGCGGTCCAGAGCGTCATTCTTTCGTTTGGAAGTGCCAATGCTACAGGTGAGTGCAGTGTCATGTTTCATTTGTCGCAATATATTAATCAACAAACATAACAGTCATGGCCAAGTATCTTATCGCCATCTCCGGGCACGAGGGCACCAATTGGCAAATAAAAGGCACTGCTATAGCCTGTTACAGTCTTGCTACCTTGAGTATGTTGTTCGCAAGTCATCGTTTCATTCGAACTTATGACGCTGACTGCTTGCACAGCGTTGGTGTTCAACACAAAATACGCATATTGGTTCTCAAATGCTGTTGGGATTGTGAAAATTTGCACTCTTCTCTTCGTTATAGTCACTGGCTTCGTTGTTTTAGGGGGCAACACTAAGGTTGAGAACCCTAGGGCCAATTTTCAAGACGCATGGTCCGGTAGCTCTACAGCTTCTGCATACGGGTTTACTACTGCGTTATACCGTATTATTTTCTCCTATGGAGGTTATAATAACGCGTTCAATGTTGCAAACGAGGTCAAGGTATGGCGGCTCGAGATTCATGTCCCACGGGACTGAGACTGATATTTCCGTTGATAGAATCCCGTCAGATCACTCAAAATATACGCTACTACTGCTCTTACGACGGTTTATGCGTTATATATGTTCGCCAACATCGCATTCTTTGCTGCCGGTTAGTCACCGATAGCTCCTTCTGTGCTAGAATTCCCACGCTAATTGCACATGACTTCACAGTTCCCAAGAGCGAGCTAGCGGCCTCTGATCTAACGACTGCAAGTCTATTTTTTGAGAAGGTCTTTGGAAACAGCGGTGCCGTCCGCGGCCTCAACTTCCTCATTGCCTTGGCTTCTTTCGGTAACATGATAGCGGTGATAATTGGCTTATCTCGGCGGATCAGAGAATGCGGTCGACAGGGAGTTCTACCTTGGACAACGTTCTGGGTCTCGACTAAGCCGTTCGGCACAACCCTAGGCCCGTACGCCGTTATTTGGTTTCTGACCACGCTGATGATCCTAGCCGTCCCTGCTGGAGACGCTTTCACTTTCGGTATTGTTTCCTTTCCCTCCCGCCCTGTCAGAAACCGGCTGGGAGTTCTTGCAATGCTAATCCATAATAGTCAACGATTTAACCACTATTCCTTCTGCTGTCTTTAATCTTGCAATGGCCATTGGTATCTACGTTGTTCGCTGGCGCCGAAGCAAAGTCAACCTCCCTGAACCCGAGTTCAAGGCCTGGAATTTCGTGATTATCTTTAACATACTCGTCCAGCTCTACCTCCTTATTATGCCATGGTACCCACCCGCAGGTGGTCAGTACGCTGGTGATGTCAGCTTCTGGTATGCAACGTATGCGGTGACAGGAATTGGAATGTAAGTCAACCATGCTTTAGCTGGGCTTATATCCTTCCACAAGCATCCCCTTACTAATAACACTACCTAGTCTTCTTGGCTGCGGCACCTATTACTATTTTTGGGCCTTTGCGATTCCCAAATGGAGAGGCTACAAATTACGACAAGAACTTGTCAATCTAGGCGACGGGGTCCAGAGCAATCGCCTCAAAAAGGTTGCTAATGCCGATGTCGCAGAATGGGATGCGACGCATGATGCGGCTGGCCGGCCCATCGAGTCACCGGTTGAGATTCAGGTTCGGGTGAAGGATATTGATGCGACGATCTAGAAGTGCTAGAGGATTTCTACCGATTTTATCTATTTGCTTGCTGACTTGCTTCCATAGCCTATATGACCAGGAGCGGAGAAAATAAAGACTTCTATAGATATTTTTACACAAGTAGTTCCGTTTGTCCTTTCACACAATCAGGCAGGCATTGATGAGTCTCTAGTAACACAAGACAGTCGTCGGATTGCGAGACAGCTCCAGAGCAGTATCAAATTCAGGTTAACAGGCCAACCTAAACCGTTGGTGGGTAATGAAGATGCTTTGGATGTTAGAAATCACCCAGGTGACTGGGACATAGTCAGAAGATCCTGTTGTATCTTAGGATAAGAGGATATATGAGACTACCGAAGGATACGCTCTCTGGAAAATTCTTGTATAGCGTGAGGAGGAAAGAAAGACAGAGAGACTGAACTATGGAGATGCCTAGATATGCTGGGAGCAAACAGAGATCACATGGTCTCTGACAATTGATCTACCGATATCTATAGATCAGGTAAGGGTATACCGTATCAATTCGTTTTATAGGTGCAGTTCATGCAACCACCAATGAGCCTAGCATCACTTTGATATCAGAGCATATGCACCAAGCTTGTGTAGCCCACTATTGCCCTCACAGAGGATGTGTTAGGCGCTACGCCGTACTGGCGTTTGGGATCGGTATGGTCTCTACGTGCAGCTTTGATAAGAGCATCATCAGAACTATGGATCCCCGGCACGATAGAAGATGGCTAGTGATGATTGTCTTGGGTCCCCGGCGTATTGCCGTCATTTTCGGCCCGGGACTCAAATCTTTCATCCTTTATCGGTGAGCCCCTTTAGGCTAATGCTTGCAAGTTATGGCCTCAGGATGCTGTCAGGTTCTGTGCACAGTTTGATAGATGGTGAATCTTTGGGCTGACCTCGCCATGGTCTCTCGACGAACGTCCGAAGAGAGGATTACCAGTAGCCCCGAGGAAAGCTGCAGGAGCATACCCATATATGCTATCTATATTGGATCATGTTTAATGGTTGCAGCAGGCCGAAAGGTAGAATTCGTTAATGGGCCCAAGCCCTATTCATGAATGATGAGCCGCCTCTGCTCAAATGTTTCATACGCTTTTCCGGATGGTTATCTACCTGGAACATAAGAGTGTCTCGCATTGCATCTTCCATGATATGTGATGGTTGATGGATTTGCAGCAGAAGTGAACGAAGACCGACGAGGTTGAAACTGCAAGGTGAGAGATACAACGCGTAGGAAACGCAAGTGAGGTATGATATAAGCAGTAGGCAGCAAGCAGAAGAATGATCCACAATTGCGCTGCCAATGCATCCATGGAAAAGCACTTTCTGATTTGAGATGGTGCAAATCGTAGTGCCGTGCTCCGATGCTGTTCTTATATTCTTCACATCCTCCTATAGGACGGTATAAATGAGGATTTATAGTGGAATTAATGAAAAATGGGTAGAAGTTGATGAAAGATGAAAGACGTCGTTAATTGTCGAAGTCAGAAGGAAAGACTTCTCCAGAGATATATAGTATGTGTTAGCTGGGTTTATAGGTAGTTGCTGGCAGGGACGAGCATGTGTTATATATTAACCTTAAATCCCATTCAAGATCAGTATTAGTCCTGGGGACAGCCTGGGTAGGCTCTCAGCGTAGTGATTGATTCCAGCCAACCTGGCAAGACCGACAGCAAGTGATGAGGAGAAGGTTGAACTGAAAGTGGGCGAAAGGGGAAGAGTCATAATATGTTTAGAACTACAAAGAAAGGCAAACAACCAACCTGTGGAAACCTCAGGTCCTCATGGGTGCCCGAGGCATCTATAGGTGATAGGGCCCTCTTACTTTCCCAAGTGCCTAGTAGATCATAATACACAAGTCGCGCTTTCTCCTGATTCCTTTCTCTTCAAAATGCTCGTATAGATACACATATACGAGCAGATACATTCAGTATGTATATTTAAAAAAGAATCATTCAATCAAGCCCAAAATGCAGTTTGTAGCGCATCACACATCAGAGTGATACACCTCTTGCCCTCAGACAATGCCCCATCCATAGCCAAAAACGGATGGGGCATGCCCTTCATAACCTGCAAATCAACAGCCACACCAGCCTTCTGCAACTTCTCTGCATACTGCTCGCCCTCTGAACGCAGCACATCCAGCTCACCAACCATAACCAGTGCAGGCGGCAATTGAGAGTAATCACCCTGCCAGAACAGCGGGCTTGACTCTGGGTTGGCACGATCAGCCTCGTTGGGAACATAATGGTCGCGGTACCAGTACATCTTGAGTGCGGGGAGTGCGGGGGTATGCTCGTATCGACGATATGACTCGCTGTTCTCAACTGTGGCGGTGTTGTCTGTCACGGGGACAGACAGAAGCTGGGCTCGGAAGTGAACAGGCGGTGACAGAGTCAGCGCCTTATGTGTCATAATCGCAGCAAGGTTCCCACCGGCGGAGGAGCCACCCGTTGCGATTTTGGATACATTCACCGAGAGTGCGGCGGGGCCATCTGCAATCAGCCAGAGAAGAGCTTCCCAGCAGTCATGGACTGCGGCCGGCCAGCGGTTTTCGGGTGCCAGACTAGAAGAAAATACGACACATTAGATTGCAAATTCTCAAAGCCATGGATGTATGGCGTGATTAGGCTGTGGATTTTGCTGACTTACCGGTAGTCAACTGTAATCACAACACAGTTGCCTCGTACACAGAGGTTCGAGCACACCACGTTCTCCGTGTCGATATTACCCAGCACCCAACCACCACCGTGGAAATACAGCATCACCGGCCATCCCCCAGGAGGCGTCTTACCCTTGGGAGTAAAGCAACGGATGGGTACTGTTGGGCCTGCAGTAGCTCGTCGCTGAACAGTGATGTCTTGGGTCTTACCCACCTCCAGCATAGGACCCGCACCGGGAATCAAGACACCACTTGTCCGTGACGCTTCCACGGGCCGGAGGTGCACCTGCTGGTTATTGATGACATGCTCGTTATAGAATGCCACATACTCCGGGTCCAGTAGGTCTTTAACGGACTCGTGGAGCGGATACGGTGGTTGAGTAATGCCTGCAGTCATTTTAAAGTTAGAAAGATAAAATAACAGAGTCTAAGCTTTCATGGTCTCGGGTCTAAGACTATGTATTCAATCAAGTCCACCCCCACGGAGAGAGTGGGAGGGAATGCGGGGAGAAGACCGCTGATAAACTGATAAGCCGACAGTGTGCTGTTCTGGGTAATGATCGACGGTACTGTTGCAGTCCCCCATCTCCAATATTGAGTGCTATCCATCCGAGTCTCCAGTTAATGTCCATAGTAAAGCGCATCAGCTATTTCATATTCCTTGGCTCTGCCTTATCAGCGAATATGGAGCCACTTGTTACGTTTTAATCCGGGCCGATGTGGGATGCAGCTTCAGTTGATAAAGGGCGTCTCCTCCCAGGGCAACTTCTACTCCTTTTTCTATCACTTTGACTCACCCCTAGCTCGTATTCCAGCTGCCTCTCGCGATGTCGTCCAAGACCCCTATCCTCACCGACAAGGCCCCCAAGCCCCTCCCCGGTATCTACTCCCAGGCCATCGTCGCCAATGGCGTTGTTTACTGCTCCGGCGCTGTCGCAATGGACACTACTGGCAAGTTGATTGATGGTGATGTCAAGGCACACACTGTAAGAGATCTATAGCACCCCCCCCCCCCCCCCCCCCCCCAATTGACCGGATTAAATTTGCTAACAGCACCGCTCCAACAGCACCAATGCATCAAGAACCTGACCCACATCCTCGAGGAGGCCGGATCCGACATCAACAAGGTCGTCAAGGTCAATGTGTTCCTGTCCAATATGGATGATTTTGCCGAGATGAACTCCGTCTACATGCAGTACTGGGGTGATGTAAAGCCCTGCCGGACGTGAGTTACCCCGCTCTTTGATCTCTTATCGTTGGGGTCATTTGGAGTCATGTTTCCTCCTTTTGTCTCTACTCGGTGTGATTGGGCCTACGCAATCATCTGCGTGACTCTGCGTATGTGATTTGACTTGCTAACGATTATACCTTGCAGGTGTGTTGCGGTCAAGACCCTCCCTCTCAACACTGATGTCGAGATTGAGTGCATTGCTGTGCTGTGAATTGCCCCTTGGTTCCCTTAAAATCCGTAGACAAGATTCAAGAATAATGATATCACTGCTACGAAAAACCCATTTCTGTAAGTTAGAACTCCTGAATTAGACTTCGGCACAACCCAACCCAACCCATTGGGTAACCCATTGGGGCCCCAAAATCGTGCAAACCATCTAAACATACCTCTTGCGTGTGACTACATAATTTATGCAATTTTTACTTATATGTATGTGTATTCTGTTTACAGCGCTCTTCTAGAAAGAATTTGGATAAACTTGAATGTGTATATATTTCTCAATATTACTTAAAATCGTCATCAGCCCTGCTCTTACGTTTCCTTCCTGAGGCCCGTACCTGAGTTACACTCTCTGGTAACTGGGGCTCTATTATCCCTTTGCCTATTCTATGAAGAGAAGTCTCTCGCTGTCCATCATCTATTTTCCCTTCCTCCTCATTATCACTGATCAGATTAACCTCATCATCCCTTATAAAATTATCGTTTTACTCCTTCACTAATTCGGCACCTTCCTAGCAGAAACGCAAATGTATCGGTCCCCAGTCACCAACATCATGGCTGACAACCAGTCCGCTATTGCCCTCTCGCTCAATCCCGAGTTCCACAAACGAACCAAATATTTCAACGTGAAATTCCACTATCAGCGAGCAGTGCTGAATGCTGGCGAGATTGGTCTTCAATATGTTCCTACTCAGGAACAGGCCGCTGACGGTCTCACCAAGCCGTTAGGACCTACGGCTTTTGCTAAGTTCTGTAGTCTTCTGGGAATCGAAGCCTCGGAGACTCGGAGGCAACAAACGTGACAGGGCAGGCGCTCTTTCCACTTTATTTTCCCACGAAGGTTTTTGGGTGGTTTTACCGAGGCTTGCCTGCACAGCGTTAATCCAGTATCACCTTGCCAGCAAAGCGATCCTGAGGGGGAATGTTGTGATATGAGGCTGGTGCAGATCAGGAACCAAGCCGCACCGTCGGAATTAGCTCCGAAGTGTCTATACAGACGACCAAGTTGATTTACAATCAACTTGGCTAATTGTTGTATATATAGGCATATGTATCCCTCTGAACTACAACAAGTTCCAACGCCGTATTTCAACCTCTCTATTCTAGCTACCTGAATGGCTTCTGACCACCACAATTACTAACGGACGATGAGAGAGGTCATGATATGTGTAGATGAAAGACTAGCTGAGACTATCGAAGAACTAGATCGGTGTGGACTGACTGAGCCTTGTGCCTGAGGCCTTTTCTCTCAGAAACAACCAACCACAACAAAACACACAAAGAAAGCAGAGGTAGGATATATCGGTAGATCTATATCATGACTTTACTCATTGATCCTCAACAGACTTTCTCTTGCTTAGAGCTCAAGTGAATGTTAATTTCGCCCCCTTTCGGCCGACAATTGAACCATTCCTTGATTTCAATCTTGTCTTCCGCCACAGTTGCACCCTCAAGCAATCCTGACTGAGCCACATACAGCGTCGCCATAGTCACTTCCAAGTTGCCCAGACTTTGTCCAAGACATGCCCTAGTACCTTTTCCAAATGGGAAGAAATGGTTCAACATCGCTTCTGTCGGTTGAAACCAGCGTTCCGGCATAAATCGCGATGGGATCGGGAAGACATCCTCATCTTGATGGAGGTGAAAGGCAGAAACTCCAACGCTTGTACCAGCAGGAAAGTGATATTGATGAAAGGACCATCCTCCCTGAGGCACACTGCGCTGGAACCGACAGGGGTTTGCCAATGATAGCCGTAGCCCTTCTCGGACAGTGCCGCGGAGGTAGTCACAGGACATGGCATCTTCGCCTTTATGGACACAACTCTGGATTTCATCACAAAGTCGAGAGTATCTAGAGATTGGTTTGTTAAACTCAGTCATCCTTTCTACGTTTCGAACTGGTGAAAACTTACATTTCGGGGTATTTAGCCAGATACCACAAAATGGTAGCCATGTTCATACCGGCAGCATCTGCTCCAGCAAAGAAGAGATCTTTGACCTCAACCTGCGTCTGTTTGACAGATTGCTTTTCTAATAGCCGGCTCTGGTAGCTTCCGGTCTTGGGCGATGATGTATTCACTATCTGACAGACAATGCTGTCCGTTAAATCCATCGATTTCTCCGTGAGTTCATTTGCCATGAACCACTCAAAAGCCATGGTGATCAAGCTCGCAATCTTCCCTGGGGCGAGAGTTAAGAATCGATCGATGGCCTCAAATGCCTCCGTGGATGGCAATGGAGACTTGCCCCCGAGAGCCCCGTAGGGCCGTTGGAATAGATACATGTTCAGGGCATCAACGGCCAGACATCGAGTCACATGGAGTACATTGACCGGCCTTCCCGTTTTTGCCTCGAGCCGCAGCTGGTCCACAAACTCCTCAAATACTTTGGACAGTTCTTGTTCGGATTGCCGCATTGATACGGTAGAAAATAGCGGAGAGACCGCTTTCGCTCGGGCGCCTCGCTCGGAGCGCGTAAGCGTGGAGAAGATAGAGGGGTGTCCATCGATATCATACTTGGAATATGCGGGCGCCTTGGGAAATCCCCCATTGGCCACATAGATTGGCTTGATGGCTTCCCCACTGGCGATATCGACGTCGTTGGGCGCAACCCGCACCGTGGGACCATATTTACGGTGCAGGTTGAATATGGTAGTGCACTCATCACCGATGAATGTGTGGTATGCAAGCCAGAGTGAGGTACATGCCGCTATTTTCGGGCCAGGGACGTGGCGTAATGAATGGAAGTAGAGCCGGAAGATCCATTTGCTCAAGAGGACTGCGAAAACTAGACCTAGTAGCATGGGCAGCACGGAAGTGAGACCGAGTTCGGGAACGACTTCTATCAAATCCATGATGTTGCAACTAAAGATAAGCCGACGACGGTGAGTTGCCCAGGTGGGCACTGAAGAGAGGGAGGGAGGGAAGGGAATCTGCAGCAGTACAAAGTGAAGTAGTATACGTCATGGCAGCTACACAATGAGGGAGACGTCATAGATATACTCAGGAACCCTACCAGCGTCCGGACTCGGAGCACTACCCCCTGGCTTGGTAAAGAATGCAATAGAAGCTTGTTGATTGGATAGATCAGCAAATCAGAGATCCGTATCCACGTATTCCGTGCGGAGTATGCTGTTCAACGCGGGCCAGTACCCGTAGAAAGGTAGGTAGCGGAATGTAAGATTGCCCCCAAACATCATAATACGGTAATGCATATGCATCTAGCTTCCACCGTTTAGGTTACACCGCCGTGATGCGACCTGCATTTGTTCGCCACAAAGTTCGCTAGATCTCAGCCAGAACTACAAATTATGACAACCCTTTTTAGATCGCAGTGCATGTGCATGAGTCAATTAACTCGTAATAACTCGCAGCTACCGCTTGCACCTGAACAACATACCTCCATAACCCCACACATTCACGACAAAATTTTTATTACGGATACATCGAATTCATCAAGAAAGAAGAGCTCCATATCATGGAAATATGTAGGTGTATGAGTGACCGCTCTCGGTCACCGCCTCTGTCGGGTGGGGCTTATCCCAGAACCCATCTGTATTTGTAGTTTCAGTTATCCATCGCATCCATCTTGCAGATCATCCTCCATCTACAGTAAACTCTATTTATCATCGATCATTCGATCGGAGAGGTGTTTTCCTGAGCGTCTGATCCCATCCCGAGGGACACCAGTAGAGTCTAGTAGACGGAAGAGACCTGCAGGGTGCGGGTCAGATTCCGGTCTGACAGCCTTCACTTTGCTCCCCCCGACGCTTCTGGGCCTCTTTGTTCCGAGCCTTCCCGTCTAAAACAACAACTGGATGCTTTAGAAAATTTGCAGATTTTAAGGGCGTGACTCCACTTCCGATCTCTCATAGTTTACCCGCTTTCCAATATACCACCAAAAAGGAACTGATATAAACACACATATAAGCCCCATAGTTATCGTCATCGGATCCCATCCAGCATGAATCTGAATAAACCCGGCAACGAGAGGACCCAGAAGCTCGCTAACCGCAAGCATCGCGCAGCAATCAGCACGGGAAGTGATCGGCCGAGTACAAAGCGGGCGACCGTAGCACCACAAGCGCCGAGTCCCAGAAGGGGATTTTTCGCATTTTGCAATTGTCTGCAAAATATCCAAATAATGCTTTTTTTTGGCTTAGTTTCTGTGTGATGTTTTGTCCGTTGAAGGAATGGACCTACGAGATCCAATTAATAGAGTGATGCCGTGCACGGCTAATAGGATGGTGACCCATAACTGAGCTAGAAAGAAAAGCTATCAGCTCGCAATTAACTAAGGTCGGGGAGGAGGGGTTGTCACCATCTTGCTGGGCGGCTCCGAATCGATCAACCGGTGCAGGGGGGAGAATGGGAACAATCTAAGCAAAGAACTCAGCGTCAATAGTCACAAACTAGACATAGATAAAAGCCTTTCACTATGCCATAATTGAATAAATCCTATTTCACGGGCCATTAGAAACGATAAGCATCGGGTTTCTTCAACACCCGTGGACTAACCGTGAAAAACGCAATTGACACTACGGCCACGCCGAATGACTCGGATGACTGAAAGCGGTAATAGGCATCCATCCTCATTAAATCGGTTGGAAAGAGGTCTGGAAGTGTAAAAAGGATCCAACAGCTCAAAATACGTACTACTTTACCCGCTGGGAGTTTTATATATTCCAGGGGCTGAAAGACTCAACGATCTTCCTCCAGGGCTTGCATTACCATGCTCTTTATCTCTTAGAGCTAAGTTAATGCGTTTGGTTCAGTTGACATACTAAGAACTGTCGTCAATGGATGGCGGTATTTAGCGAGATCTACAGAGCTAGATGGTCGAGCTACGGACTACTGCTTATTGCTGTTTTTGTTCCACATTTCCCGCCTCAAATGACATACACTCATCATATCAGCTGTTTCATGCAAGGCGAAATTCGATGCCTGGAAGGTTTGTATTGAGATACATGGATTAGGCTACAATTAGGTTGCGATCCACTGCCCCATTTATATGATATTTTCAAGCCGGATGAAGCCAGGGTGTACTGATAATCACCTGGGGATTAGGGATAAGCACAGCTGAATAGTCATTATATACCCCTTGGCCGCAGGAATCTGCGACCGGCTGCCCCATTTTTATTTTAGCGGTAAGATATAACAAAACCAAACAAGAAGCCACGCAGGCTATATGGCATTACTTTGCTTTTGACATACGCTGCAATACTATACACTAAAGATGAAGATGGCTAGTGTAGAAGGCGGATCGCAGATATATATACATCGTCTCGCGGCATAAAATGGATCGGTGATGCAAGAGCTGCCCATAATGGTACGTAAGTACGGAGTACGGAGTACACAAACGGATCTGGTAAAACAATCAGAATATGCTACTATACGCAGCCAGCCTCGGGGTAAAAGCAACCCTTCCTCCAAATTGTTTTTTTGGCGAAGCTGGAAAGATGTGGATTCTCTCCAGCGGGAACAGTCCGGCAACCAGCTCATTACGATTCCGTGCTTACCCCTGGTTGGGCGAAATGATAGACTCCGTTCGGTGAATCTATCCGGCTGTTGTCGAATCTATCCCCGGGCTATGTAACAATAAAATGACATGGAGATAGAAGGTCCTATGCAGCTCTCTCTGAAAACTACCCAAAATGTGGAAGAAGTATCGAGACGAGCTGCGGATGAAGAGGTTGACCGGACTGAATATCCGACTCGTACTATAGCAGTGATAGGTCTTCTGGGCACAGGGCATCTCCTGTTAAGGAGATATAGCACTCCAGAGGAAACTCACTACGCGATTAAAAGGAGAACGTAGCCATGATTAATCCTGGGTGACCTGTTATACGAAGAACGCATCCCGCAGTATCTGCTTATAGTGTAAGAGGTGCGCTACTATAAGAGCTGGAGCTGGAGGTATGGTTCCCGAAACCTTTAGAAAAAGGCAGAGCGGTGCAAATTTTATGAGGGTGGAGTGTCTGTAACATCTTAAGGGTACCATTATTACGTCCAACCTGGAGATGATAGATAATAGCGCTAGCGCATTCACCCTGGGTAAAATCAATAAACAATTCTTCACAAATGATTGTTTGCTTGCACTATGCAGGTAAGATAATTACAGAAGAAAATGCCCGAGACCATTGAGACAAATGAACTACACCAGTCAAGTATAGATAAATCCGAGCTCGAAAGTGGAAGTTCCTGACAATTAATCCGAATCTGACGTTCATTCCATACCCGCTTCCCTCTTCTTCGCCTTCAACCACGTAGTCGCAATCTCTTCGTGAGTACGAAATTCAACAGCGCTTCCAAACCCCCGCAGCCATTGCACAAGTCGGTCCACCATACCAATAACGTGTGCCATGCCACTGCAGTCTGGATGTAAAAGGATTGGAAAGATAAAATCAGCTGACCCATTTTGATCCTTGCTGTTTTCCCATAGCCATAAAAATTTGTCCTTCCACATTTGCTCCACAAGCCGAGTCGAGACCCAGCCGTGGCTATTTTCAACATAAGGTAAAAAGCTCATTGGCATCATGTCCTCATTGTAAACACCACTTGGAATCTCAACAAGGGGTGGCTGATCACGGGAATAAATCTCAGAAGTAATTTTGGTGGGTCGCATCCATGAAGCAGCCGGTTGAGAGAGATCAATTGGCTTAATCGGTGCATCGTTGGGAGCAAAAGCCAGTTGCGAGTCATGGCGCAAGAGTGATGTATCGTAAATGAATTCATGTTCACGTAGAAGTTTAAGGGTGGTCTCTCTGACTGAAAAGACTGGAGCACGATAACCGACTGGTCTTTTTCCCGTCAGCTTTGTGGTAAGCTCGAGACTGCGGACCGAAATTAGTCAATTAGAGATCTCACATTGCAAAGTTCTTTCTTACCATTTGACTAGCACATCTCTTTCTTGCTCTTCTGACAGCGAATAACAATCTTCATGCGCGTAGCCATGGAGTCCAATCTCAGCCCCGGACTCAATTATCGCCCGTGTGGCATCGACAAACGTCTCCATGGTATGACCAGGAATAAACCACGTTACTCTGTTTGCAATGTCGTTCTTTTTCAATAGATCAAGCAAACGGAAAGCTCCGACTTGTCCACTGAAAATTCCGTGGCTGTAATCGGCCATCTTGTTGCTTGGATGGCAGCTACTTCCAATCCAATGCGATAAAGCGTCAAAGTCAATTGAAAGTGCGACTTGCACTCGCAAAGGGGGGTTTGTCTGAGGCAAAAGAGACATAGTAGACAAAGGCCCCTCTGAGCCACCTAGTCCTGAGCCACCTAGTCGGTACTCAGAATCTGCAGCTTCCGTGCCGACCAAAGCCATCTTTTCTGCGCAAGATCCCAAGACAACGATCAGGTCTTTCTCAGCAACAAAGGTAACAAACTCGCCTCTTTGATTGGTTGTCTTCAGAACATTTAACCCACCACGATGATCAATAGTAACATTCATGAAGAGATTAAGTGGATCTGGAATCGAGAGAGCTGCAATGTTCAAATCCGGGAAACTGTTGTTGAGCGCCTAGGTTTGCAAAATGGTCAGTACTATCTTTGTCACCAAAAGGACGTAAGCAGGTGGTAATTATCATTTTTTACTTGCCTGGTGTATGTTGGTTGCGTTTTCACTAGGGGAATTTCCTTCAGACACGCAAGCTGGCCAGATCATATCGTGAAATCCCGGAGTGGTGTCATCAGTCATTGTCAAGATTGGTTGTTTCCGAGTACTCTGCAATGTATCACTCTGGGCCAGCGATATCTTCCTAAGACTGGCCCTGGTATGCGCCATAGACATACAGTCACTCATATCATGAGGATTGAAAGCCCAGACACACACAACTTGATTCCCATTGGTGTTGATCACTGTGATGTCCTGACCCTTTTTGGCTGAGAAAGCGACAGCCTTCTGGGCTGTGATGATACCCATCCTGAGCTCAAGGAAGATAATAGAGAGTTATGAGGATCCAATGATATCGAACTGTGAATAAAAGATTATGAGGCGGTAAGTTATCCGATTTGTCTGGTTTAACACTACAGAGTATTTAAAGGCTGAATAGTAAAATTTCGGGAATTGCAGACAGCCCTCGGACAACATTAGGCTGGAAAATTATTCACTACTACATACTATGTAAGCCTAATACGTTGCGGGGGCAAGGATTGATTGGTGCCAATGGCACAGCTTCCAGAATAAAAGTGACATAGCGCGGCTCCACACCAGGATAAATAGATCTTCGAGGTGAAGATGCACCGGCCATTATAAACAAACTCTGAGCTTTTAGTACACGTTTCTGCCCGATGCAATGTGACGGCCTGCACAATTTCCATAGATGCGCATGGTTTCCTGCACTATTCGGCTTGCAGATGTGGATGGTGACGCCAACCATCACGCCAGAGCTCTTCAAGTTTGTTTCGAGCTCCGGTCCATATGAGATATGTCTATGTGGGAAGATGTGTATGAATGAAACAGGAAATAGCGGTCAGGTGTAATAGCGTGAAGATCGACGGAGTATAAGATAAATTTCCAAGAACAAGGATTATAGTTTGCGTGCGCGCCTCCCTGGGGATCTGGTGATACGTTACATCGCATCCACAGGTCCCAATTGTGAGCTCCTTACGCATCTCATCTTGCCAATATCCCTTACCTTCACGAAGTCCTAAGTATGGACATTCGATTATTTAAATTTCAGTCATTTCTTCATTTCTGGACAAAAAAAGGAAAAAGAAAAGAAAAAAAAAAACCTAGACAACCGACCCTAGGCGAGCTGAAAGTATGCTGTACAGGGCTTTTCCCGTCCCGATCTCGCATAAAAGTTACATTGAAAGAATTAATCGTAAATATAACTCATCAATAAAATGCACCTGGGTAATCCTGATTACAAAATCTCTGTCATGAGGGTGGGCAATCTACTCCACTTGCCCTGAAGCTAGGAAAATACCTAAAGCAGTAAAGCTAAATCTTCCTGCCACAATACAGATTATATATCTACCCCACGCAAGCGGCTGCATACGTTGAGGCAAGCAATGTCAAGTACACCCTTTGGCCGCATATATCTGCGATTCGCCTTCTACACTAGCCGTCTTCGTCCTTAGTGTATAGTATTGAGTGTATAGTATTGTAGCGTATGTCAAAAGCAAAGTAATGCCAGATAGCCTGCGTGGCTTTTTGTTTGGTTTTGTTATATCTTACCGCTAAAACAAAAACGGGGCAGTCGATCGCAGATTCCTGCGGCTAAGTTCTATTCCCTGACAGACCTAGAAGTGTAGCCCAGCGGCTCATTTTGTACCAATTTTGTGAGATATATGACTATTGACCCTAAGTTTGATGTAGGCAATCAGAATCTCCGGGTTTCCGGCATATGCGTAATAAGATTTTGCTATGCTCTGCGCCATGTCAGCATCTTCAAAACAGATAATCCAAGATAGCGATGACGAGCAATTCTAGATATGCGAAGACATTTTGCTTCATAGCGAACTTCTCTGAGCTCAGACATTCCCGTGAAGATACTAGACTCTTATTACGTTCACATAGTGGGCGCGTGGACTGCGTAGTCTCCACAATGAAATGATATAACCATTGCATTTGATAAATCTCAAGGTTCGTCAACTGTCGCCCCCTACTATCTAAAAAGTTCAAGACATGTTCCCTAGCTCATGTAGGATCCACACGTTCGGCTCCTTGTAGACGCCAATCTTGTCCTTCCTGGAGTATTGCACAGGCACCAATCCGGAGGGTATAAGAACCTCCACATAATCCCTCTCTTGGGAGCTAGTACCATGTTGCGCCATATCATCAAAATCGATATTTGTCCACTCACGCCACTCCACATTCGATCCGCGGACCATCATGCTATTCCTCGCAATCTTGATAACCTTGCCACCCAAACGAAGGTGTTTCCGTAACCACGGGTCAAATGCCAGACCCGGGCCCTTTGAGGAGATCAAGTTCAGCTGCCCAACAATTGGGCTTGTTGCAGTAGAACAATCGACACTGAGTGGCCAATAGATATAGTCAGACATGTCGGTGTGCGGATAGTCACATTTGCGCGTAGGGCGCAAAGGAACGACCAAGGCGTGTAAGTGTTCTTGCACGGCCACTTCCTTCATCTTTCGAATAAATATCTCGGCAAGCCCTGTCTTGCGCCGTTCAGGGAGGACGGCAATGGACAGAGCAGAGAGGGCATTGGATGTGTCTTTGCGACGAGAAATGGCCAAGTCCTGCTGTTGGTCTTCTGTGAGAGCTAGTGGCTCTTGCAGCTGCCCTTCTCGAGCTAAACACTGTTGGACCCCGCGAGCGAGGATAGTGTCGTACCCACCATCTGGGAGAGTGTTGAGAATATTGGGATTCTGCGAGAGGGGTAAGGAGTTGACGGATGAGATCGTGTCAATTTCGGGCCAGAAGAATGGAATAGATCGAGCTAGACCAATGATGGTCTCATTGCCAGTTGTAAGCTCGACCTCGACAGCAATGAATTGAAAGCGGGCGAGCGGACTCAGACGGGTCAGAAACCGAGTGAATAATTGAGCAGTGAGGTCCTGATCAAGAAATTCAGGCCATAGCTGGTTAAGTGGGTGGTCAGGTTTATCAAGAACCTTCACAAGATCCGGTCGACTCAAGGCCGTATAGACGGTGTAAGTAGAAGGCATTCTCGTCTTATCACCAACAAAAGATTTTTTAAGATACCGCCCAAGTGTAGAAGCTTCGAGTGTCATATTGCTCTCATTGGAAGTACCTTTCACACGTCGCACAGAAAACCCACAGAAAACCGTGTTGTCAGACCGAGTGAAGTTGATTAAAATATGCGCCATAGCTGAAAATCATTGCTAGCTCGCATATACACTTTGATTCCAGCGTCACGGTTCACGGTCTGCGTGAAGCGAGGAGCATGCATGTGACCCAGACAGGTACTAAATTGATCTGTCCAAAGTTGACGAGTTTGTAAAGCAGGCGCATTTAGTGCAGTGGGGCATATAATACATACTGCATAGGGCATTAAGCGGTGGAAACTTGATTTAAAGGCAAAGTTGTCAAGACCCGGACTCCCAAATATCATGTCTCTTACAGAAACCCAGTACCATTGTTCTCCTCCCGATACGTGTATTTCCAGCATGACGGAGTCCAGCCTCTCCCAGCCCGGCAGTGACCCCAAGTACAGAGCCACCCTCCTTCAGCTAGCTGCAATACAATGTAAGCGAGAGCTTGATGATATCGAGGATATTTATCCTTGCACACCCGCTCAGGAAGGGCTATTTGCTCTCTCCGTCAAGCGGCCGAACTCTTACGTTGCTCGATATGTGTATGAGTTACCGCATGATGTGGAGCTTTCTCGATTCCGGAATGCAATTGATGCTACACTTGAAGCCCACACAATCCTGCGAACCACGCTCATTCAGGCAAATGCTGCGATATTTCAAGTGGTTGTGCGACGACTTGTTGAGATTGATTCATCCCAGGACAATGTTCGGGATTATTTGCTAGTGGATAGTCAACAGCAAATGCCCCCAGGCGGCCCGTTGCTTCGAGTGGCTTTGATAAATGGAAAGCTTCACGAAAGACCCGTACTGGTATTGACTTTACATCACGCCCTTTACGATGACTGGTCTCTCAATGTGATCCTCAAGGACATTGAAAAAGCATACGACGGGAAGTTGCTGGCACGACGAGAGTTCTCGAATTTCACAACCCACGCTCTGCATGCCCAATCCGAGGAATCCGCCCAGTACTGGAGATCTCGATTAAAGGACTCAGTTGCATCCCAGTTTCCTCGTCTACCATCAGACTCATACACACCCGCTGCTGAGGCTAGTATGGTTCAAACTGTTTCCTTCCCTCGCCCCATGACTGAGAACGAACAGTCCGCTGCTATTGAATTGAGTTGGGCCATACTCCTCTCGAAGTACACGGCATCGGAAGATATTACCTTCGGCGTTACCCTTACCGGTCGACAAGAACATCTGCCGGGGATTAAAGATATGTCAGGTCCAACAATCGCGACTATTCCTTTCCGGGTGCAACTGCCCACCGATCTCCCAGTCGAGGCTGTTTTGAAGTCCCTCATGTCCACTGCGGATGAAATGCTTTCATTTGAGCAACGAGGTCTTTACCATATCAGCCGTTTGAATATCGAATCATCCACTGCCTGCCAATTTCAAAGCCTTGTCGTGATTCAATCTCCCCCGCAATATCAATATGACTACCTATGCGAAACAACTCAGGATCACGATCTTCACAATCATGCAACATTCGGAACGTACACCATGACATTGGTGTGCGATTTGCGCCAAGATGCCGTACGTGTGCAAGCTGTCTACGATGATTCTATTGTTCCCGCTGGGCAGATGCGCCGGATATTGGGTCAATTGAGCACCCTTTTACAACAAATTACTGGATTGACTGACGGTAGCTCTACCTCTCTCAAAGACCTGAACATTATGAGTCAGGATGATATTCAAGAGCTAAAGCTGTGGAATGGCAAAGTCACCCCCACGGTTGATGTTTGTCTGCACGAGTTAATTCTGAAGCACTGTCAAAATGAGCCCCAGCGTCTCGCTATCTGCGCCTGGGATGGATGCTTTACCTACAAGGAGATTGATGATTTGTCAAAACAGCTGGCTGTTTATCTCTTCCATTGCCATGCTGTGCGACCAGAGACCTTCGTCCCTGTGTACTTTGAGAAGTCAAAGTATACGACAATAGCGATTTTGGCGGTCATGAGAACTGGAGCAGCGTTCGTGCTGTTGGATCCTGCTACACCACTATCGCGTAATAAGAGCATTTGTGACAAGTTAAATGCTACTTGTGTCTTGTCGTCTATCTCTCTTGTTTCATCGGCGGGGAACTTGGCTGACAATGTTATCCTTGTGGGCCCAGACGAGACTCTATTTGCAGTCGACTCTATTCGAGATGAGTATTCTCTTAATAATGGTGGCACGGAATCGCTTGGTCCCAATCCCTCCAATGCTCTATACGCTGTCTTCACGTCTGGGTCAACCGGAACCCCAAAGGGTGTTGTCATTGAGAATGCAGCTTTTACCACGAGCACTAAAGCATATATCGAGACCTGCCATATTGATAGAGAGATTCGCGCTTTACAATTTGCTTCTTATGCATTTGACGTTAGCATATCAGATACTCTTGTCACCCTGGCTGCCGGTGGATGTATCTGTGTGCCCTCGGAGGAAGAGAGGAAATCCGATATTGCCGTGGTGGTAAATAAGTATGACGTGAACTGGGCGGACTTCACCCCATCCCTCCTTCGGCATCTCTCTCCAGACCGAATGCCTTCTCTTCGAACTGTTGTTCTCGGAGGAGAACCGATGTCTCAGGTTGAGATCGAAACTTGGGGGCCGCATGTTAGACTGCTGAATATCTATGGCCCGGCTGAATGCTGTGTCCTATCCACCATCCAGACAAATGTCACACAAACCATGGATCCGCGTGATATTGGCTTTTCAACGGGGGGCACATGCTGGGTGGTTGATCCCAAGGATCCCAATCAGCTCATGCTCATTGGGGCAGTGGGTGAGCTGCTTATTGAAGGTGCAATAGTTGGACGAGGTTATCTGAATGATGAAGATAAGACTGCAGCTTCATTCATCAATAGCCCGTCCTGGATCAGAACCTTTCGTCCAACAGGTACACCTTCTCGCTTTTATCGTACTGGGGACTTGGTGCAATATACCGATCAAGGCTCCCTGCGCTATGTTGGCCGGCGGGATGCTCAGGTGAAGTTGCGAGGGCAACGTGTGGAGCTCGAAGAAGTTGAATATCATACTTTAAACTGCTTCCCTGATGCTGAAGAGGTTGTTGCAGATGTTTTATCTTTCAAAGGCGGCCCCCAGCAGTTGGTGGCCTTTGTCACAGCGAAGGAAAGAGTGGGTGACAATTCATCGTCGAATTTATTTCTTTCCGCATCATCATTATTCCATGAGTCTGTGGCTACAGCAAATGAAGCTATGAGCCAGCTCCTTCCTTCTTTTATGATTCCATCCATCTTTCTCCCTGTCACTCATATTCCGAGAACGATGTCGGATAAAACAGACCGCCGCCGACTGAGACAGAACGCCACCATATTGACCCGATATGAAGTCGAAGGTTATTGTCTTCCTTCCAGCAACGTCGTAAGACGTCCACCCGTTTCAGGGCCAGCTCGAAGAATGCAGACCATCTGGGCTGAGGTACTACGAATCCCTGAGGATCGAATTGGTTTAGATGACGGCTTTTTCCAGATTGGCGGTGATTCTATCACGGCCATGAAAGTAGCTGGCATGGCCAAGTCAGAATGCCTAACTTTTTCAATGACAGAGCTTTTCCGGAAGGGTGCCACTTTGGAATCTCTTGTTGCACCATCGAGAGCGACAAAGGCATCTCCCAAATGGGATTGGATGATGGAAACAGCTTTAGATCCGTGCATTGTATCCTACCGCACTCACAGGATTTGCTTGACTGGATCCACCGGGTTCCTTGGGCAGGAGCTATTGCGCCAGCTCAATGTCAACTATGACGTGCAGGTAATCCATTGCCTGGCAATGAGAACCCAGGGGGTGGGTGTTGCAAGGAAGTCACCTTTGCTGGAATCTGAAAAGATACACTATCACGTTGGAGATATATCCCTGCCAAATCTCGGTATGGAAGCGGCGAAACTCTCTTCGATTATCCAGGGGTGCGACGTTATCATCCACTGCGCCGCCGAAATCTCGTTTGTCAAGTCTTATGAGCTGCTAAAGGCAACCAATTTTGGCGCCACGAAGCTACTTGCTAACCTGGCGCTTCAACATTCTGTCCCATTCCACTTTGTGTCCAGTGCAGCACTCTCTCATTGGACCGGGTTGGAAAGTATGGGAGAGATTTCCTTGCGAGAATATACACCAACAGACGGAGACGATGGATATTTGACATCAAAGTGGGTCAGTGAGACTTATCTGGAGAATTGCAATGTTCATCATGGTCTTCCCGTCACCATTCATCGCATTTCCAGCATTGTTGGACCCGGTGCCCCGAAGTTGGATATCACGAACAATGTACTGCAATTTTCGTGTCGACTTCAAGCTGTGCCGAATGTTCGCAGTTGCAAGGGGTTTATTGATTTAATTTCGATTCAAACTGCAGCTTCCAACATCATGGCGGATGCCCTTACAAGGCCGAGAGGGAAAGCCCCGGTGAAATTTGTCAATGAATCTGGCGAGGTTCAGATCGCAGCCTCGTCCTTGAAGGAGTATCTCGAAAACGGGCAGGGTAATTACCAGCCATTTGAGGAGCTTGAGCTGGAAGACTGGGTTCGTGCCGCCCAGGGTCATGGCATGTCTCACCTCGTTGGAAAGTTCCTCCTATCTATGCCGCCATCAGAAATCGATATCGCGATGCCGTTTCTGATAACCAGTCGTGATTATGAACAAGATGTTTCTTTCTTGAGTGCGTGCCTAGATAGTATGTTGGATTGAGTAGGCTAAAGGCCTGTTGACGGTGTTAATTGGGTCAAAGAGCTTAAAAAAAGCGAGTTCAAAGGTAAGCTCCCATTAAAGACCTCTCAACATAAGGGCTTGCGTTAACGCCGTTGTTAGACAATTCGAAAGCTATTGAGACCTACACAGACTCAGACAAAGGAGGACATACACAGAACGAGTTTGACCTTACTGAACCCATGGGTCCAACAGTCGCCGATCTGGAGAGGGCTCATAGTCCGAAAATTGAGGATTGACAACGTTTAGCCAAGCTTCAACGGGTTAAGCACCTACACGTCCGACCGTGACCTCGCTTTCTGCTGTCTAGACAGCTACAGACCCATAGCTCAACATAACCAACATAACACTAAAGCGAGGCTAGGAAAAAAGTCCATGATTTCTAGGGATGAAATTGTAGGCGCTTTTCGGTGATACAGCGTTAAGTTGCTCATAGATGAGGTATCAGAACAAGAAATATGAGCCTGTCATTACATCTCCCACAAAGCCTCAGTTTAAGAGGGCGTAAAGGATTCGGCAGTGAGCCAACGTTTCTTGACCGACTCAGCATCCTTTTTCTCAACAACATTATTATTCGTGTCTCTCGCTAAGCATCTAAAGGCATTAAAAATGTTGCTGCAAACAGTTACGGTAAAAAGAAGACGTGGGTTTCAACAGGCCTCATTTAAGAGGGGTCCCCCAGCGCTTCCTACCAAGCAGCGCACTTACGCGACAGGATGAGCCGAGAAGCCTATAAATACGTCATCTACCCTCGGCAATTTACTCTACGATTCATTCACCTGACTCTGCAGAGTCGAGCAGGCTTATGTCTAAGTCACCTGATAAGTTCTCTCCTTTGACCCAGAACCGAATTTCCACTGTACTACCATTTATAGGATACATCGAGGACTGGCAAGCCTGATAGTGCCTGTGAGAGATATAGGTATGATTCCCACTAGATACACTGCCGTTCACACCAGCCGATTAAAGATACGAACTTTGGATTAGCTGGTCAAGGTGTCTATACCCAGATGCCTCCGCCACAGTAGCTGACTAGCTGATCTACTATACATCCACTGTGTGTGCTCCCAAAGCAAAAGCGCGAATATCCACGTCGTAGGTATATGAATCTTAGCCTGACCTGTCTGAATTCTACTGATCCTGGAGACGATGCGCGACATCCCAGCTACGCCGCCAGAAAGTGAATCCCAATCATCTTTGTACTAGCCTCGAATGGGGCGAATGGGCTGTAATGATTGGAGTTTGCTGAGTGTTATGCAGTGCTGATCCATAGATAGCATATTAGCCCTTGCATCAATAAGCGCTTGGTTGACACTGGTTGTCTTGGCATACTGACCGCTATTGATTTCCAAACCGGCATGCAACTAGTTCTCAGAGCAAGCCCATGACTAATGTATGGACTAGTATACGATTAAAACGAGTGAGTTCAAGCGGAACCAATTCTTGATAAAAAGATTGATTGATTGATTGATTGAATAGAACACGTGCAGGTTGAAATACTCCGGGGGCTATGCGTCCAATACACCGATACTCAGTGGTTACAACACCAGAGTTGCAATTGACGCAGAATTACATACTGTTAGAACATGCTATGAGTATATCACCTAGTATACGATCAGGGCGAATGAGGTCTCGCGGAATCAATTAAACATGAAAAGAATGATTGATTGAATAGAGAACGTAGGATCGAGGGCAGGTTGAAATTCCCTCGGGTTATGTGCGTTGAATATGCCGATACTCGGTGGTTACAGCACCAGAGCTGAAAAATGACGCCAAATTACATACAAAACGTAAAGCAAGTTGATATCCTGTGTGACCAATCAGCAGTTAGCGGTAATTTACCGCTTCATGCTCTGATACATACAAAAGCATTTATGATAATGAAGAGCGGTGGCGGTTTCAACGCCTCTCAGAAAGGATTCTGAGGGAAGAAGAAGGTTTGCCAGACTGTCCAGGCACAGCTCCGCTAAGTTTGCCTTCGAACTTTCTCGAAGCAGAGATATTTATAGAACAGATTCTATACAGTTTTATGGTATAGTCCCGTCACAAACGATATGTAAAATAATTGAATAACGAGCTAAGCTCATGGTACTAGTTCCCGAAAGTGGCGCTGAGAAAGAGCGAAGAGTGTAAATCTTGTAGAAGCCGAACTTGCCAGCTACTGTGATCTACCCAACAACATTGCGCTGTGTTGGCCTAAGTATTGTACAAGACGAAAAAATGGCCAATTTCCTCCGCGACACTGTTTCCTGCTGCCTCCACGATTTGGGGACGGCGATCCACTCCCCGAGACAGCCAATCCGAGCCATATGCTACCCGTACTTTTCGATGTCCCATGGCCTTCGCCATCTGGGGGCAACAGTCTAGTCGTTGCAGCGTCGTTTTGGGCCATTCAATACGATCCCAAAGACACCACAGGCGCTTTTCTGGCAGCCCATGCCGCACCAATCTCGTGCATGCCTTCATTAATCCGATGCTGCTCTTCAGCCTTTCATTTGAATGCCTTGTTCTCAGTTGAGGTGGGGGGGGGGGTTGACTTTGGCTTGCTGTTTCTCCGTGCTCAATAACTACTATGTTTCTTTACAGCCTATTTTGTGTCACGCAGAGGGTCATTCACTGAAGCGCTAAACTCGAATATTTGAGTTTTGGTTCAGTCCTTTCACCAATTCGTTGAAAAAGATCGTTGCTTCGCTCATTGCTCAACTTGCCAGTGAATGAGAGCTACGACCGTATATGGTGACGGCAATTTTACGACGGCGCTTAACTTGCCGTTTCAGTCTTCGTTCACAACGTAAATTAACACAAGACCATGGTCCCTTCGCGTAAAGTAAACTGTGGCTTTCCTTGTCTACCAAAGGCTTAAAGGTTCAAAAATAAAGCTTTCGCATTTGTATTTTAGCACCTGTTTTCATCGAGCTTCTCTTTTCAATCAGTCTTTACAAGTGTCACCTTCAGCCTAATCACTTCCTCAAAATAGATCCTTCCTTCTCCCTCTCAGCAGATCACAACCTAAATATTATTAGACGACAGCATTTTATCAAAAACTGACCTATAGGTCTCAGTTTATTGGTACCTACACATATCCGCTTTCTCCCCTACTCCCCGCCAGGGTTGAGTGGCAATTCCGGTGGGTCGACGTAGCATGACTAGTCAGTGCATATCGGTAGTGGCTTGCAGATTGATTCAATTTATGACATGACGATCAAGTGGTCGCATTCTCCTGTACGCTACTGTAAGAGACATTTGACCATCGATACCTTCACCCCCTGCATAACACAACACATTCGGGAGGCTCATTATGTAACTGACTATTACTACCTTGGTAATGTATAAATGGTTAACTCTTCAGTAAACTCAACTACTCATCTATGAACCCTCAATACTCGCCAATCTAGTTTTCAGCTCAAATTCTATTTACTATATATACATCAGCAGCCCACAAGCTAGGTTGGAGATGTCGGAACTTCCCGTTGCTGTACAGCAGACCTTGCTGGGCCCTACTTCCACCCAGCAGACCGTATCGGGAATTGAGATCCCTGTACTAGGATATGGTGTAAGTGTACTGATTATCTGTAGTGACGAAGAGTGCTCTTTGCACCATTTTGCCCCTACTGTAATATATGAAATATTTCTAATGATTGCTCATAGGTTTATGAAATGTTTGTTACAAAAGCCAGGACACATCTAGTGAATTTACTGATCTTTTAGACCGGATAATTTAACGGAAGATGTGACAAGCAGAGCTCTAAAAGCGGGATATCGCCATGTAAGCTCTCAAAATTTCCTCCCGCTTAGTACTGTTGACCGACTGGTGATGGTGTGCAGATCGATTCCGCCGCGTATTATGCAAATGAGAAGCAATGCGTATCTGCAATCAAAAAGACTGGATTAGAGCGCTCTGACGTCTTCTTGACGACGAAAATTATGCCAGAACTCGTTGGCGAGGGTGGTGGATATGAAGCCGGCAGGGCGGCAATTCAGCAAAGTCTAATTGATGCCCAAACAAGTTACTTTGACTTGTGAGTCATATGCTGGACCCCTTAATTTGTAAATTCCAGGGCTCACTCTACAGAATCCTGATTCATGCCCCAAGTGGAGGAAAGGAAGGCCGTCTCGGTGCATGGCGTGCACTTGTGGAAGCACAAAAAGTGGGGGAAGCTCGTTCAATTGGTGTATCCAACTTCGGTATTCATCACTTGGAAGAGTTAGAAGAATACATTCAGAACGGGGGCGGAGGTCGGATCGAAGTCGGTCAGTACGAATTACATCCCTGGCTAGGACGATCAGATCTGGTGGAGTGGTTGCGCGACCGAGGCGCAGTGATTGAAGCCTTCTCCCCGCTTTGCCGAGGAACTCGAATGGATGAGCCTGTTCTGCTCTCTTTGAGTGAGAAACACAAAAAGAATCCAGCCCAGATTCTGATTCGCTGGAGTCTTCAGATGGTAAGGAGATCCACCTGATTCCGCATTCACCGGTATAGTCCAGCTGATTCCTGCATATGAATAGGGATTTATTCCACTACCAAAATCCTGCACTCCCAAGCGGATCCTCGAGAATGCAGATGTATTCGATTTTGAGCTAGGTGATGATGACATGGAGCTTCTACATACTGATGAATATTTACCATGTTCTTCTGATTGGGACCCCACTGTTGAGCGAGACTGAAGTCGAGATCTACATCTAGATGCATATGATAGATCCTGTGAACAAGTGCAGTTCTTTACGGGCCAACAAAAATTATGGAAACTCTGACTTTCGTTGCCCCTATTTCTGTCAATCTTTATGAGGGGCAGCATTGGGCGACTAATCACATTAAACCGCCCTGAGGTGCAAACGTGGTGGATTTTTTCATCAATAGCCTTGATATGTTGAAACGACCTGAGAATTCAGACATCGACTCATCATTTTTAGTCGCCGTTCTTGCTTCAGATAGTTTATCTTCCTCGGTGAACTACTTTCCATCGGCCATGTTCCTATTTCTTCACTTCGTACAAGTTTCATCACTTAGACCGTACAGACAGAACGAGTTTGGGCCATTGAGTTGTTAAGTCTCGGGCAAATTCAAAATCTGGGAGCGAAGAGCTGGTATCCCGAGGACAGGTCATGCTCTAGTAATGTCAAAGCTAACTGGTATATTTATGCTGCGCAGGTGTGAGGTTGGTGAATGTGTCCTGCGCATTCAAGTGGTACTAACCAGCCCGTGACTTACGCACAACCAGCAGTCAGTACCTACCACCTGGGTGAGATCCGCTTTAGCATTGCGCAGCGCACGCAATATCAAGTGTTCATGGAAAAGAAACCTCAGATACAATGGCCTGTATTGTCTTAATCTCGGAGCAGGTAGGTACAAACGGGCAGTTCACTGCCTAGTTTGCAGATGACCGAATTGTAAAGAAGCCGAAAAGCTATACCTGAATGTTGGATTGCATGATAAAGCAAGCAATCAGCAAAAATAAGTTTTAGTAAGTAGGTCCAATATTTGAATTCCACGCTAACTACCCGTTTCAAGGTTTCCCATTTTTCCATTCACCTTGCATCCTTCGAAGCCTCATGCTCTCCTTATTTAAAGCCATTTTCCGTGAAGCAATTCCCTTAAATTATAACAAGCTTTAAGCGTTCGACTCCGGTTCCTCTTCCTTGGACATCACCCGCTTTCTACTATACAGCCAAAAAGGCACTAATGTGAATCCACATATAACCCCCATAGTCATCGTCATCGTGCCCCATCCAATATGAATCTGAATGAATCCGGCCACAAGTGGACCCAGGAGCTGGCCAACCCCAAGCGCCATGTTGAATAGCGCATAGGCACGTCCGATCGGGCTCTTCTCACCGAAAGCACCTGGGAACTGTGTTTCATGATCTTCAATAACATGAGACACTTCTGTGATAGAGATGACTTGGATTGTGCAGATCGAAAGACCTTGGAGAAGCAAAAGTCCAACTAGGAGGACTGCGTCCCCCGTAGTGTTATGCTTGACTAGCCTCATAGGAACCTAAGTCACTGCTACAAACAGGAAGGCAGCAGTTCCTGGGATTCGAGGCCCCATTTTGCCGGTGAGCCTGCCGATATGTACCCCAGCGAAACTAGGCACGCAAAGGACAACGAAGATTAAGCCAGCGCCAGCTGATGACCAATTGAAAGTATTCATAACAAATACGCGTGAACTTTTGTTCGTTGTGACCGTCTCCTAACATATCGCGATTAGCAATGTAAGCAGCTCTTGCCAGAAAATCACTAGATCCTTTGCATCCCCTACGTCGACTTCTTTGAGCATTAACTCCATATCTGTCAAACCCACCGCGCTTCGGACGACATTTGGCATATGATGGTTCGAACGGATTCACCGTGAAGATGGGTTTGATCTGTCTTCAACATCTTGTACTGAACTCTCTATCGGTAATCAGTGCTCATGTCATGGTTGCTTTCCGAAGCAAGGCCGAGGAGCATGCCTGCTGTGACTACATACCAGCTAGAGCACCACTTGGGAGGATATTAGCACCTGCTAGTTCGTCCTAAATGATGCTAGTGAAGATGTCTTAATAGGATCTCAATTACAGCTGGCGCTTGATAGCTAGGTCTTGGTCTGGCTCATATTGTGTCACTTAGCGGGAGAATATGGTTAATTGTTTGAGATCAGCGTACACACACATCATAAAAAAGCAGTGACTGTCACTTTGATCGCAGTAGTGGATATTGATCTACAGGAGGCTAGCTGGAAATATACCATTGTAGTCACTGACAGGATACTCACAAATTTACGACCACTCACAAAATTAGGTGTCGATCAGGAATTTTCTTCATTCCATGCTTATCCAAAGCCCTCGATTACTTGACTGCCCTTGTGGCAGAGTTATTTTAGTCTTGCGACTCGCTCTAGGAGGTAGGCATTCTAATGTAGAGTAAGTTCGACCTCGTCAATCGATTTACAATCGCTGTTTGAATTGATGACTTTGAATACGCAAGGAACAAAGTCTACCGCATCACTAGTATCACTCAAGCCAACGATTCGTACGTTCGAGCGGCAACTCATCACCTACTTCTACATTTGGTAGGTCTGACCTTGAGCAAGTATTGCCTGATTGTAGTTGAACCTGTTGTAATGCAGAGGAATTATTTATTTCCATTCCAGATGGAGCACGTGGGCCTATTGCATGAGCTCCAAGTTGATTTCGAATCAACTTGTTTCTTCGTATAGACCCCTTGGGAATCAATTTCGATGGTGCGGCTTTGTTCCTGATCTGCACCAGCCTCATATCACAACAATACTAAATTCTGTTCTCAAAATTAGTCGCCTCTCATCTGTTTGCAACCCCCACCTTTCAATGGCTGAATTAGGAGTATCAGTAGAGTCTGATAACATGAAATACCACTTTCTTGCAAAACTTTCTGCAAGTTCGCAGTTTTCCGGACAAGACAGTAGTCCCCACACAAGAAATCCGGCATTACTGGTGCGTGTCACAGAATGCCATTATGCTAAACATGGCGATCGAGATGATCTCTGGCTTGAATGTGTAATATGCAGTATGATTAATGACCACGCTACGACAGGGTAGACTACCATAGTCGAGTTGCTTAGCCCTCGACTTCTGAATGCCTAGAGCATTGGTTTCCTATGTTTCTCATTCGGCGCCTTCGAAAAGCCAAGAGCAATTATATTTCAACAAAATTCACACATAATTAGTTCCCTGTGACAACGATTAGAAGCCACGTTAAGTTAGTTGTCTAGGCAGCCTTCTCTGTGCTAGTTGTAAACTGCCTTTGCATCTGCATTATAGAATGGGAAAACCCTTGATACTACATGGGAACAAAAACCCACACCAAGGCATGTGCCAACGACTAAGACCCAAACAGAATATGAATCGCAAAATATGGAACCTTTTGAACTGGAACAAAAATACCGTCAAGGAATTTCGCCGCCAGCTTCACTGTAAATCAAATTCCAGACGGCCATTATTGTTTCTGATGTGTTCGGCAGTATTGATATCAGCCTCAGGCGCATTATGACCAAATCTAGCACGGAGGATTGGCTGATGAGCTGCTCCCTCTGTAAAGTTGAATTTGATACTGTCTCGAAGTGCATCGTGGGTGAATCCGCTTCCTGACCACGAAAATTTGTCTAGAGTACGTCAGTGCTTGGTTGACGCTTTTTAATGGCATAAGGAGCTGTACTATTGACATCTCCAATATGATCATCAAGGTCAAGATGACTGTCTTCCAGGTTCCCCCGTTGGCTTTCACACTTCGCTTTCAAAAAGGTATGGCCGTCCATAAGGACAATCTCAGCATCCTGAGAGCTGTTTTGCCAATCCCCGGCCATCTTGTGTAGGAGTGAAACAAAGTAAACAAAGTTCAATATTTTCAAGTGGAGGAGTCACAGTCTGTGTTACACAGCTCGTAAGAACAAATATATTAGCCAAAAATGAAAGTAGGTGTTTATAAACCAGCTTTATATGTACGGAAAATCCCAGAGTAGGCGCGATTGAATTAAGCAAGGATCTCGTCATTAATGTGGATGTGTCAAAGCATTGCATTGTTGCCATATAATGATGATGTATATCGATTGCACTGTTGCTAAACAAATCCATGGTACATAATTTTACTCTTGCCACCGTTACAAATGGCTGGACGCATCTGTCTACTAATTCATTGAGATGGTGACATTTATATTACGCTAAGAGGCAAGGAGGTGCTGCTTCTCTCCGAAAAAATCAGCTTTGGTATTGACCAGAGATGAGCTAAGCGGTGAAAATTGGGCCGAGATTAATGGTCTCAAGTTTTCTCGGGAACCGAAAAATCTTAGGTAGTCTTACCATTTGCAGAATTATGCTAAGGCCCAGAACTTGAGTGACACTATCTGACCAAAGCAAATATGTCACGGTTCGGTTGCACCCCACTCTATCCCGCGGGGTTGGGGAGAAGTCAGCCCGATTTCAGCTGGGGTTTCAACTTTAACTAACTCCCAGGGTCGTCCCCACTTTTTCTCCCATAGTTAACAGCACAACCTGAACTGGAGGGATGGGGACTTATCCGCTTCCAGCCACAGGCCAACTTTAGGTTTTTCTCAGATTTCGATTGCGATTGATGTTAGTCGGGAACAAAATCTAGACAAAGATCAACGATGGAGCACCCGAAAACCTGGAGGTTCGTCGCAAAAGCAAATCCGTTCTTGTGGTATATTAAACTCAATATCAAGTCCTATTTTGATTAGCTGGGGGGCCTGTTCTGTGCCAGCTAGGTTCATCTGGGTACGAGCTCTATGAGATTCCAGCTTTGTGGAAGAAAATGGCCTAATAGCTGTCCACGGCTTACAGGATTAAAGTTTTTCTGTCATTTATACCCCACAAATCGGCGGGCGGTAAGCCGGCTAGTGACAGCTGCTCAATAGAGATGTGAACTATTAAATTACATCTGTCAAATTCCGAGTCTGCATACCTGGTACAATACACAGGAGGTAATAAGCATACCGCCAAGCATACCAGAGGACTTATAAATGCTCCATTACTTTGATTAGTTAATCATGCTCCATATAAATTATAAGGAGCGCGTATACAGAAATACAGAGAGTTCAATATACTGAGTTCATACCATGCATTTCATACAGTCAGATTTCTGTTAACATCTAATAATCTAGCAGTAGCTTTGACCAGTGAGTGCACAGTCCTATCAAACAGCATTCCCTGTGATACGTGTGAGATCGAAAAACTCCAAGGCCAGGGTCGTTATTAACCAATGTCCGGGGCTCTTGATACTCGGCCCGTCGCACCCCACATTGCTCTTCCGTTGTTCGGTTGTTCGAAGGGCGGTGTGGGGTGCGACGGGCCGTGTTTGAGAGACCCACCAGTCCACCACTCCCCCCACCCCCTAATTGGAACTACTTAGCCAGTCAGTTGGAGCTTGACGATATAAATTTTATTTTTTTTCACATTTTTTTTCACATTTTTTTTCTTTAATTATCAATTTGCCTGCCATGCTCACCTCGAGAAATGCCAGAATAGAAGATACCAACTTTCAATGGATACAACATCACGGATAATGGGGGGATTTCACATTGCTCGCAGCATAGTGGGACGGTTTACAGTGATGATATTTGGGATTTCTCGAACATTGTGGCGTTTTCTTCAAGCCATCAGTAGGTGATGTACCTTAACGGATGAACCTGATCGCTAGCCGGCGGCGCACACTGCTACACCCTCGTTATCTTCTAGGGCACATGAGAATTATAAGTGAGCAATAATGTAATAACCCGAGGCGCGTGCGCGCGGGCCGGGATTCCGCGCTCTGTGAGCACCTATATTCAGGTAGAGCACCTATTGCCCATCTGTTTTTCATTTTAGACTTATACCTTTTTGTCCTGGGCGGAAGGGCTAATGCGTTGAGTAACCTAATATGGAGACGGCTCTAAATTGATTAACAAAATCCGGGGTACCCTTGCTGTTGCCCACGTCCATGTATATGTGGAAAGTCATATTCGCCATCTGGGAGGTGGACTGTGTCTGCCGACCAGTCTTAGATAAGCCGACTTTCTTGACTAAATTAACATTTCAATCCCCCCGGCGAGATAAAGGGAGGAGCGCACATAAGCGTAATGACTTTCACGAAATAAGAGCAATCACGCCTCCATCTCTATCCATAGGAATCATGGGTAATAGTCACTTAGAGCGAGCCTCCTTCGAACCTAAGTGTCATCGATTCCTAATAGCTAGCTGCACAGGATCGATAGTCCGATAAACCGCTTTAAATGGAGACACACGGGCTGAGTGGACCGGCTCCCCGCACCGTTTAGGCCGTTTAATATCAATGTATCAACAAAGACGCAAGGATCACTGTTTATTAGCCTTATACAATCACGTATGAAAGCCTTTCTTTTGCTCAATTTTCACCAGATAACTAACTTTATTTTCATACACGTATCTACAGGACAGATCGATACCGATGGATTCCCGGGAAGCTTTCCCGGCCATTGAGATGCGGCAATGAGATTACCGTTGTTAGAAGAATCTCGACCACAGAAACTTGCAAATAGAGACGTCCCTAATTTTCTTTTGTGCATGTCAGGACTTCTCAGGAACCCCCAGTGACATGCCTAATATCTTTTTGACCAGAAACAAGAAGATCCCTAGCAGTTCGTCCAGCATAGGTCCAGCTATATGTACTAATAGAATAACGGCATTTGTTACGGGAGTGAACAGTCTATGGCAAGATCCCAGACATTTAGGATCTCTATCTAGCAACGGTCCATTGATTTCATCGTACTAGCACCATACAATCCAGCATATTTGCCATGTCTAACGTTCGTCCCATCTGTGGGCTGACGCCAGGAGTTTTGGTTTTCCACGAACGCCTACAAATGCCTATGAACGCCACGCAGCTGGTCCGAATTCCAGGCTTATTATATTCAACAATACGGTAATTGTTCATACGACAACCGACACTCCGGCGGTAAGCTTTCTGACGATAGGCGTGAAAGATTCAATGATATGGGCGATCCATTCCGGCGCTATGCATACACGCAGTGGTCTAGTTTGGCCTCATGTCAGAGCCGTACTTTGTACATAGCTTTAATGCAACCTTTATGTTTAATTGGAACTTGATACAATGTGTACAGATTTGACAGGATTGACAGGTTCGACAGTGCTGGTTAAGGGGCCCCCACCTAGCAATATCTAGCGACTGTCAGTCAAGTTATAAATATCTGGGACCGCCAGCAGTGGATAGACTTTCTGCTCACATTTTCTCAATATTTTAACCACCAACGCTTTTATTTAATTTCATTACTTTCCTACAGTAATTGATAAGCTTTTTTTGTACTATATATCATCAGAACTTGCATTGTTATGGTATCGAAAAATACATCACTGAATTCTAGGATATACAGTGATACCTCTTAGATTTCAGCACGCTGTCGGCTACCGCCTTCCTAAAATAACGTACCGCCTACTTAAATAGTTATACCGCCCATTATTGAATCTTTTTGATTGGTAAATTACAGTCGGCAGAATAAGGGGTGTTGAAACTTAGGTGTCAATGTATATATCTCAGTCACCAATTTATTAAATTTCTCGAAACTCCCTTAAGAGACTTAATATTATATAAAAACCTAAAGATTTCACTATTGCGTCTGTCTATAGTATACTATTATAAACTGCGTGGGTGAATTGCTCTGGCTAGGGAGTTGATAGAACCACACCAACAAAATTGGATTTATCTTTGGAGAAGCACGTTCCTAGTCCGTGCGCATCGTACGTCATTTTATTTGCGGGTCAAACTCACATTAGTATACCACCGGGTCACTGTTTCTGGCCGTTTACTTTGAACCAGAAAAAGTCGGTTCTTTGAAACCAGGAAAATCACATTTTCCAGAGGTCACCTTCAACCAAAGTTTGATTTTACTAGATAACCACAAGATGAATCCTTATGGTCTCCGCTGGCAAGCCTAAAAGTAATGCCTTTTTTAGGAGATCACACGACTAACGCGGCCGCATGCGGCATGGCACCGTCTAGACAATGCGACTGAAATTAGAGTTCTACAGGCTCATCCGAGCCTTGGTTGGTTTGTTACATATATTATTGTAATTAAACATTCACTAATCCTGTCACAGGTTAAGATTTCTCACATCGCTTATTATCTGTGCTGAACTGTGCTGGGGAATATGAGTCTCAGCAATATTCTATACAGGTTCCTTCGAGCTCCTTTACAACCATGGTCAATACGTCCGAGCCGCGTTTTGATGTTCTATGAACGGTAAACTTAAGTGCTCCTGTAATGAATGTGTTCTAGCTTGCTCTACACAGAAAGACGACGTGGAGCGCACTAGCCCACAGGCACATAAAATAGGATCCTTGTTCCAAAATTGTGAGAGAAGTGGTAGCTGAGTTTTTAGGGATATTGTATTGCAAGTCTTGGGTAGCAGGATAGTCTGGATGGAATTCAGAATTGTCTAGCCATTAGATACCTAGCAGTCTAATCGTCACATTTACATTATCTGTACAAATAATGACTTAAACAGTGACGGAAGTGAAGATCTAGATCATGAACAATGAAGCAAAGGAAAATGGGCCAGGTGGTCATGTTACCGTCTGAAGTCTACATCAGCATTAATGTATATAAAGCGATAATGACTTCTGGGAGAAAGGAAGGCTTTGGACACATCCTGGAGAATTATCATAAGCACCTACTTCAATCTCACAGTCAGCTTCTTTATTATTCAAAGTCAGCCAAGGGTATCGACCGATATACCTGCCAGGTCGTGAGCATGGCTCCTTTATGTGGCATTATACCAGAATATGTACTGGAGGGCATCATTGAAAAGGGGCTGGCACCACAGGACACTATCCATCGGTGCCAATCCACTCTTGAAAAAACAAAGCAACTTCAAGATGTTCGTGAAAGTCATAGGCAGAGTATCGCAGCGGTTCAGCCGCAACAAACCTCTCAAGGTATTATTCCGCCTTACATCCTTGAAACACTTGCACGGAATGCTGCGACAGAACAACAACGCGAGGCAGCCCGCCACACACTTGCATACAGTACTAAGCATCGAACAGTGGCAGGGCATGTACGTCAATTGAACCGTACAGTCTACGATGCGCAGAATTCACGTGATAATCATCCTCCCCGTGACAAAATTCTGATTTCAGAAGGTGGTGAACTTCTTTCGCAAGAGACTGATCCAACCAATAATGCAAATGAGTGCTATGTTGGTCTTGGGAAGACTTATGACTTCTACTTCAATTTCTTCCGGCGAAATTCCTATGATGATGATGGTATTAAGCTCGATGGCTTCGTCCATGCTGGGGACCTCTACAACGCCTTCTATAACGGCAAAGAGCTAGTCTTTGGTGACGGAGATGGTGTTATCTTTGATGGCTTCACAGATGAGCTCGATGTTATCGGTCACGAGTTTAGCCATGGCGTGGTGGAATATACGAGTTCACTTCCATACTGGTACCAGAGTGGCGCTCTCAATGAGTCTATTGCAGATGTCTTTGGTATTATGGTAAAACAATGGGGTGAAGGCAACCCCCAGACTGTTGACCAAGCTAACTGGCTTATCGGGGAGGGAATTTGGGCTGCAGGTGTCAATGGCAGGGCTCTCCGGGACATGGCGAATCCTGGAACAGCTTTTGACGATGATAAAGTGGGGAAAGATCCTCAGCCTGCGCACTGGAGGGATTTCAAGAAACAGAGCGGCGATAACGGCGGTGTTCACATCAACTCTGGCATCCCGAATCGCGCTTTCTTCCTTGCCGCTACTAAGATTGGAGGATATGCTTGGGAAGGTGCTGGACCTATCTGGTACCGCGCTCTGAGCAGTGGTAAGCTTCGCACAGATGGTGAAGCTACATTCAAGGACTTCGCCGATCTTACAATTGAGAGTGCTGCCAAGCATGTGGATAAAGTCAAGGAAGCTTGGACCGCCGTTGGATATCCATTCTCTGAGAAAAGGCATGAGCTGTAATCATTATTCTGAATGAGCCCGATTACCGTGTTTAGGAGTCGGAATTCTGTTTGGGCAAAAGTCTGTTATTTCGTATTCATTATTACGGAACCTCACCCCTGTATTGTATCGCCTCCCGTTATAGTTGAATACCCATTTTAATGGTAGGATTTAATAGCGATGATTAGTCGAATTTTAGACTTTGTTTACTGTCTCTCTCCGGCGGAGTGTCTCGACTTCGTAGCTTACTGCAGCGATGAGTTCCTTGGCGTAATGGTGGACCCTCCATTCTTTCATATTTCTCGGCTCCGGTGGCAGATCGTTTCTGTGTAGTCTCTTCTTCTGCTCGAACCTCTCGTTTAGACTGACTGTGAACACGTGGAGGAATTTAGGAGGATCTTATTCGGTAGAGTCGTCGTCCAGGACTACATATGTTGCGCAGTCTGGGTCTTGTTTCCTTCTCTGTGACCGTCTGCCAGTGATAATATTTGAGAGATTAATATCTCCAGAGATATCCCTTGGTGCTCGGTCTGATAATGACAGATCTGGGGTAGGTGACAAAGTAGGTGACAGAGCAAGCTCTCGTTATAGTTGCATACCGCTCTCTGATTTAGTCTCATTTTCGTCACTTATCTCTGATATATCTCTCGCTTCACTTCTCTTCTCCCCCTTAGTTTCGATGCCTTATGTCACAGGGATCGGATCTGGTGATAGCGATATCGACTCTCGAATTCTAGATCTCGATAGATCTATCGGAATCGGAGGATTTAGAGGGTTTATTAATGATATTGATGATGAAAGTGATGATGAAGGTAAGGATAAAGGTGAGGATATTGACTGGGCAGAGATTAGCAGATCTGGTGGAAACGCTCCGGGTATGGTTTCTCTTATTTGCTGCGTCGGTCTGATCATTTGTTTGTTTGACTGCGGAGTTCATGGTAAATCAGAGGCTGATTTAGCAGATTACTCCAATGGGGTTTTCTCTCTCTCTCTCTCTCTCTTCATCCACCTCCTTATTTCTCTCAGCCTGCTGACCTTTCGTTATTGTAGTGAAAGTGTAAAGGTATACAGTTTTCAGGTGTAAGGCCTGTCAACCGGGTAAGATACAATGGCTTGGAGAGGAATGGAATTGTATTGTCTGTGTGCGCCAAGACTAATTCTTGCTAAAAGGAAGAGGGGATTCAGGGGGATCCCCGAATATGTGTACTTAGACTTCCGCAAAACCCATTTTGGGTCGAAGGTCACGACCCAGAACCCAACCCAGTCTGGGTCTGGGTCTGGGTCGAAAGCTCATAACCCAGGCCCAAACCCAGACCCAGTGACTGGGGCCCCAGAAAACCTAGTATAGACCCAGTTCGACCCAGTTTCTGCATAAAGTTTAGCATAACTATTTAAATAACATACTGTCATTTTCCTCTGTCATGGTTCCTACATTAAAATACTATAATCTTTACCATTAAGATGATGGAAGTTTTAAGAAATCTTCTCGTTTTTAAAAGAAGTATATTCGGTTTAGGGTTAATTACTTCATAAATTGTTTTATTTCATATAGGAAAGAATTATCTGTTAGCTGCTAGTTTTAATAAGTAAAGGGGTGCATTCCACTTAGAATATAAAGTATATCCGCTTTATAGATATATACTTTTAACATGTATTAACCCTACATTTTAGACCACGTTAAGCTTCTATACTTTAGACTAGTTATATATTACTTTATCCTGCTTAGTACTTAAAATTATTAAATATCGCTAGTAGACTTCAGCACAACCCACTCTAACCCACTCTAACCCGGACCCAACCCAACCCAACCCAAAATGGGTTTTAGGTCCATTGCTTCGACCCAACGATGGGTTTTGGGTTATTAGCTATAACCTAAAACCCATTGGGTAACCCATTAGGGCCCTAATATAGTGTAAACCAGATAAACAGACTTTTAGCGTATAACTACATAATTAATGCATTTTTTGCTTGTAACATTAAGTATTTTACTTACAGCGCTCTTCTAGAATGAATTAAGAATGAGTTAAAAAATTACATCAGGATGTATTTCTCTAATATTACTTAAAATCATCATCTGCTTTGCTCTTACGCTTCCTCCCTAAGGCCTATCTCTAAATTATAACTCTGGCTCCGTCACCTATATATCTATATATATTAAATAAGGAGACATCTCTCGCGGTCTATTATCTACTCCCTCTTCCTCTTCATTATCACTAATTAGGTTAAGCTCAGCATCCTCTATATAATTATCGTTCTGCTCCTTCGCCGACTCGATCTTAGCTAGTGTGAAGAACTGTTCGAGCTACTTTACCTTAGTATCCCCAAGATTAAATCTTATTATACATAGAAATAACATAAGCTCCTCGATTATTTCGGACTTTAGACGACCACGGCGATAGTGATAAATATCCCGAGTAGTATTAAAGAGCCATTCGACACTAGCACTAGTTATTAGGATAGAGAGAATATCGCGAGTAAGTAACGCGATTATAGGGAAACGAGATTAGTTCTCCCGCTAGAATTAAAGAGGCCCTTTGTGAACAGCGCGAAGCACAGCTCCTGTCGGACAAACGATTTTTTGGTGAACTCATTTCTCGTGGAGCAACAACATTTCGCCATAATGAAAAGGGTCGTTTGGGTTCGTTAAAAGAGATTAATTCTGCGCACCGCATCGTGACACATCTTATCCTTCAATCAGAAAAGCATCCCCCGAGGATATTGGAGCTGCAGCGCGAGATTATTGACGAGGGAAAAGTGATTGGCGGGACGAAAGCAGGTATTTTGCTCACTAGAGATCTGTCCAAAGCCCGCCAGGCTCATGAGCGACAGTTGAAAAAGTTAAAAAAGGCAATTGAGATGGAAATGTCCAAGAAGAGTACGAATTATGCTGTTGACATGCAGGAGCTTAAGGCAGATCTGAAGAACAAATGGGAAAAATCGAGCAGGATAAACGAGCGCTGGAGAAGTCGATGCGCGATTTCCACAAGGATGAAGAAAGGGCTTGGAAGAAAAGACTCAGGGCACTCGAACAAAGGTTCCTCGAAGAGCTAGCAACTAAAGGAAAAGAGCTACGCGACATGGAGGAGTCACTTGCAGAAATACGCAAGGACAGAACTCGACGTGCCAAAGAGTCCCAGAAGATAAAGCTTGAATTAGAAAGATACGAGCAAGAGATTGATAATACTTGTGGAGAGGTTATCCACGCCCATAACACCTATCAAAGGCTACGTGAGCAGAAGGGGAGCCTGTTCAATGGCGCGACCAATGGTATTGCCTCAGGCCTAGCATCTAGCATCATATCTGCAGGTAAGCTATCTTGTCTTCCGAATCTATTGTGATACTAATATCCTCTAGCGCTCGACGGTGGACTCCTTTGCACAAACTTATAGCAGTATGTTTGCCCAAATATTAATACCAATGTTATATTTGGAATCAAAGGTACCACATACATTCTTCTCCGAAGGGACATTCGCGCTTTATGATGATGTCCTCAGTAACGCCTCGGAAGGGTAACCTTGGAACCCCTCGGGTTATGTGTACAGACATAGATGGGGAATTTTGCTTCCTATCATTCTAGTAACCCCAAGTTTCTCCCTACCAAATGGCCTTCTTGGCTGTGATTCCTTGTGCTGTGATCACATTGCCCCTACTCAACATGATATACAGCCCATGGCTTCGGACTTCCTCTATTCAACCACATGGAACCATGTAACGCATTTGATTCCAATATCCGCTCATAGACCGAGGGAGCTCCCTGGCCCCGAGCCTCCGTTGGAGAGGCTGTGGACGACATCGATCTCGCCCATCTCTGAATTGGCTGATGATAGCACTCACGCCATTCACGTTAAGCATACGCTCCGACTGCCGAAATTTGTCAGGATAGTCAACTTACTCAATACTCACAGTCATAATTCTACTTTACTCGCCGTTTGCACTAGGGCAAAACAATAGATTGTCCGACTTTTGGTCCTTATATATTGCTCCGTGTCTATCAAAGGCGCTTGGTGCTTGCTTAAGATCGAACAATAGAGAGATTTCAAGCTTCAAGCAAAACATAGTGTAAGCTGGATCTAACTTAACTGGTTGACGTTTGTCATATTATTAGGCAGATTGTCTGGTACTACATCGGTTCACCGGACCTTTTTATATATACCAATGATGATATCTGACCGTACAAGGTTCCTTAATTCGAAGCAAGAATGCTAAAGACGTATTTAAGGGGGCCGTTGGCCTTGTCCTGAGGAAATAAAATCGTTCAAGGGAGCCTTTGATGGGGTTTCGGGTTTTTGATAACTCACATGTGTCCTCGCCCCCTGCAGGTAGGGAAATCACCTGAGCAGTGAGGACACTCTACTCCGTACATTCCTGGTCATCTATAACCATATGCACTTTCTCATTGTAATTGTGGAAATTTATGAGAGGAAGAGAGGACAGGTTTAGTGAGAAAACCCTGTTGAAACTTTGCATAATACGTAGCAGGAAATATAGGCTAGTCTAGGTGTAGTGACGATCGACATAATTTCATCAATGCTTGATACTTATATCTATTACAACGCTTGATTCTATGTAGACTTTATAGTATAGCGGTTCTTCAATCCCCGCAGCTTCCAATGTTACCAAAATTGTGGTTGTACTTAATGATAAAGCACCCACTATGTTTTCTAGGGGATGACCTAGACGATCTAAATCAAAGCCATGAGGTTAGATGATACCTGTCGATTGAGCTGGCTCTCCCGACTGACTTGAGGTATAATATACATGGCTCTAGAGCTTTTAGTGTTTGATGTTTCATGTTGACAGCCTTCACGTACATTTCGATAAAGGTTCGGTGGCGCTCATCAGGTCGACCACAGTCAACATTTATTCCACATCTTGGATTAAATCATCATCCAAAAAAGGGCTCGGAAATACGCTCCTTATGGAACACTTGTTATTTACAAAAAAGACCCTCGCACCTTGTTTACGGCGAATCTAAGAAGTTCACAGTCAAATCAGAATGGCATTCCACAATACCAATCTACCAGAGACACTTCATTCAGGTGCCTGTCAAATGCGTCAGAATGTTTGTGAATCTAGGTTGTGATCTAGGATCATGGCGCATTCTCGTCCTTACTGGCAAGGTCAACCCCTCCGATCACGTGTTGTGTACCGAATCGGTCGGAACGACACGAAGCGATTAGCTATTAGCACAAAATTGAAAAAAGAAATGAGAAGGCCCTGAGAAGTCTACAAGCTAGATTGTAGTATTCAAAGTATTTTTTACCATTATGTGCTCGGAATTGTTGTTGACCACGTCATCGAGGGATCTAGGGCACGATCGCCTCCATCCTCCTATCTTCACCTCCAAGGGCAACCCTTTGACGCACGGAGAAATGACCATACTGGGTTTGTGGAAGAGATGGTTTGCTCCAAATCTTCCATTCTCAGGGACTGAAACGAACTGACATCTGTACAGACAGATCCACAGGGATAAGGCCGACAACGGCCAAACCCTCAATACATCCCTACCACAAGCAAGTCCTTAGCATTCCAAGCTATTAAGCCAAAATGATTCACCCTCTTCAGAGAGGACTCCTGAGAGCGTTAGATTCTTCTGACGCATGCCCCTCGGCTGGTACATTCCACCCCTCCACACTCTATTCGCGTCGACGCGCTCCAGGCCTGAGAACCTTTATTAAATTCCTCTTTAGTCCTTCGACGCTCCTCTTGATACCAACCTTATGTATGATCTTCTTTACGCTCAATTGATGAACTTCGAGTGTGTCTAAAACTGGGTTCGATTTGGACCTGGCGCATTCAATACGCATGTCCTTGACCTACAACACACTCACATTCTTCCCTACCCAGTTTCCGAGTCCCAGACAGCTAGAAAAGGGCTACAAACAGGGCCGTTCGTCTCTTGGTCCTTGAGCTATCGTGATCATGGCGTCTGGGTTTTCAGCGACGCCTCGAAAGGAGGGCACATGGACAAAGCTTGTGATATTCGTTGCGCTATACATGCTACTCCTCGAGTCTATCCTGGAATGGGTGCTCGTGCTCTACCTTTACGGTAATGGCCAGGTTGACTCAAAGATGACTCTGAGTGTTGTTCTTGCACTAGTCGCAGTATGTTTGACTTGAATCTTTGGTTACTATACCGTTTCGCTGACATTAATTCAGTCTTTTCTCTCGGTGCCACTTGTCAGCCTCCAAAGCCTGGTTGCTTGGCAATACAACAACATTGGTGGGTTTGGAACCCAGAAAACCGTTCTGCATAATGTATGCACATATGTGCTGCGCTTGGATCTTCTACTTTGGTTAGCTACAAGTGTAGCAGGTCTAGTGGTCACTGCACAGCAGGTGTACTGTCTCCCGGAAGGGACACATGCAAGTTTCTGGAGAGTTGGTATAAGCTGTGCCTTCCACCGAGCATCTGTGATCGTGTCGGTTATTTCAATGTACGCTGCATTTTAGTTCCATGTCATCTTTACTTCAACTGACAATTATTCTACAGGGCCACCGTGTGCACAATGTACTGTGCGAGGCAGCTCTGCGATCGACCATACGATGTATCGCTTCTCGGTATATACAGGCGCCAGATAGTTAATAGAGACGGCAGTATCGTCTCTGGTAATAGTTGGGATAGCGAGGAAACACTCAAAAACGAGATTCTCTATCTTTGCCGCCAACACGATGGAAATGGACCCGGGGAATTTTGGTCTGCAGACCCAATCGCCAACAGAGTCAACTGCCATCCTAGCATCCGACACCCTGCCCCCATCCGTCTACGGCCTCAACTTCGAGTCAACACTGATCCCGGTTCATCATATGGCGAAATTATGTCTGGAACGACGATTTCGCCCGACACTCTACACCGTATCTCGCCTGGATCACAAAGCTTGGCTAGTGAATTTTATCCCACCTCGTGCACGTCTACGACCGTGAGTTCACAGACAGCCAACGAGTTACGCGCCCTTCTCTCTGATGCGCCGGTCCCCAAACTCCCGACCGTTCCTCGGGAATACACCCACCATAAGAGAGGAAAGTCATCATTGTCTTCTCTTAGACGTCTTCTTCCAAAGTCTTTCCCATTATCGCTTCCATTATCATCGGATCCTCAAATCCAGGCCCTCGCAGACCCCAACGCCGCATCTGACGTCGAAAAACAAGTCGTGACACCAAACAGCATGCCCAAGGGAGACCCTGAATCCACAACCTACCAGCTCGGCGCAAACGGCAACACCCCAAACGCTTCCTCAGCATCCCTCCCCCAAAGCCCAGCCAACACGCTACCCAAACCTATGCCTGCACACCTCCAAAGCCACCACATCCGAACAATGACCATGAACTCCGCCGACGCCCCCGAAGTAGTCCTCACCCCATCTTCCCCACCAAAAGCTTGCCGCTCCCAAACAACCTACGCCATGCCCGCAGCCCGCTCAATCCACCACCCACATCACCCAAACTTCACCCCACGCCCCCCGTCCCTACCACGACCACGGGCATACTCTCAACCCCGCCGCCAAGCCCCAGGACCAAACATGCACCCAGACTCAATTCGAAAGACCATGCAACAACAGAAAAACATCATCCACTACCCCGTCCGCAGCTCCTCGTACCACTTCGACCCAACCCACCTCCCCCGCCACTCGCAGAGCCAGTACAACCCCCACCCAAACACCCACTCGGGGAGCCAGTATTCCCACCAATCATCCCGCTGGGCAAATCAGCGTCGCCACGTCTCAGCTCGCTCACTCCAAACGCCCATCCCCCGTCGCAACGACGTCGAAATAATCTACCCCAGCACGCGTCGTTCGCGAAGCAGTACCCACAGCCCCGGGAATGGCCCGCTCAGCTGTATCTTGGAGACGACGGCCGACCCGCATGTGATGGATGGTCCCCGACCTCTCTCGACTGCTTGCTTGGAGTTGCCGTCTAATTGTATCGATCAGACGAAATATCGGGGTGCGAATCGGACGAGCTTGGGCTTTTATTAGAGTGTTTGGGGGAAGATAAGGGAACGGTTATTAATAGTTCGTCTGCTGGCCGGACATTCGTTTGGTATTTGGCTTATTTTTGTATGGATGACTTGGGTTATGTATCTATATTTTCTTTTGTCGTTAGGTATGCATGTGATTGACTAAAGATAGATGTGGGCATAATTCATATAACCTTCCAAGGTTTGAAAAGCGAACTGTTTACTCACATGGGGAGCTTGGGCTTCGGGTGATTCGATGGCTGTGTTCCTGGCGGTTCCTGTATTCCACCAGGCGTATACTGCTGTAGTTCTCAATCGTTCTACCCTTTCGACCTTGAGCATCTTGATCTCGGCCACTTTGGCTTTCTGATTCTACACAACATTCATTCTTTTGTTTCGGTAAGATCCAACACGGCTCTTTCTAAAATATCAAATAGCTCTGATCCCGCATAAAGGTAATCCAATTCCCTCTTTTCTACTTCTGGTATACTTCCTCATTTGTATTCGTCATAACATGCCTTGAAGCCCGTAGATAATTCAAGACAGAAAATGATCGTAAGAGCTTGGACAAATTACCCCGCCTTGGCGCGGCTGAGGCGAATGTCTTTTTCACAGTCGGCAAGTTATTTCATATTCTCTTGCCGATCATAATGTCCCATCAGGTGGCTTTGTTGTGGACTGGAGCTATCAAACAATATGAAACCATCGCGAAGCAAAAACTCGATCCCGCCGTTCTGCAGGTGACTACAGTCAGCGATTTACTGGAAGTAATCGATGATGAAAATAAACAATTCAACGCCTTTCGTGACCGAGGACATCGGCTTCGAGATGTGGTCAAGCATGCCATGACCCCAATTGAACTGGTAGGAACGGTGGTGGCCGGTAGTGTCTCTGCGGCTTATCCACCTAGTACCTATGTGTTTGGTGCGGTAACACTATTGCTGGGAGCTGCAAAGGGGGTTTCAGACAAGTATGATGCTATCATCGAAATGATGTCAACCTTGAAAGTCTGTGGTGCAGATTGTCCCAGGGAGAGTCGAGATTGAGATGCTGACTTTCACAGGATCTTACCATTCGATTGAAAGTTTACTCGACGCAGACTATTTCCGAGAACCTGAGCAACAAACTGACGGAGATTTTGACTTCGCTTTTGGAGGTACTCGCTTTTGCCCGAAAGGAGGTCAAGCATGGAAGGATTCTTAGCTATGGCAAAAGCCTGCTGTCTACCAGTGACGGTGGGAAAGAGGCAATGGCCAGATTTGCCAGGCTGGTCGAGGCGGAAGGTGCATTGGTCGGGGCCGAGACACTAACAGAAGTGAAGGGAGGATTTGCGCGCGTGAATTCCGATATGAAGAAAATCGCTCGACAATTGGAAGAAACGAGGCTGCAGGCTGAGATGCCCCGCAAAGAACGCATGGTCGCGAACCTACGGCTCTTACTACAGCCTTCTAGGAGCTCTGAAGATCGATACAGTACAATGAATCGTAACCGCGTGCCGCAAACCGGGGACTGGGTACAAGAAGAAACGGAGTTCATCGATTGGATCGCCGGAAAGAAACCAGTCCTGTGGATGTCTGGAAACCCAGGGGCTGGAAAGTCATATATCGCTACCAATGTGATTGATCGCCTAAAGCAGAAGCAGCATGTTTCTCTGGGATTCTTCTTCTTCAAGGACGACAATCCCACAACCCGGTCCACACACCAAGCTCTCCGCGATGTCGCATTTCAGATCGCACTGAACGATCCTGTCTATGCTGAATATATCGTTGATTGCATAGATGGTGCCGAGGACATACAGAGGCTGGAGAGTTTATGGAGGAATCTGTTTCTGAATTTCTTCATCGATAATGGAGGCAATGAGGACGGCAAGGAATCCGCAAAAGGCCCAGTTTACCTAGTTCTAGATGCACTCGACGAAGCGTTCATCGATGATCGACTCGAGCTATTTGAATTGGCGAAGGATATCCGGCCCGGTGGTCGAATCCAGCTCTTGATGCTCGGAAGACCACAAATTGCTGAGGAAATGAATGATTTGATGGAAACCCTTCAAATTCAGACGATCGATGTTTCTGAGGTGAATAATTTCGAAGACATTGTGCATTATATCAAGACTATGATTGCGAAGTCCATCTACTTGCGGAAGCTCCCGCTCTCTACCCAGCGAACAATTATTCAGAGACTGTCTACTGGCTCCCAGGGGATGTTTCTCTGGGTAAGACTCATGTTACAGGATTTGTCGCAAATCAGAAGCAAGGGCGAGATACAAAGGACACTCGACGAAGCTCCAAAAGGCTTAACAAAGATGATCTCCCATGTCCTAGGGGGGTTTTCAGAGAGTTTCACGGACAATCCCCAATACGCCGGCGACTTGAATGAGCTATTGGCATGGACAATGTGCACCCCAAGTCCGCTCTCCCTGTTTGAGATTGACAATCTGTTAAAATGGAGGTCGCCCGAAGGAGAGAGTTGGATATGGCTAGAGGGCTCTCTTCGAGTACAATTTGCCTCTATCTTCCTTTTGACTCGTGAAGATGGCCTTTCCACCACAGACCTGAAACGAAGAACGAATTACGCGGAATACGGCGATTTCGAAGAAACATCCGAGTGCGACTTGGAGGAGAATGAAGACCTTGACTTGAATGATGATTTTGATTCTGATCACAAGACCACAACGGTCTCTTTCTGCCACGCATCCCTCGGAGAGTTTTTCAGAGGCCAGAAGGCCAAAGTATCGATTGGACCCAATGCTCCGTATATTGGAGTCAACTATCATGAAGCTCGGGTATTGGTATTGAGCAGATGCTTCGAAATCATCCAGAACAAGGAGGAGTCCAGAGAGCAGATTGCACTTGCGTTAAGATCATACGCCTGTAACTATCTTCTTCAATTCCTCACTGCCGTTGATATGAGCCAGATTACTAAAGACGCCAAAAAGGTGATTGGCTTTCAGTTGGCTGAGCTGTTGTCTGATGAGTCAGGGTTCAAAGCATTTGTTTCGCCCGATAAACTCAATCTGTTCACGCAGGGCGCTCTGAATATTTTGAATAAATGGCTTGGTGACCCCGATGTTCAAGAGGCTCTTCCGGATGAGGCCAAGATTTGGTATAGCAATGCCATAGCCGAAAGCCCAGCTGAAATTCTGCGCCCAATAGTGAACTATATAGCTTCTCACTGGGTCCAAAACACTTCATGGGACTCAACTCGTTGCCTCGTGATCATTCACGATTACATCATCCTTCGGGGCTCTGTCCCTTCTCTTGACACCGGTTCACTGGATGATATCTTGCAGATCGCAGACTGGGGTCAACCTGACCATGACGCTCACTGGTATGGTAGAGTCGGGCAAGCACTGGGTGGATTTCTGTTCTGTTCTGAGGCTATTGAATATTTGCAGAAGGCTTTACAAATCAACCCGGAGTTGTGGGAGTTCCGTTCTCATATGGCTTTCTTGCATCGTGAATTTGGCGAATTTGTCAAAGCTCTTGGAATTCACCAAACCAACATCAACCAGCTAAATAAAAAGGAGCAGTCTTTCGAAATTCGGAAAATCCTTCACCAAGAGTACGAAAGTGTCGCATATTGTTACTTGCGTCTCGAAGATAAGGAAAATGCGTTTTCCGTGCTTCAACAAGCATACGACTCGTACGACCATTGTGCAGAATGTGCTCGATTAATTCTGGAGCACCACCATGGCGCTGGCAATGTTGATCAGATATTGGACCTTTTCCAAATGATGAACGAGAAATCACCCAGTGAGGGTGTGAGCTACCTAACGCAGTTTATGCTCGAAAATCCAGGTATGGAAACAATGATGCATGAATTTGGCGCTAAAATCATCCGGAGGGGATGTTTCTCATTCTTTAAAGAAGCTTTCATAGCCGCCATCATCACCGCTCGTCGACAGAAAAAGCCCATTCTAACTGCTACGTTGGACTTAAGTCTCTCCGCCTTGCTCAACTCACTTGGAGTTGACCCTGAAGGGGCAGCTCGCATTTGGGAACGCATCTTGGAGACCTACAAACCGAGTCAAGCAAAAGGCAATCTGACTCACGTTATATTCGCCGCGTCATCTTCACTATGCTATTACTACTTCAAACAATTATGCCGAGTCGATTGCTCTCAAGTTGAGCGTCAAAGATATGGCGGACTACTCGAACGTCTAGTTATGGGACGACCCCTCCACTTAGCCAGACATGAAAGAACCCCCAAAGGCGTCACAGAGTACGCATACCTACCAGCACCCGAAGCACGCGCCACACTCGGTACTTACTACAAAATGTGCGGCCGTGACGATGATGCCCTGCAATTTTTCAAATCGCTTTTACAACGCCCAATTCGTATGCTTGGTTTGTCTGATGACGATGAAGACCGGAACTGCTACCTTCAATTGGCTGGGATCTTTGCCGCCATGCGAGACGTCAACAACTGGGTCTCAACTTGGTACCAAATAGCTTTCCTCAATGATAAGATCGGCGATACGGATGCCCCCAGGCCATTCTGTGACGGGTGTGGGATTCTTTGCACCATCGACGGAATAGTCCACTGTTGGCGCCATGACATGCCGTTTGTCGTTCTTTTTTGTGAAGACTGCTTTCCACGGTTGAAAGACGGTTCGCTGTCTGTTGATATCTGCGACCCAGCCCACGAGTTCATGACTATTCCTAAGCGACCTCAATCTGTCAAACAGCGCAGTATAGAACATCAAACGATGATATATGTCTGTGGAGAATGGATGACATGCAATGATTGGAAGCTGAGTTTGAAGGAGAAATATGGGTTGGAGGAAGAATAGATCGTCCATTTCACGCAATGGGTCACAGGGGAAGATATTACCGAGGACCGGGATTGACTTCATCAGCTGCGTTTCGCCGTCACCGTGGTCAATATGATACCCCAAATGTATTCTATATTAGCAAGACAATTGAACAATAAACATAGGTGAAATGATCAGCACAAAAATTCATTTGGTAGCACTCTCAAGAAACAAGATGCAAAATTCGTCTTAAGGGGAGAACAGAACAACCTCACGAAGACATGCAAGTTCAGATCCCCAAATTCCATTCCAGGAAGTACGCCAGACCGCTAAAAGACGAGTCAAAAGAAATACAATACAATCCACTGCCTATGGTACATCAACCCCAGAGAAAAACAGGATCAAGCAAATCAGCCAATCTAAGCCCTGGCCTCCGTGCTCTTAGACTTCGGCTTCTGGGTATATTTGTAGCGATAAGCTTGCCCACTTTTAGCATCCACATCACGCTCTCGATCACGACGGCGATTCTCCTTGCCCTCAGCCAGAGGTCCGGGACCCCGACCCAGCTCCTTCTCGCCCCAACTCATCATCAGAGCCTTGGCCATGTGATCGCGCTCCTTGAGGAGCAGGTCGATGCGTCGCTCCCACTCGCGCTCGCGCTTGTCCACGGACAAAGCAATGCGCTGGTCAATCGCAGCGGCGGTTTCGTCCTTTGCGGCGATGACGTCGTCCTTAGCGACGATGACCGCTTCCAGGCGTCTAAGTTCTGATTTGAAACTCTTGCGCAGGTGGCTTTCTGAGGTGGTGGATGAGGTGCGGAGGGTTTCAAGATCCGAGCGTAGATCGGCTTCACGTTGCTCGGCAGCTGTGAGGAGGTTGCGGATTTTGCGCATTGACTCGGCGTGCGAGGCACGCAGAGTTGAGACTGCTGTTGAGTGTGCGGTATTCAGGCTGCGGAGCTGGCTTTGGTGGTTCGCCTCCAGGGCTGCTGCGTTTGGTCCCATTGGCTCTGGGTTGGGAGCTTCACGCGCTGCTAGCGGTGAAGGGGGTGGGCTGGGAGGTTCGGCAATTTTGTCTTCTTGCAAGCGCGCAATAGTCTCGAGGGACTCAGCGTGTTGTTCTTGTGATTGCAACAGCTCGTTTTGAGACTTGCTTAGGGCTACTGTAAGCTCGCCAACCCGGGTGGAGAGTCGCGAGTTCTCTGTTTCGATGGTTTTAATGAGAGCTTGGGCTTCAGTTAACTGATCATGCAGACGTGCTGCTTCGGTATCTGCGGCTTTCTGTGCGGCGGATAACTCTTGGAGTTCTTGCTGAAGGCTTGCAATGCTTGGCATATCTGGCTGTTGCAGTTGCTCTACACCTTCGGCGTCCACGAACTTTTCCTTCAATGGTGAGTGGAGTGGGGATGCTGGATCCCCTGGGCCCAAATCTTTGATCAGATCGAGAATCTCGCTGTAGGTGCTATGGCCACTGATAGGCAGATCCGCTGCTGCAGCTTTGAGGGCACTCTCCTGGGCTTCCATATGGGATTGGACACGGGTGAGATTTGCTTCCAATGTAGAGTTCTTCTCCTCCAGAGGGCGGCTTCTAGTCTCCAGGTCGATAAAACGTTCCTCAAGGACCTGATAATCATTGTGCGCACGCTCTAATTCCGCTTCAAGCTTTTCATTCTCCAGCCCGTAGTCGTCAATCTGCCCTTGCAATTGATCAATTTCGGAGTTTCTCTCCTGTATTTGTGCATCCTTGACCCGTGTGACTTCCTTAAGCTTGGTCAATGTCTCATCCAGGGTTTCATCGCGCTTTCGCACTTGCTCTTGGGAATGATTGAGTTGCTGGCGCAGGTGAGCAATGGTCTCCAACCGCTCCTTGTCCAAAGGGGTCTGCGAATCTCTGTCTTGTAGCTGTTGTTGCATCTCACGAATCTGGTTCAAAAGAGGACTGAGATCCGTTGTATTCATGCTTGACTGGCGTAATAGCTTTTCATGCTCTTCATTTTTATTTTGAAGCGATTGGACTTGTTCACGCAGCATCGCCTCGTCGCTACCTTTGGCATGGACCTCATCCAGGAGAGCATTCTTCCGCTGCAATTCTGTCTGGAGATGACGGATCTGCTCCCCAGCAGAAACAGCCTCGAGCACACGGTTGCGATTTTTCTGCAATTGGTCATCGCGTTCCTTCAAGGATTGCTGCAGTTGTGCAATCTGCTGGTGAAGATCCTCATTCTGTTCCTCTCGTGCATGACTGGAGGCGTCCGACAATTTCCGGACGGAAGGAGATGCGGAGTCCTGGGCCTCGTCATCATCGGGGTATTCTTCAATACCTTCCAAGTGAGTCGAATCTTTAGGGAGAGCGCTAGTCCGGTGCAACAGGTGTGAAGGGGTCGACATATCCACTGGCGGTCCGAATTCACTGTATTCGCCAGAGTCGGCTTCTTCTTCGATCGCGGGTTGCTTTGACTTTTGGAACGATCGTCGTACTGATCCGTAGTCTACTTCAGCTTCATCCTCGTGGTTTTCTCCATCTTCCAAATCGCCCATCAGGTATTTTTCCATATTCGCAGTAAAGTCTTCCGGTCCCCCAACATCGGATAATTTATCTACATCTTGATGGAAAGGGGGCAGAGTTTCCTCGTGCCCATCCATTGCAAAATGCCCGCTCGGGAAATTACTGAAATCCAAGGTGTAATCGGCGAGACGCGCATCGAGATCTGAGCCTGTTGGGCTTCCAGGAGAAGGAGGTCGAGAGACATGGTTCATTTCATTGTCGGAATGGTATTCATCATCAGCAGGGTGGCCATTATCTTGGTTGCTATGTTGCGCTGCGACGCGCTCGGTTGCAGGGGTCCGAGCAGTTGCAGGAGTCTGGGCGGATGACGGAGATTCCAGTGGGCTGGAAGGGTGTTGTGGAGGAGAGGATGGCATAAAGAGTGGTGTCACCAATGTTGACTGCCCGATGGTGTCATGTGAGGTGGGAAATGGCGAGGTATAGCCTGTGTTGGCCATGATTGCGCACGCGTGCGGATGCGCAAAGGGCACGGTAAAGCTAAAACAGCCAAAGCAGAGGTCAAGTACAATCCCTGAGGCTTGCACTCAAGATCTACCAAATGAAAAATATCAAGGTAAATAGAGAAATAACAATAACCAAATTGCGGGGAGAAAAAACAAAGATTGAAGAATCTCGCGACGGGTTGTATTTTGGCGCCTGAGGCATTGATGTTTATCCACTGCCTTTTTAGGTCTAGCGGGCATTTCTGTATGCTTCTTACTTCTTGTTACTTCTAGCTTGTTCACGTTTCACCTTGATTATTGCGATTTGCATGAATTTGATTGTGAGATTGACAGTCTGATCAAAAATCAAGCCATTGTCTTCCATTCTTCAAATCCAGGTGGAACCACCGAGGGTTCATGGGATCGGCCGCGCTGTTCAGCTTTTAACTCAGTTTCCCCGTTGCCTGGTGCTTTTTTCCCTGGTGCTTTTTTCCGAGTACCAGCACGACTACCTTTCGAAGCAATGGCATGCTATTTACTCACATTTATATGATTAACGACAAGGCCTGTTCGCTGGTTGGTGTTGCGGCACTCACCTGTTTCTCTGGGTCCATATTATGGAACCCACCGACGCCTGTGGCTTTCCCGCCCTTTTTTCCACCCTTGTGACCTATTTCTGAAAGTTCTTCGTGTGAACGATTTGCAAAATTCCCAGGATTGGGGTGCTGTGGGCGATTGGGTGGTGGTGCTGTGGCGACACTACAGCGATGCCACAATCCAACATTCACAGACCGTGCGGATGGAACCAGTCTAAGAAGTGGGCTTGACATGATCCGAGTGCCTCTGATCAAAGCCATCATGCTATCAAGTGTGGAAGTTGATGCCAGAAAAATACGTGGTCCGCGAGAAGGTATTGCTTCGCCACAAGACTGGCTTTATGGGCTTGGCCCGCAACTTATGTAGTCTCCAGAAACGGCTATTTTGCCTCCGTCAGCTCATCAGGCGATGGTGACTTGCCTCTATATGACACTCCCTTCGAAACCCGCTGGTTCGCTTTCTGCCATCTCGTGAGATGGATATATGTCATTCGTGTATGTCTGGAAGAAGTCCACCTTGAGACACACTACGTTCCTGGTTGCTCGTTTCAATTTGCTGGAGCACTGATCCGATATTCAATTTTGATGTCATCTTTCAGGTCTTCCCCAACGAGCCGAATCCAAGGCCATGGAATTAGGGATCAGCATCCATGGTTCTAGTATTGAAGCAGTCCGGGCCCGTATGAGAGGATGAGAAGAAGATGCCCTAGAAAGTATCCAATTCAAAGTACTTAGTCTTGATCAAGTAATAACCATAATTCCTTATAAAGAGCTGGTCGCCTTGCTCAGAGATGGATCTACACTTCAGCTTAGTCAGTGAGGATTCTGGTTTATCGCTGTCCACGGGTTCAGTACTACTTTGTGCTGCCGTGATATTCACCGGATTCAAATTTTGCTTCGATTTTCATTGCATAAATCTGGAGTTGTATTTACTCCAAAGGTTTATTGTGGTCATTTCTCCCAAACGCTAGCAGCTTGAAGGATCCGAATCCCCACAGCTACCCAGCTGTCAACCGCCAAAGCTTAAGCATCACCGAGCTCTCACAAAGCGAAGCCCATGAAATAAACTTGCTGCAAATTACATCTGGGTATTCAATATCTCACTATTTTCAAAATGCCACCTATCCGAGGTGGACTCGGCGAGCGTCCGCGGGTGATCTTGTACCACCAAACGCTCATCCCAGGCGGGGGGGAATATGTATCCATGCTCCCGCTCCTCGAAAACAACACCGGGATAACGCATATTATTCTCGCTGCTATTCACCTGAACAGTGAACCAGGAGACATCACTCTCAACGATGACCCGCCAGACAACGCCAAATACGACCCCCTTTGGGCCGAAGTACCCCTCGTGCAACGGCAAGGCGTGAAAGTGATGGGCATGCTAGGCGGGGCCGCCCCGGGCTCCTTCACGCGGCTTGACGGCAGCCGGACTGAATTTGAACAGTTTTATTATCCTCTTCTGACAATGATCCGTCACCATGGCCTTGATGGGATTGATCTCGATGTAGAAGAGACCATGTCTTTGCAAGGTGTCATTCGACTCATCGACCGACTCAAGGCTGACCTGGGTGACGGATTTATTATTACCCTGGCTCCTGTGGCAGCTGCATTACTTGGTATTGGGAACCTATCAGGCTTTGATTACCGTGAACTCGAACAGGCTCGGGCTTCCAAGATCAGCTGGTACAATGCCCAGTTCTACAATGGCTGGGGCCCTGCCGAGGATCCACGGATGTATTCTACTATGATTGCCCAGGGATGGTCTCCCCGACGAATTGTGTACGGCCTGTTGACAAACCCGGGTAATGGATCACAGGGTTATGTGTCTCAGGAGAAGATGGGGCCTGTTTTGGCAATGTTGGTTGAGCAGTTTCCCAATTTTGGTGGCGTTATGGGTTGGGAGTATTACAATGCTCTGCCTGGAGCCACGACAAAACCATGGCAGTGGGCCGCTCAGATGACATTGAGCATGGGTATGAAAGATGTTGTCGCGGCAGCTCGTCAGTTAATCTCGGCAGGGCCGATGGCGAGCAGTCTCAATAATTTGTTTCAGGATATGCTGAACCAGGGACGTCGATGACGCAAAATGAATATCTAACATTTCAACGTGGCTATATACTTGAGGTTCAGCTATCTTCAAGATCAGATATAGTGAATGGTTTTCTCACTGGGCTTTTGCCTGAATACATGTAAATTCCAAGATTGCCTGAGAGCGTTACTAGAGGCTTAGCTTTTAGTACTTAAATTGTAGGTACCACGGTTAACGCAAGGAAATCTATAAATTTGATAGGCAATGGATATAAATTGTACAATCTTGTACAATCTATCTTGTACAATTTATGGGATTGATTTTCAACCAATACAATCAAAGCCGTGTCGATCTTTTCCTATGTAGATACGTCATCGCATCATGAATCACCACTAAACAGACCTTCCACTCTTCACCATCTCCATTTCATTTAGCATGCAGTGATTTTCACTCTCTACAATTGGTATTGGTTTGCATAATGGTCTCCATACGGCGCATTGTGGTAGCCACGAGCTCGGCGACAATCCGACTGGCGACTTTCTTGTTTCTGCGATGGGTATGAGGCCTCCATAGACAGTCAAATGTCGCGTTTCAGAAAACTTACATATTTACAGATCCCTGGCCACCACTTTGTGCCTCTCGTGGTTACCTCCCTAGTGGTGTATCTGTCGTCAATATTCTCCCTGCTTAAGGACACCCAGCCTCACCAAACCCAGACGGCTAAAGCCCGAGGATCGAACGGTCAGGCTCCACTTCCAAATAACCACAATATGAGATTCTAACTACCCGCTCATAGGGTATAAGTCAGCGTCTAGCCGTGCCAAAGCCGGCGATTCTGTGCTTAAAACGCTGTTAACAGGACTGCCCTCGGCAAAATGGCCCTTGTGGACCAGAATCACAATATTGATCAATGGTATCCTAGCACTGTTGACGCTTGACTTCTTGACGCGTGGTATTCTACTTTATCCTACTACAAATGTTGCATTCTCGCGCGTTGGATATGTCTCCCCGACCACTGCCAACTTGGTCTTTCGCGAGCCAGACTCGAGTCGCCTACCAGTGACGGTCATGTTCCAGGAGATCTCTCCACTGAGCCAGGACTGGTACGAAGAGGGCATCGTTTACAAGCTGGATAACTCCACCGACTTTACCACAACTGTGACCCTAACGGACCTGAAGCCGGCGACACGCTATCGCTACTCGTTGTCCAACAACAAGTCAGGCACATTCATCACAGCCCCATCGCCGGAAACCCCAGAAGCAAGCCGACTATCTTTTGTAACATCAAGCTGCCTGAAGCCAAACTTCCCTTACAACTTATTATCACACCCACTACGAGTCCCAGGCATCGAACAAATGACCGACGCCCTCGCCAAACTGCCCAAGCTACTTCGCCCAGCGTTCATGCTCTTCTTAGGCGACTTCATCTACATAGATGTCCCCTGGCGCTTCGGTTCAGCAATGTCCCACTACCGCAGCGAGTATAGACGTATCTACTCTTCCCCCTCCTGGACACACGGACCAGAAGGCAACCGCGCCAAGGACCTCCCCTGGCTGCATACTCTCGATGACCACGAGATCGAAAATGACTGGTCGCAGGGTAACAAAACAGCCCCGTACCCGGCAGCAGCAGACCCCTTCATCCACTACCACGTGCGAGCAAACCCACCAATCCCACAAGCGCCATTCGCCCACCCAGACAATGTAACCTACTTCGCCTTCACGCACGGCCCAGCCTCATTCTTCATGCTGGACACACGCACCTACCGCAACGAGCCCTCGCACAAGAACTCAACTATCCTTGGCGATGCCCAGCTGCAATCCCTCCTCGCGTTTATCTCGACCCCAGAGCCAGCAGGCACACACTGGAAAATCATCTCCTCCAGTGTGCCCTTCACCAAGAACTGGCACGTTGGCACAACAGATACCTGGGGTGGTTTCCTAGATGAGCGTCGCATCGTCTTCAAAGCAATGTGGCGCGCGGAGCGCGAACAAGGAATCCGCATCGTCCTGCTTAGCGGTGATCGACATGAATTCGCTGCCACTAGGTTCCCGGACCCGGAACTCAACTTAGGTCACGATCAGCTTTTGCCGAATACGGCTGGGCTGGGGGTGCATGAGTTCAGTGTTGGCCCGTTAAGCATGTTTTACCTCCCCGTTCGTACATACCACCAGACAGACTCTGAGGATGTTATGGTGAAGTATGCGCCGAATGGGAATAGTAAGTTCGGGCTTATTGATATTTCGGATGTGGATGAAGATGTTGGTTCGACTACTGCCGCGGCGCCTGTTCGGGCTCGTAGCTCAGTCCTTACTTACACGTTGTACGTGGATGGGGAGGTTGTTTGGAAGTATCGTCTCAGTGTTCCATTGGAGCGCGATACGAGTGTCCATGCCCCATCTTTACCACCAGGCCGTGTGGTTGAGGATGACATTCCGGATATGAGTTGGAGTGTGGTGCTTGGGACTGTTGTGGGACGGGTACCGGAGTTGACGAAGAGGATTGTTGAGACAGTTAATGATCTCTACTTTGAACTTGCCGATCAACTGTGGAAGATTGAGAGACTTGATTAGCGGATTTGAGCGTTTCTCAAAGAGATCGCCTCCTGGTCATTCGAACCTGTCATGGGCAGGTTGGATGACCACGTGTATTACTTAGATCGTTCCAAGCAGCCAGGTGTGATATCTTGGATAATACAGCAGTGACATCATTGCGATCTTGAATCGCACAATCTAATATTTTTCGGATGCTATGATCAATCATCAAATGAATTAAATGCCCAGCAAACCCGTAACGAGATCGGGCTGTGAGTTGTATCTCGTTACATAGCTCTGTGGTAGGGAAGGGGGATTTTATACACGGTTTGCGCTGCAGCGACTGCTAAAACAAAAACATGACGCCGATCGCCTTTGCCCCTTGGATCCATTCACTGGGGTATAAGATGTAGACATGAGGGAGAAGGGGATGAGAGTGGAGAGCGAAAATGATTCGCACGCGATGGGGGAAATGCATCTGACGTTGCCAATCTGGAAGGTCCTAGATATCGAACTGTCTCGACTGGAAAAGCAAGAGGTGTGGAATGAGAAATGAAATAGGATCGCATGCAAGACCTGATTTCAGGGGCGTCTATTCGCGAATGGTTGGTGGGGTCAGTTGAATGGCGACTTGGGAGGCCTCCAAAATGAAGAAAAAGTCGAAAACGAAAACATCCTGGCTTGACGGCGTCGATTAGAAGCGTCCACCACTGGAACGGCCATGGCCACCTCTTGTTGTCACCTCATCTTCGCTACCAGCAGCGAATCCGCCCAACAGATTGGCTCCCCAGATGCCGGCGATACCCCACATGCCAATACGCCATCCGCGATACAGGCCTTGAATACCCTGGCCCTGCTGTCGCTTCTGAAGCTGCTGCCGTGAGGTACGCTGGCCAAGGAGCTGCTTTGCACGCTCCGTGTCGGACGGTGTCGAGCTGACACCCTCTTCATAAACGACATGCCACATTGTTCCAATGATACCACGGTATGTGCGTGGCGTAGGGACGATGGTTTCCACATCGGACGCATCGATAGATGCCGCACTGATGCTACCACCCGAGGACTTCTGCCGCAGACTCAAGGATGTGTATGTGGCGATCTGGGCGCGGCGGAGCACGGTCTCGAGTGGGAATCGAACAGCGAGTTCAAGTCCCGAGCTAAGGAAGGCACAGAGATTCCATGCGTTGGGGTTTAGGATGGGGTCAATGGACAGGTAGGATTTGAGGAAGAGTGGCGTCGAGGTCATAATGAGGTTGGGGAGACTTGAGTGAAGTATGGTGATTGGGACGAGGTGCGAGGGGATCGTGCAGTTGGGTGTGGGAAGCTGGCGGATAGCTCGGACGAGGGACCTCGGCCCATGGGTTGCTGGTGTGAGCATCAGGAATGTACGAGCGGTATCGATAGGAGCTAGGATCAGGGCGGACAGCGAGGATGAAATGAATGACAGAACCAGTGTTGCCAGAGGGGATGAGGCCGTCAAAATGTCCGCTGTCATCGACGTGGAAAGGTCTTCCTCTGGCAAGCCGACGATTGCCGACAGGAGACTGCGGATGAAAGTGTTCAACGTCGGCAGGAGAAGTGCGTGAATGAATGTGGCATTAGAGGACTTCCATAGTGAGGTTGCGCCGCTGGAGGACCAGAGCTGGGATAGAACTTCGGTCAGAGAGTTCGAGTTCTTCAGAGTCAAGATATGTTTAGGCTGTGTGGTCGACTCTGGTCGAATATAGCCACTACGGTCGGTGATGTGGTGGCGTGATTTGCGAGATCGAGGTGTATTCGGCGTCGGCGTTGCAGGGGCCGCTGAGGTGAAGTAACTGGTTTCATCATCGGATGATTCCGAGTCCTATACGCAACTCCATCAGCCATTTGTCGTGGAATTCAACACAGCCCTATATCAGCTGTAGTGGACAGCATTCTTACCGAATCATAAGAGCTTCCTTCAGCAACCGGTGTCGAGTTCCGATCCCACTGCTCATCTGTGGCGTCTGGTACGACATAAACCTGCAAGATGGTTTTGGCAACATCAAACGGCTGTGCAGTGAGAACCTTGGTGTAGCGAACAAGTGCCCGGTTCAAGGTGTCTCGGACCCAGTCAGATACAGAGGGCGAAGCTTCCAGGTAATCGGCATAGTCCAAGTCCGGCATGAGATCACGAGCTGTGCTCCCGAACACCTGGGCCGATGACGGCGAGACCACTTCGGGGGGCGCATTCGAAGCAGGCGATAGGCCAGATGGAGGGATATAGTAAGGCCGCAAGGGATTGATCCCTTCACGAGACGACATAATGTGATGTTGGTCGGAGTTAAAGAGTCGGGGAAAGAAGAACGGGAGGAGTGGGAATGTCCGAACGCCCAAGCTTTGTCAGTCTTTTTTTTTCCTCCGCGGCCATTGGACGATCATTGCTAACTCTTCCCATCTTCCCCCGGATCCTCTTTTTTTCTCTGTTGACTTACAAATTCTCCTTTTAATTTATTTACCTCCTCTACAATATGGTTTTCTGGCGAGAAGTCGGTCAGCAATTGCGCCATGCACCCAAGGCCGGGGATATCTGTTTGATTCAATCGCGGAGATGCCTGAGTTATTCAAGATCGTGGAGGAACAGTGGAATCACAACACACCCTCGGTCCAATATCAATGCACAGAGAAGCCTTCAAGCACCTTGGCAAGGATATAATACAGCTCGGCGTGCTTTCTCGGTGACTGCACAGGGTGCGCATGGTCATATCACGCCGCCAAAGGCCGGAGAAGAGTAAGCCCACCACACTACACTCCTCTTTGCGCTCGTACGCTATCTGCACTGCATGCTGACTGGCTCTGTAGGATCAATGTGACTTTCATCGATAAGGATGGCACCGAGGTCAAGCTCCAGGTTGCCGAGGGTGATAATCTACTCGACATCGCACAGGCAAATGACCTTGAAATGGAAGGTGAGTTTAAGCCGATACGATGCTTATCCAATCCTCAATGTCTGACATTATTTCCGGGATAGGTGCATGCGGAGGATCCTGTGCCTGCTCAACGTGCCATGTGATTGTGGACGACCCAGACACCTTTGATAAAATGGAAGAGCCATCGGACGACGAGAACGACATGTTGGATCTGGCTTTCGGGCTTACCGAGACCTCTCGGTTGGGCTGCCAGGTGACCATGACCAAGGATCTTGACGGATTGGTTGTGCGATTGCCCTCCATGACACGGAATCTCCAAGCAAGCGACTTTGAGTCGAAATAAAGACACCAGCACAGACCCCGGGAGGGACTGTTTGGATCTTGAATGCCCTCACATCTTAACTGAACAGAGACGGCTGGACACAGCGGGGGTTTAGGGTCCTATTTGGTGTCCAAATAGGATTTTGTACTGTAATATTCATCTGATGCATCTAGTAGACTTGCGTGGTATCGCAAAATGAAAATCTCCTATACTATTTTAATCAAACAATACTCTCCACATAAGCAATTTTATTACAATGTAGAAAAGAATATATAACAAAACAAACATCTCCCAACGCCAGAAAACATGCCATGGGTAATCGTAGATCCAGCTCATGCCTCTTCGATGTTCAAAGGCTTTCCCTTCTTTCCATTGATCAATTCAAGGAATCCCTGCTTGCTGACCTCGTTGGCAGCCTTCTCCCGCTCTCCCATACCAATTGTGCCCTTCTTGCGCTCATCCTTTGCGGCCTCCTCTCCCCGGACTTGGGCCGCGCGAACGGCATTGAACAGCTTCACGACACCACGCTGCGCCATCTTGCGCACACGCTTCTCCTCCTCAGCAACAGGGCCGGCAATTCCTCGCTTGATACCCATCACATCACGAATACGGCCGCGATCCAATTCTTCTTTCTTCTCGGCGCGCATCTTAGCCCGTGCGGCGTTGTCGAGCTTCTCATCTGCAGCCTCGTTCACCAGCTTCGCGGCATACGAGCTTCGCGAGAGAACGGGATCAGCCCGTGCGGAAGTAGGAAGTTTTGTGGACAGAATTTTGGAGATGGAGGTTGAGAATGCGGTAGGGTCGTTGCGCTTGGGGACGGCTCGGCCGCGATTGGCGCCTGTGGGTTTGCCAGCTGGGGATGAGTCGGAAAGATCATCATCGTCGGATCCGTCAGATCCAGAGGCGTCGCTTTCATCGTCGTCGTTCTCGAGATCTGCATCGTCCAGCTCGATCTCCTCGCCAAAATTGGAGTCTGCGTCGGCTAGCTCAATGTCCTCGGCGACATTAGAGTCTGAGTCGCTAGCATCTGATTTTTTCGATTCCGGTGCGGGTGCTTCTTTTTGTGTCTTTGCCTTCTTCATGCGGAGGTCGAGAGCCGAGGGCTTGGCTACTTTGACACCTCCTTCTTCGGCGTCGGAGTCTTCAAGATTGACGGGGTTGAAGTTCTCATCGTCTTCTTCGTCCTCGGAGCTGCTGTGATAGAATTTCTGCTTGACGAACTTCTTCTTGCGGCCAGTGTTGCCCTTGAGGCCATCAAGGACCTTGCGCTTTTTGGAAACAGCAGGAGGCATTGTCACAAAAAAATAATGTAATAATGCAAGTAAAGAAGAAAGTCAAGACGCTGATCCAAAAGCATATCACAACTTTTTTTTGGGGCGGTGAGAAACTGTCGGCTCTCCGATTGGCCCCTCCACATCGCCTCTCTGGTCTTCCGATGGGCTTCACTTCACCCCTCCTCCATCGCGGAATCATAGACGACTACGGTCTTATTCTGGAGCTTTTCTAACTGTTTACATCTACGCACATATTTACCATGGTTCTCCAAGACCTTGGGCGGCGAATCAATTCCGCCGTCAATGACCTGACGAGGTCCAATAACCTCGATGAGAAGGTATGCCATGTGTTCTCCAGTTTGGCCCACAAGCCAGCTCGCTAATACAACAACAGGCCTTCGATGATATGCTTAAGGAAATTTGCGCCGCTCTCCTCTCCGCCGATGTCAACGTCCGTCTCGTAGGAACACTACGCAAATCGATTAAGGCCAGCGTGAACTTTGCCTCACTTCCAGCCGCAGTGAACAAGAAGCGACTGATCCAGAAGACCGTCTTCGACGAGCTTGTAAAATTGGTCGACCCGCATGCAGAGTCCTTCCGGCCGAAGAAAGGTCGCTCCAATGTGATCATGTTTGTCGGTTTGCAGGGTGCGGGTAAGACAACAACGTGTACAAAGCTAGCTCGGCACTACCAGACGCGAGGATTCAAGACAGCGTTGGTCTGCGCGGATACCTTCCGTGCTGGTGCTTTTGATCAGCTGAAGCAAAACGCTACCAAGGCCAAGATCCCATACTATGGTAGTCTGACACAGACGGATCCTGCTGTCGTGGCCGCAGAGGGTGTGGCCAAGTTTAAGAAGGAGCGTTTCGATATCATCATTGTCGATACCAGTGGTCGCCACCGACAGGAGGAAGAGCTCTTCACGGAGATGACACAAATTCAAGATGCCGTGACGCCAGACCAGACCATTCTCGTCCTCGACAGCACAATCGGTCAATCTGCCGAAGCCCAGTCCGCAGCCTTCAAGGCAACAGCAGACTTTGGAGCTATTATTATTACCAAGACCGACGGCCATGCCGCTGGTGGTGGTGCGATTTCTGCTGTCGCCGCTACGCACACTCCCATTATCTTCCTTGGTACCGGTGAGCACATGATGGATCTGGAGCGATTTGAGCCCCGCGCCTTCGTTCAGAAACTACTAGGTATGGGCGATGTCGCCGGACTGGTTGAGCACGTCCAGGCCATGACGAAGGATTCCGCAGGTGCCAAGGAAACATACAAGCACATTGCAGAAGGTATCTACACTCTGCGCGATTTCCGGGAGAACATCACATCCATCATGAAGATGGGCCCGCTGTCCAAGTTGTCCGGGATGATCCCTGGTCTCTCTAACATGACCCAGGGTCTGGATGACGAGGACGGTTCACTGAAGCTGCGCCGCATGGTCTACATCTTCGACAGTATGACTGTAGCCGAGCTGGATGGCGATGGCAAGAACTTCGTCGAGCAGCCTAGCCGCATGGTCCGCATCGCGCACGGTAGTGGAACCACTGTCCGTGAGGTCGAGGACCTACTCTCCCAGCACCGCATGATGGCAGGCATGGCCAAGCGTGTTGGTGGCCAGAAGAAGCAGATGCAGCAAGCTCAGAACATGATGAAGGGCGGAAATAAGAACCAGCAGATGGCTGCCATGCAGAAGCGCATGGCCTCCATGGGCGGTGCTGGCGGCGGTGGTATGCCCGGTATGCCTGACATGGCCAAGATGATGCAGATGATGGGAGGTGGTGGTGGGGGTATGCCTGATATGCAGAGCCTAATGAGCCAAATGGGCGGGTTGATGGGCGGAATGGGAGGTGGCGGTGGTGGTGGTGGTGGTGGTGGACGTGGAAGAGGACGTTAAGCTCGGTCTTTGATGATCTTGTTCCTTTCCTGCTTTTTTTATCCTGCTCCTTTCCATATTCAAACTGCTGGCTCATCAACTTAGCATCTGGGCTGGTGTTTGGCGTTTTCTTGCTCTTCACTTTATGTGCAATCCCTGTACACGAGAACAAATTTGGTAATGAGTCTATCACTATCACATATACCATCCTGAAAATGGAATCATATCTCCTTAGTCTACATCTCGAATTACGGTTTTGAAGAAAAAGGCAAATTGCTGTGGAGAACTATCGTTTCGGTCATTAAGAAACCCACGTTGTACACATAATCCTTAGAGAGAAACGCCGCTAAAATCGTCCGTCTAGTGAAACGAGAGAATTGAGATCGAAAACATAGTGACCACCAGATCAACCACTGACCATGTTCATGGCGGCCAGGACAGCTTGCACCAGGTAAGCCCAATGAGATCCAAAGAAAATTTACATGTCATGCTTTTGGGTTGAGAGACAGAGAATAAATCGAGCCACATGAATATACACGAAGCCCAGATCTATTCCCTATGGAAGTGGGGGTCGAAAGGGACAGGGAGGATATGAAACAAGCCCGTATGATAGTACATAGAGCGCCCGGGAGAGGAGGGGGTATGGGTATCAAAAGTGTCCATGTGGGGGAGGACCGGAAAAAACGCAAAAGGGAACCCGGACGCGTGAGATCCATAATGAGGATTGTTTATTTTTCAGCGAAGCGACGGTCAAAGTATCGCAGCACACCCATGACACTTGCGGCCTCGACTTCCATAGCAGCGCGGCTGTCTGATGGAGCGAGATCGCGGGGGTTAGGGAGAGTGTGTAGCTTTGGCAGCCAAGCTGAGATGTCATCGCTGGCGCGGGAGAAGTTTGGGTGGCGGGATAGAGTGGTGAA